CCCCTGGTTTAGTGTGCCACGTGAACCAGGCCTTTAAGTGAATTGCTAAAACTTAAGACTGGAGCAGCATAAAGCTTGAGTACAGAACGTTCACCAGTAGACTTGACGTATAAATGGTTATCATTAAATAATCTCTGGTGAAAGGCCTTCAGACTTTCTGCTGTAGTTTTTATGATTCCAATAAAACCTAATCAAAACATTTTCTCAACTCTGCTAGATGTTGATTTTTTTACCTCATATAGACACCTGCTGCAGAATGAGGTGGTAGAATGGACTGTACCACTTAAGACTGCACACAGCTAGAGTAATACTTGTGAATGGTTCCTTATCCTAATAAAAAAAGTCACTGCAATAAGAAAACAAATACAGCAAAGAGAGGGTTGGGATAGCACTTTTCTCCCTGAAAAGACTAGTCTGATTTAATTGTAGTGATCACCTGCTTGTTTTTTTATATAGGAGAGCATTCAAAAAATAGCTCCCCATCTGCAACGCAAATATTCTACTCCACCAAGGCCCTTTTGTTCCTCCATTGAAGTTCATGAAATGGGGTCATATTGAGCAAATCACTGCTATGTGTACATTTGCAAAAATATGTGTTTGTTTCCTTCATGTTGCACCTTTTAAAATATGGCTTTGGGCACCCACTTTTTATGCAGTTGAAGATCTAGGTCCAATAGTATCGCATGAAGCAGTGTGGCAGTAGGAAGTGTCTAGCCCAAGCCAACACAGGGATACCCAACAAATCTACACTACCAACTTCTTAGCAGTGATGAAACTGGAACAAATGTCTTGAAGGAGCTGCAGTAGTCAGATGTTGCTTTTATAGGGGGGAAAACAAAGATATCCACAACATTCACAACTGAAAATTCAGATGAAGAAAGTAGGTCTGTGCTACTGCTTGAAAAAAAAATGAGGACCAAAATTCTGTACCAAAGCATTGCAATGTCAGGTGGCTTTTATGACAGCACAAGTCAGAGATAGTCAATACTGTTTCCAGAGGCAACTCCCACCAGCTTCAGCCAGCATGGCCAATGGTCAGGGATTATGGAAACTGCAGTCCAATATGTGGATGATACCATATTAGCTTGACACAAGCTAATGTCAAGGTTGGTGATCTGAAGGCCTGCTGATGGTTCCATAGGTAATCAGGAAGATAATGTTGCATCTCAGTAAGTTGTGCAGACTGGTGAGCCAGGCGAGATAGTTTTATATGACCAGATATGAATCTATTGCTTCTTTGTATCACTTGTAAAACTCACTTCTTTTGAACTTGGCTCTGTGAGCCCCCAGAGATCTTCAAGCCTTGCTCAGGAGAACTCTGCTGGCATATCTATGTGACATTGTGTCTAGTCAGGGGCTGTGTAGGGGAAGTGCTGCCCTGCACTTTGAGAGAATTCACGTGGTTTGAACGTGCATAGAATACTGTATGTTTTTAATGTATGGTGTGAACCTGCCCTGTCATTCATGGTGTGCTTATTCAAAATCACTTAGGTCATTTTCTTCCTTTCTTTGATTTGAACAGCTCTTATATTTAATGCCAAATGACTGCGCAAAGATAAATTGCATCATTTATCATAGCTGGCTGGCTAAAATATCAAACTTCATGTAAATAATTTGGCTTTGTGAAGCAGATCTTGCGAAAACTGGTCTGCTTGCTTAAGAAAAGAAAGATTCTCTTACATTTTTTTTTAAAAAAATACCACATTTTATTTAAAATAAAGAACAACCAGTATTGTACACTTAGAATCAAATTCTTTTTTATGTTATAAGGCCGCATTGCACTTTCCAATTGGTCCTTGTGTTTAGCTGCATGGACAGAATATTTTGTCTTATACAGCAACTTTTTCTTTTGCGCTAGCTTAATTTCATCCTCTTATCAGGTGCTGCACTGTTCTACGAAAAGGCAGTGGCATTACTGCTGAGTCATAGCAGCAGATGGCTTCTTATGGTCTTTTCAGATGACCGGAAAAAATAGATTTTAGTTCAGTAGCAGTAACCCTGCCAGCATTAGTAAGTGCATTATCCTGACCTCACAAAATGAATCAAGTGTATCTTTGCTGCAGCGGGGGGATGCTGTTGCAATCATGGCAAATAATCTGTTTGGAGGAGGAAGAACGCACTCCTCATTGGAGAGAAGTGGTATATTGTTATTTCCTAAAGGGGGGGAGAAAAAAATAAATCCTTTAAAAACATTTATAAAATGGTGCAGTCATGGAGATGTTGCCCATTGCTAAAAATGTTTTGGACATTATCCGGTTGACACAAGAGATATTTGAAGAACCATTTGTTGTGTTCCAGACTCCACTAGGAGTCTCAAAAATAACACATAGCAGACCTGAGATGTTCAAAAGTGAACACACTCCAGAGAGTTGTAGATTTGTTTCTACACTAACTGTTTTCTTTGGAATGTACATACCGGTAACTCATTCTCTCAGGTTTTATGGAGAACCTGGAGGTCATTCCTAACAAACTATTGCAATCTGCTGTGTCTGAGTTGCTCCCATCCTTTTTCACACCTGATTTGTGGTAAAAAATATTTTTAAAAATTAATTTCAAAAGGCAATTGTAAAGGTAAGGTAAAAGGTAAGGTAAAGGACTCCAGTCAACGGTGACTATGGGATTGTGGCGTTCATCTCGCTTCAGGCTGATGGTGCCGGCATTTGTCCACAGATAGCTTTCCGGGTCGTGTGGCCAGCATGACTAAACCGCTTCTGGTGCAACACTGTGATGGAAGCCAGAGCGCACGGAAATGCTGTTTACCTTCCCACTGCAGCGGTACCTATTTATCTACTTGCATTGGCGTGCTTTCGAAGTGCTAGGTTGGCAGGAGCTGGGACAGAGTAAAGGGAGCTCACCCCGTCACGGGGATTCAAACCGCTGACATTCCAATCAGCAAGCCCAAGAGGCTCAGTGGTTTAGACCACAATACCACCCGCTTCCATAAAAAGCAATTGTAACACTTGCTTGTCAAGTGTGTCCTCTTAAAGAGCTGTTGCGGCTTTTCTCTCTTCAATTGGTCACTTAATTCATAGTTTCCTGCTTATCTATTTTGGCTTCTGCCCATTAAATTAGTTTCTTCCTGTTCACTCTTATGGCATTGGCATTCCTGAAGTGGCCATACATTAATCAATGAGTTAATTACTGGTTTCCTTTTTGCAGCTAGAACAATTGCTAATGATTTCCCTCCCTATTTTAAAATTCCAGCTGTTTAATAAACATTACACCATTTTGGATGCAGCATTCCAAAGAAGGGCTTACTAGGAGGAAGACCCCTGGAGTATCCCACAACAGCTAAGAATTGAACGTCTATTATACAGCATATAATTTATTTGCTCTACTAATTGTATAGTTCTACATTAAACATAATAAAATTTGTCTAAGGAATTTTTCTGGGAAAGGGACCATTAAGACCTTGATAACAAGAGGTACAGATGGTCAAAACAGATTTTTAAATATTCTTAACCCATTCCCTCAATAGAGTATAGTGAGAGTTCTATTGTTTTAAAAAAGCCCAGTGTAATATAACAAACATATACTCAAAATAAGCTAAAATAACACCAAAGCTGCTTACTGTAAATTTCCTCAACACCACCCCCAGGGTAATTATCACCTTGTAAAGAATATCAGTTAAGAGACCATAGTCGAGGGGCAGTCCTCAAGAAGACCATAATTTCAAAGCCCTGAAAATCCTGGGAACTGTAGTTCATTAAGAGTACAGGGAATCATGGCTTTGTGAGGGGCAAACTACAGTTCCCAGGGTTATTTGGTGGGGAGGATATGTCCTTTAAATATGCTCTAAATGGATGGTGTGTGTGTGACCTTCATGTGACGTTGTTGATCAAATTCAACACACGAATTATACAATTAAAGTGAGTTCTTTGTTAAGCTTAAAGGGCTGAATCAAAACACAAGGATGGAAGCTGCCTTTAAGGGCTTCAGAGCTTTATCGGTCAACACAACAACTTGGAATTATATGGAATTATATGGAATTATACACACCAAAAGCTGAAGTAGACACTGGAGTAATGGTATAAGAAGCTTTCAGTGGTAAGGCATTAACTGGTGATCTATCTGAAGGTAAAGGCCAAGGGTCAATCGTGTGATGTCTAAAAGCATTTCATCTTTATTCAACACGAGAGGGTACTTCACAGGTCAGTTGCTCTAGGAAAGTGTAGAGGAACACTAAGTAGATTTCGTTATATAATTGTTGTGTGTTTATCAGTAGGATAGGCTTTCAGTCATTAAGCTATCACTCTAGAACTGACCGTTTTTAAAGAATAAAGACAGACAGAGGCTGATTTGTTCATCTCCAGAACTATAGCTGCATGATAACTGGGTACAGCTTGCTTGGGATATCTGAGAAACTACTTCCCATTTCATTCCTCTGGAACAACTCACTATGAGATGTCAAGTATGGAGTATGCTATCTTATCAAGCAACAATAGCTACAAAAAAGCAAGCATAACCACTTTAACATGGTAAAACTAGCTGTATGCAAATAATCAAGTGTTCCTTTAGCCTGAGCATGGAAAGAAGCAGTGTGTAAAATGGAAATTTAGGACTGTCATTTCTAGAAATCTGCATTAAAAATCATGCGACTGTGATATAGGACTTTATCCTCACCCCTCACCCAAAGTGAAAATTGTTTTTTCAGTGCAGACAACTCTGCAGAATCTTAAGTGCAGTCTTTGTTCAACACTAACTTCAGCTATTAGGCAGTATACAAGCATGGTTTTATCTTTCAGCAAAGGATTAGTCCATTCCAGTCCCATCAAATATAGTCTTTGCCATCCATATATTTAATTGACCGTATTTTAAAAATATCTTTCTTCTAAATTATAATGTGGAGATTATCATTCTCAAACGTGATGGTGGGACAAGCTGTACAACTATGAAGAAGTGTTCTATCAAATATTTCAACAAGCTGTGGAAGAGATACACACACTGTTGTGGTGCGTGCGGCAGAATCCTTTCTGTTCTCTTCTTTCGCCAGGAAGATATGAGTGGCTGGAGTGTTTGCTTCTATAAATAGTTACTTTATGTCAGTTAGATGCCAATCTTTTTGGAGAGGGTCAGTCCCCAGTTTGTCTTGGTACAAGGCATCATGCAGACCCAAGAACAAGCATAGAAATCACTTGGGACCGGATAGGTCATCCCCATTCATCACAAACTCCATAAACTTCACCCAAAGCATCAGGATCACTGTTCTCCAGAACAATAAGGTAAGTGTATTGTTTCCTGAAATAATCTGACATTGGTTGTCCTATGAGCCGGCCACTTCTAAACTTACGAACAGTAAATGGACAACATACAATTTCTTGCACTTGTTTTGCAATGCTTATTTCTCTAGATGGTTGCTGAATAACATGCGCTAGCTCAAAGATTTGACTATTTCATCAATTTTTGGAGGGTTTGTAAAAGATGTGGTGTTTCAGAGGCTGCAGGTAGGAAAATAACACTGAAGTCATTCATGGATGGGTATATAACTATACAGTGGTACCTCAGGTTACATACGCTTCAGGTTACAGACTCCGTTAACCCAGAAATAGTACCTCGGGTTAAGAACTTTGCTTCAGAGTGAGAACAGAAATCGTGCTCCGGCAGCAGGAGGCCCCATTAGCTAAAGTGGTGCTTCAGGTTAAGAACAGTTTCAGGTTAAGAACGGACCTCTGAAACAAATTAAGTACTTAACCCAAGGTACCACTGTATATACAATATGGAAGCTGAAGGAGGCTTGCCCATCCTTGTGAAGATAAGCAGGCATGCGAAGAGATAAGAAGGCCCGTGTCACTGTGTCACATAGTTCACTTTGTACATTCAAGAAACAGTTGACTCATTGGGGCTTCATATGCAGTGTTAGTACAACATGCATCCTTTCCTCTGTGTGCAAGAAACAGTTCCCGATAGCTGAAGTGAAAAACGCAGAATATTATTCAGCTCCTGAGGCCATTACTGAATAGCATCAAAATGTCTCTTTCCGTTCTCCTTGTAGTAAGAAAATCGCACCGGACTATTACAATGCTCTCACATTCTGACATGGTCAAAGAGAGGAGGCAGCAAGCATCCGCCATCATGAAAGAAATCCAGAGAAATGGTATAGCGTTAAATCCCTGTTATGACTGTATGTCCCTTGTCACTCTCTAACCTTTCTTTTTAATCTTATAGCATTAACTTTCTTACAGCTTTGCCTCTGGGTGTGCTGCCATAAATAATCTCATGGGGCTATCATGCTGCCTATGGTAACTAATCCTTTTGTAGTTGCCTCTTTTCATTTGAAAGCTATTTTCAGATGAACAACTGTTGTGGAGGAATGAAGTAATCTAACAGCTGATGTACATTCTGCCTGGGATTGACTTTCGGAATATTATTTGGGGAGGGGGGTTAATATGTCTGGATTCCCTATTACAGAACTATTCACGCAGGGAAGATGTATCTCTCCTCAGTTTTAGAGCTGTCTTTTGTATTTTCAAAAATTGCAACAAAAAAACCCCCCACAAGGATATTTGTAATATACGCTGTGTTTCAATTTCCGCCTCCACCCACTCAAAGCTGTCTGTAGTCTTATCCAACCATTCAAGGCGCAGTTCCCAACTAATCTCTGTTAAGAAATGTTTTGCATTAGGGTTTTTTGCCATCTTTGGAGGAGAATTCTGACAGGCTTGTTTGACTGATCTACATTTCCACAAGAAGCAGTAGGAAATATGGCTTACTATAGAGATGACCAAACCAGTGGAACTAAGCAGCCTTCATCTGAAGACCACTACTGAGGGTAGGCCCCCAAATCATATCACCCTCTTCTCTTCACCAACCCCAAATGCTGAATCTCACATCTAAACACCCAAACATTCTTCAGTCAGTTTATGCACACATATTCACTCACATGCAAAACCAGGCTGTTCTTATCTAGTGGCTAGATAAGATTTTCCCCTGCCTCTTCCAGAAATGTCACTTGTCTGTCATTTTGTTGGATGGGTTTGCTGTCTGACGTTTCTCTATTAGAAACCAGGGCATATACACCCATAGCTCTATGGCTCCCAGTTCTTCTAGTACACCCTGATTTATTTATTTTTTTATATTATTATTATTATTATTATTATTATTATTATTATTATTTGAAATGTCACTATTAGTTTTTGGGAGTAAGATGATGTGTGATCGTAAACTTTAATAATCACATGTCAGCTAAATGTGAAAAAAGTGTTTCCTGAAATGGTCAAGGATGCTGCATTTTGAAGTTAATATTACAGAAATCTGCTTGACTAGGCATTCCCCCACTGGCTTGTTTGTGATATCATAAGCCCTGTTAGAGAGCAGGAGAAAATCCAGTGACCTGCCTTTTCAGGAGACTCAGTCAAGGCCTGTTTCTATCTCAAGGGCTGGTCTGTTTTCAGATTGTTCCTTCCCTCATACCAGTGTAAGCTGGCAGGGAGATGGATTTTGCAAAAGTTTTCCAAAGACTTCAAGTGTTCTGTGGTTAATTTATTTCCTGGTTTCATCGTATGTTAGGGCAGTGCCATATGGCCCCATTTCTGAATGTATTTCCATTCAGCCCAGATAGGATATGCACAAGGGAAAGTGGCCATTTGAATACCATATGCTCAGATCCTCGCTTGCACTGTCTGTGGACTGGAAACAGAACCTAAAACTAGTAATGACATGAATCCAGAAATTGTAAAACACAGCTCTGAAGTTACCTTTGAATCTGCAAACTGAAGGCAGATAGACACATACTTCATAGAGACTCCCATTGCATAATTTTTCTCCCTCATACTAGGGCTGCCACCATTTAACCTGGCATCCTATGGACATAGCTGTCAACTGTTCCCTTTTCTTGTGAGGAATCCTATTCGGAATAAGGGAATTTCCCTTAAAAAAGGGGGAAAGTTGACAGCTATGCCTATGGACAGTCGGCCATTTCATGCATCCATGGATCAAAACAATTAGGCCATCAAGAGGTTTGCTGTGACCACAGCAAATGCATGTGCAGCTAGTTACACGGTGTTAATTATTTTAATTATTAAATACTAAACTTGAAAAGGGATCACAGTGCCTAAGAGGTATTACAGCCCCTTATTAGTTCACATAGGAATTTTATTTTCAGAAAGGCTATGACAACACATCTATTTCTACATGGGGTGGGGAAGTATCCTTATTCATTCTCTCGCTTTTAAAGCGTTGTTGCTCTCTGGTGCTGCAAAACACATAGGTCCAAATTCAAAAGCTTCCCTTTCTCTAGTGGAAGGAGTCATCAGTGAAAGGAAGCGATACAAGCCATAATTTTGTAATGAAAGGCAGAACACGTTGAAATTTCTTCAGATCACATAATCATAGAATTGTAGGGTTGGAAGGGACTATGAGAGTTCATCTAGTCCAAACCTCTGCAATGCAGGAACTTTTTTGCCCAACGTGGGGGCCCAAACCCACAACTTTGAGATTCAGAGCCTCATGCTCTACTGACTGAGCTATAATTCAACCATAAATAATACCCTAGTTCTGTCCCTTTAATCTGATGAGCAGGTTTAATAATAATAATAATAATAATAATAATAATAATAATAATGGTGGTGGAAATTTGGTTTTATTATTTAATAATGGAGAAAACATGATTTTTAAAAAAATAATAGGGAAAAGGACATCTTAAACATTTTTAATGTGAAACTTTCTTTTTTTAATTAAGTAATTTCACCAATCAAATCACCCTGTCCAATGTGTTTCAGTAAATCCATGCGCTGTGTTTAGGAGCCAGATGTAAAATATTATAATAAGCCCAGAAAGCCACATTTTCTGGTATCTGTTGACTGGCTTTTTCCTTTATATTATTTCCTTTTTGTTGTATTATTTCCTTTATATCCACTAAATCATTTGGTTTCACATAGGAAGTGCTGTAATCTCTCCAGAGAAAGATAAATTCATCCCCTCTCTGGAAGAATCTGCATTTCCCACCATAAACTTCATCTTTCCCCCATCATACAAATTTGTGTTCATAAACAACATCAACATAGTGTGACGTTTATGGCAGTGTAAACTGCATTAGACCTGAAGAATTGCTTAATTAACTGTACAATTCTGTATAAGTCTACTCAGAAATGAGCCTGTTTGAGTTCAAAAGGACTTTCCTGGGAGTAGGGATGGGGAAGAAATTTGATGCAGTTTGCTTTTAAAGATGAACTTCCTTAATTTACACCTTCCAGAACAATATGGGAACCGGAACACAACTAACCTTCAAAATCTTCACTTCTCTGAATTTTGTAATGCAATTCCCCAGCCAAGTAATGTGTAAAATAAAAATAAAAATGCATATACTAGGGTAAAGTGTGCATAAAAATGTGTACAATAGTAAAAAGAAAAATCACACAAAATGCATTACTGTATATAAATGCAAAAATTAAAATACTAAGGAAAATTGCATAGAAAAATGTGTATTTTAGAATAAATTCAAAATAAAATGCTGATAAATTTCCATGACGACATAACATCCCTGCCCCCCACCACCCACAAAATGTTGTGGAAATGTAGAGGGCTGAAGTTTCTATTGGAAAAATTAGAAATGTAGAGAAACGAAAATGGACAAATCCACCCATTCTTACCTGGGAGTAAGTCCCAGGTATGTGTGCCTAGAACTGCCAATTAAATTGAACAAGTCCATTGATTTGACTGGGTCTACTGCTCCATGGCTGATAGAAGTCGGTAGGAATCCTTGTATTTTGGGTTTTCATGTGAATTTCCTATATGAGATTGGCTTCCTCTTGTCTCCACCTTTTCTTTTCTTTTCTTCTCCTCATCCTCTTTGCACTTAGCTAACATCAGACAAGATCTATGCACAGCTTAATTGAAACAGACTGCAGAATTATGTTTTAATTGACAGAAGGCTCAAATTAATCTTACACTTAACATTTCTGGGAAGCTGCCTAGACACACAAAGTGGTTTAAATCCTCACTTGAAACATGAGATGACTAATGAAAGTTCTGGAGCAGAAAGGCTGAGAGAAGCATGTGTTTGAGGGATTAATCAAGTTCAAATATATAACATTCACTAGCAAGCGATGTACAAGAGGTCAGTCTGCAAAAGCCAGCAAACCCTGTTTTATTAAGACAAGAGAAGTTGTGCAGTGCAATCTCAAGCATGTTTATTCCAGGGTACACAACCACAAAGTTCAGTAGGCACTTTAATCCCTAGTAAGTGTGTTTAGGATTACAGCCTAAAGCAGTGAGCCCAGACCTAAATCAAAATGCCATTTTGAAATCTGAAAGTATTTTTGATTTTCAGTTGGAATAAGTTGATTATGGTACAGAAAGAGAATATTATCCAGAAGTATACATATCTCTCATGTATGTATCTCTCCTGGTTTAGCAGATGAATTCTAATGTGCCAATGCTTTATTTGCTGTAATCTTATGCTATGATGTTACAAATAACCTTGGGGAATTTTGCTGTAGGATTTTATTCGTTAGTTATTTTGATGGTGTAAATGTAAATTCTTATGCTTAAGGCTAGCATAAGCACAGATTCTTAAAGAAAAACAAATATGCAACTGACTGCTACCAGTTCTTTTGAAATCTCTTGTCCTCAACCCTGTGCACATCTACACGGAAGTAAATCCTACTGAGTTCAGTGGGATATACTGACAAATAAACACACATAGGACTGCAGCATTTTTTAACAAATAAGATGGTTCAATTTAGTTTTCCAACTATAGTCAAGCTGTTTGAATGAATGCTTGGTTCTTATTCATAGTGGCTTCAATCACCAACTCCAACCCAGAAAGTCAGGGATTGCTGTTGATGTAACAACACTTGCACATGCATTTTCCCAGTTCCATATGCCAGCTTATCACCCAGCTCTTTGTCAGTGACAAGTAAGAATTTTCTCCAGGTGGTCAGGCAGGGAAATTTCTTTCTATGAGAAATCAGTCATTTGAGGAATGAGGGAGGACTGTGGATATGCCACAAATGACTTGTGTTGGTATGTATAGGCAGACAAGCTAGTAAAATGTTTTATGAGCTACTGACTTCTCTGAACTTATTTCTAAATCTGTAATCAGCATTCTTAGCTCTTACAATACTGGTCAACTGTTAGGCAGTCAGGATGGGTAAGGAGATTGGCTCTGGTTCTGGTTTCACTTGCCTGAAAGCTGATCTGGGGATTACTGTATTTTCCCGTCTATAAGACGCTCCCATGTATAAGATTCCCCCTATTTTGGGGGACTCAGATTTAAGAAAATGGGGGGAAGATGTATCTGTGTATGACACCCCCTAATTTTTGACATTATTTTTTTAGGGGAGGGAAACCTAGTCTTATACACAGAAAAATACGGTAAATGAGGGGAGAACTGTGTACACCACTTTAAGATCCTTGGAGAAAAAGGTGGGATATAAAGGCTATAAATAAATAAATCAGTCCATCTAGAGAGCAACATGTGCTGTATGGTCTGCAAGGGAAGCAAAAGTCACTCACTTGCACCCTGCATACAGAATGTAGTTAAATGTTGAGCTTTTGCACTGTTAGGCAGCAGAGACAATACATTACCCTTCATTGTTGTTTTAGCACTCTGAGAATTGCTCCCTGCAAGTTTCATAACACCACATTAATTAACACAGCTTATTAACCTTCTTCATGCTACACAGGATGTCCTGCTGTTGTTTTTGAGGTCTGAACTTACCCAACTCAAAACACATTTTCTGAGTTTTTGTTCATCGCTATTTACATTTGAAAGAGGACTGCCAGACTAAAACCACACTTACTTTCTGGAATATTCAGTTTGAGTTTCTCCCACTTTCCTGTGGAAAATACCAACTGGCTGGCTGGCCAGGGAAAAACATTTGGGGATAATTCAAGATTCATGAGACAGAAATTTAAAAATAAAGAGGATTTGTCTGTGGAAAAATAGTATTTCCTCCTATAAAATAAAATGGCAGAGACCCTGGTCCCATAGTTTTATGTAGCTGAGAGGTGGTACATAAAAGAGCTTTTCTCCGATAGAGCTCTGATTGCATTCTTTGACTGGGAGGTGGGAAAACTCAGTCCATATTTTCTAGATCTGGCGTCCCCAATATGGCACCAGTGGGTACCCTCAGAGACACCCGCTTGCAACCTGCCAAGGCCTTCTGGGCCTCCCATAACAGTGTAAAAACTGGATGTCCCAGTTCAAGTATCATCCAGTCAAAGTTAAGTGCTTTGAGGACTCATACATATCAGTGGACACAATTAATGTCAGCAGTGGACTGAGATATTCAGATAAACAAAAAATCCATTGAGTGCTCCTCATTGGCCACCCAAATGACTCCAGAAAACCCACAAGTCAATCCAATCCAAATCTTTATTATTGTCATAGCATGAAGGCAATAGCTCCCCACCCTAACTGTTGCTTTGTGGTAACTGGAATTCAGTGAGATCTATATTATTCTATAGTAAGAGCTGTTTGACCGTGTAACAAACTTCCACGAGAGGTGGTGGACAGTTTCTTTGGTGGTTTTTAAGCAGAGGTTGGATGGCCACCTGTCATGTATTATTTAGTTGAAATACCTGCATTGCAGGTGGTTGGACTAGATGACCCTCAGGGTCCCTTCCCACGCTACAATTCTATTATCCTGCCTCTGAACATGGAGATTCTATGGACCAATGCCACACGAAGGTGTCCAGTTGTCATCAGTGCACCACTGATACTTTTCTGGAGCCCAGAGACCACTGAGTGACTCAGTCCCTGCCATTTTCCCCTCATGGTTTGCATGTGTGGGCTGTGTATCCTAGCATCCCATGCATCCTATCAACATGAATCTTTGGTTTAATCTAGACTACATATGTTGGTTTCATGAATTTATGAAGTGAGAGTTGCTGTATGGAAGTAACAGCCTTTTCTCTCCCAAATCCCCATTGGGTTTCTGTGGCAAGTAAAAACCCTTTGCACGTTCTCATGATGTCTATGGGTGAAAAAGTCTGCTGATGGTCTCTTGCTTAAGGGATCACACCCAGCTTTGCTTTGCCTCTGTTGAACCCTCCCACTGAAATCAACAGAATTTACTAGAGCTTAACTTTAGCTGAATCATACCAATTACCTGGTAGAATTTTTCTAAGAAATGTGTACTTATATTATTTTGCAGAATCACCTGGAATAGACCTTGGAAAAAAGGTCAGTATCCCCAGGGACATCATGTTGGAAGAGTTGTCATTGTTAAGTAACAGAGGAGCGCGGCTATTCAAGATGCGCCAACGGAGATCTGACAAATACACATATGAAAATCTTCACTTTTTATCCAGCAAGCCAAGAAATGTGAGTATTTTACACTCTATCACTTTTTTGTGCATGTCTGGCCTGCACAATTAGTAACTCATCAAAGTGAATCTCAAGGGGCAAGAACAAGAATCTCAAGGGGCTTAAAAAGGTCTGTCTGCCGTTCATTCTGTTTAATAGCTAGAAGTACTACAGTCCTGAATATTAGATGTAAAACAAGATACTACTATCATAAGCCACTGCAGACAAGGGATAAAGCAATCTGATTTCAGCATGGAAAAACAGGATATGAGGTAGCAGAGAACAGTTAAGAGCCCAGAAACTCTGATAGCAAAGGGCAGAAGGAAGTAGACTAGAATAAAAGGTGAGAACACTAAATCACAAAAAAATAAACAAGCATATGCTGCCCTTGGTCCTTTGGGAAGAAGGCAGGGTATAAATTAAAATAATAATAATAATAATAATAATAATAATAATAATAATAATATAGAAGCAAGGGCAAGAGATAGGAACCATACAGATAGGAAGAAATAGCAATGGATACGTCAAAAATATGACAAATTTTTATTATTGTTGAAAGGCTACCAAGCAAAACCTCATACAAAAAAATTAGATTGCAGCCAGGTCCTGCACCCAGTTTGCAGTCCAAAAGGCAAAGTAAGATTGTGAAAGGAAGGGGTATAATAGGAAAGGAACCAGAACTGAAATGAGATAATAAGCAAAAACCAGAGAAAACAACAAATACTCAGGTGTAGTTTAAAATGGAAAAAAAATGATGGAGGTGTTCTGACATCAGGAGGCAGGGCATTCCAGAGATAAGGAACAAAAAGAGGAAAGGGGTACAAATAAGAGATAAGATTTTGCAGTTGACAAGAAGCAAAGTACTACTAGGACATAAAGAATGAGGACTAGAGCTATGCAATCAGAAAGATAAGAAGCAGGAGTTTTGAGATATTTATAAACTACTAAAGGAAGATTAGATTGGGTCTTATAAGAAAATGGAAGAGCAGAAAGAAGAAGAGAAGAATGGGTAAACTTAGGGTACAAGACAAACTAAATGTGTTGTGGAACCTAAAATAGGAGGAAAGGAAAGTGACTGAAGATTATTATCTTATGCCAGAGAGCATTATAATGATCAAATCAGTATAAGGGTATTAAACAGGGTCTGTACAGTATCAATTGAAACAAAAAGTGAAACTGACACGCCGGTTTATCTGTCCAAAAGCCACAATTCCACAACACAATGGGTATTGTATTGTGAAAAGAACCTTAGAAAATGGGACAAAAGTGCTAATATCATAATGAGGGAAACAAGCACAATGTTTCCCCATGTCTGAATGCACCCTTAGACTTAGGGGGCTACAGAGGCAATCTAAGAACTGGAAAGGACACCATACCAGGACTCGAGAAGATGGGCTCAATCTTTTGCTGTCAGTTGAAATGCATTGACGTGGTGTAGCTTACAGTTCTCGTTGCCAGATATATGGGAAACGATCATCACTCACAAGTGGCAAAGCACCAAGTTATTCAGGTCAGTTCAAACAAATGCCAGTAAAAACATCTCTGCATTCCAGAGAGACAAAGGGGTTGCTTTGCTGCCTTTTTTAGGTGGAAGCTATTTTAGAAAACTAGCTTAACACTCTATGCATAAACTGCTATATTCCCCCCCCCCAGTCCTTATTGTTTTACCTCCAAAACCCATATCATAACTACATGCACTAGCCTAGGGATTCTAAAGCTGGAATCCACAGTATACTTAAGCCACATCCATACCATACATTTAAAGCAGTACAAGTATTATGCCACATTCAGTCACCATGGCTTCCCCACAAAGAAATGGGAACTGTAGTTTGCTAAGGGTGCTGAGAGTTGTTACGATTTTTTTAATGGTTTCCTTTGCAGTAGATGCATTGAAAGGGGCTGCACTAGATGACCCTCTAGGGCTATTCAGACCACATTTCTATGATGCTATGGTATATAAATATTTTTTAAAAAAATAAAAATAGGACACTCCTGTTTCCCTCACAGAGCTACAGTTCCCATTGTGGTTTAACAATCAACTCTTCACAAACTACAGTTCCCAGATCCCTTTGAGGAAGCCATGACTGTTAAAGTGTTAAAGACAAAGGCTTTAAATGTATGGTGTAGATGTTGCCCTGCTGGGTAACTAGGGGGTAAATTACATTAAAACACACTATTTTGAGTAAACATGGAAACAACTGCATTGTAAATCTTGTGCTATGTCAAGGCTCCTATGGGTGGACAAAATCTGTTTGAATTTCTCAGTCGAGGACTCTTGTTTTAAAGCCTTGTTTGTATTTCTCTCTCTCCCCCCCCCATACCTACAGAAAATTGTCCTCAAAGGCAGCCTATACTTACAAACCTTTTCATTTCAATGTCATGGCTAAAATAAGGTTTTTAGAGCGCTCTAATTCTATGTTAAAGAAACAATGATTAAGGCTTCGGATGGAGCCATGGAACTAATGACCCAGCAGAAAGAATGGCTCACTCCAGCCTGTCATTAATCTTTGTGAAGTGGCCTGCACTAAGGTTATTATTATGATTACAAATTGAGGTGTCATTGCGGGAATTCTTTATGGATACTGCTTAGGGATAAAGCCAATATTTAGGTGTCCAAGTGAGGTAAGCATGACCAAACACAAAGGAAGATAGAATTCTTTAACAGATGGGGAATTTCAGCTGCGTGGGGAGAGAGGGGAAGCTGCCAATCAAGCCAACAGACAAATTCCATCTTGGAGGGATATTTCCATCCTAAATATTACAGCAGTTACTTATCCCCAATTTTCTTTCATCACTCAGAAACGTCATTTGTTCTATGTGTGAGTCCTACTTGGCAGAAACCATCAGAGCCCTCTCAATTGCTGGAGCTATTAGACAGCTTTGTGACTAGATGTTTTATTAAATTCAAGGCCTTCTTAGAGAACTCTCTGACATCACAAAGGTGTTGCAGGAAATGTGCTAATGCATCTCCCAACGTATTTTTTTCTTTTGCTAAGACAAACAAGGAAGGGCAATTTGGGTCAGGACTGCTGCACTTGGGGAGAAGGGGCCATTCGAGAATACTTCCCCCTCCAAAGTTAATAGCAACTTTGTGGGGTGGAGTGTGTGTGTGTATGAATCAGGGTCATGGTGTCAAGGAAGGAAGGTTATAACCCCTTCCCCTCCCCATTTTGTACCTGGATCCAAACTGAATCAGGGCACTTGAAGTAGTGAAGTTTCTGGAATAAGGTCTGTTTTGTTTTTGTTGGGGGCAGTGAGTACATCATTTTAAAATTAGGGCACCATCTGACAGCCTTTGCTTCAGGAAAAAGGATATTTTAAGAGATAACTTGTTTCCCTAGAGCACAAGAGGCCTATCATTCCCAACTTGCCAGATACTTTCTATTCCAGCTTTAGAAAGCCAATTAATCTCTGTGGCATCTTCATCCCACAAGTCTAAAGCAAGAATAACACTTCAGCAGTTCAACGGGGTGCTTGTGAGTATGTGGTGCTCAGACAGCAGGATACGAAGGCCAAAAAAAAAAAAGTGGTCAGGAAAAAAGAAGATGCTTGAACAAAGCATTTAGTGTATCAGTTTGCCAGTTAAGAAACGCCAAGGAACCAGGACACTGTTTTCAGCAGTCCTTTGGCGTCTCTGTTATGAACCTGATAGCTGTGCTATTTCTTATCATTCAAATGCAGCGCAGCGAGGTCATACAGTGCATTCAGTTGGATGCTAGCAGCATGGAGGCAGCTCAAGAGCATGCGCCAACAACACCTCCTAATACCCCTGATCCACGGAGTCCACCGAACCCCGAAACCCTTGCCCCAGGTAAGCCACCGTGGAATATCCCAGCCAGACAAACCTCTTATTTTCCGGGCAAAGTAAAAACAATCAAAATTCTTCCATAGAGGAGACCTACTGTGTGGTATCTTTAGTGGAAGCATAGATGAGTCCCCTATGACCTCTGTGAGATGGCCAATCCAAAAGGTACAAAAGTTACCACATGATAACTCTACCTTCACTGTTTTGCAACACATAAATCTGCTATTAAGCTTGATGGCATATCAGCAGCACAATATGAAGTAGTCCCATGTGAATCAAGGTTGATTTTTTTTGGTCTTGCATGAGGGTTATTCTCCCCAACCCTTTCATTCATAGTCCAGAGTGCAAAATAAGTCATTTGTATGTGCAATTCTTTTCAGCCCTTTTTATTGTATGATTTTAAATCACCTTGAAATGAAAAGCAATTGATACATGAAAAGCAATTCATAAAATAAATGGCATTAAAATAAATCATGTTCCATGTTGCCATCATAATAGCAGCAGTTACTGGTTGAGGTTAGAATAGGATTTACCTCTATACAATCTACAGCACTTGCTATGGAAATATAAATGCTCTGGTACAAAAGTTCAAGCTTGAAGCAGGAGGTTTGGTTTATTCTTCTGCATTTATTGTGCTAAAACCTGTGAAGGCCCCAATTCAGTGAGATTATATCTTTGAGTTACTATCTGTAGAATGTTGGCACAAAGTTCTTCGGCCTGGATCTACTAAATATGTAGCTTCTTTATTTGAAACCAACCATAAATGAATAGATCTTATTAAAAAGGTCAGGGGAGGTCACACAAACAGAGTTATCTTATGCACAACAAAGCTCTGCAAATCTATCTGTCTGTTTTGGTTGTTAGGGGAAATCTTTCAGCGGATGCAGACTTGACCAATTATACAATATTTAGCGTGAAAGAATGTTTGAAAGAAAACCCTTATACAAGAGTAAATAGGAGGACAATTTGGCTCTCTTGTAGCAAGAACATTTTATACAGTAGCAAGGACACGTGTTTCCTTTATCTAGAGGCACTGAGCGACAAAGAAGTCTTTTCTTTGTCTGCCCTTTTCAAAACAAGAACAGAGAGATTTATTGGGGCATAATTTGTAAACTGATCACAGCCTTTTTGCCACTTGTGCGACTGCCGCATAATGGATTCAGCACCATATTTATGTATAGATTTATTTAATTAAGGCTGGAATCCTACACAAACTTCCCTGAAAGTAAACTGTGCACAGTGAAACTTACACACAAGAAAGCACACATAAGAACCTGCTGTTATGATGTGTACATTGTACCAATTACATGCCCTCTTGGAAGCTTAATGTTAACTGGCCAAACACATGCTTAAATAGCTGGAGGCTACATGTCATCATAAACGTTTTGAAAATTTGATCGGCTCATGTTGAAATGGGCTTTCCCCTCTCTTATAGATGCATGCATGCCTTGCAAGGATATGTAGATAAAAAGGTGTCAGTGCATTTTTTTTTTAAATGTTGTCTTGGCTTCCCTCCCTAATTGTCTTTACTTATAGAATCTTAGAGCTGGAAGGGACCCAAGGGACATCTAGTCCACCCCCCCACTATGCAGGAATATCGGCTACTCATCACATACTGCACACTTATTTTCTTCTGAATCCCACAATGATTTCCTCTCTCTCTCCATTTCTTTCCCTATGCTTCAGGCAGGCTGCCTGTCTTTTAAATTTTATTTTTCAAATATCTTCCAAGTTGATATGATTAGACATTTGTTTCGCACCTTATTATTATTTTAAAACCCTCAAAAAACCCTCAAGTTGTTTTTTAAAAAAACTTTAAAAACTGCTCTGGGACGTGAAGAGCCAGTGGCTTCATGACATCACAGGAGCCAGCCAATCAGCTATGTGCAAACTGTAGCTGGTTTCTGCTGGAAACTAGCCAAACCTGCTTCTCCTGGTCTGGATCTTACAGGGCAGATTTTACATCTGAGCAATGTGATTTGAATGCGGTTCCACAACAGTTTGGCCACACTAGTTGCATGTGTCTGTACATACACTTATTTATTTCCTTATGTAAATATCTGTAAGCCACGTGTCCCTAACAAGTCCACCCAAAGTGGAGAACAAAATACAAACATAAAAATACAAACATATTATAATAAAAACTTTTTAAATCCCAGAAGCTACACCAACCAACAGTACAATAAAATATAATCCAGTCTTTTCCAGAGCCGCAGCAATAAAACAACAGCATGGCCCATAAAAGACATCAATTAAAAGCCATTTGAAACAGGTGGGCTTTTTAAAGCTTTTAAAAAAACTTAAACTGATTACTTGATGTGTTTTGTAGTTTGCTTTGCCCCTGTGTGTTACAAAGCGAGATCACTGCAGGTAAATCTCCACGTTTTACAGTGTATTTTGAATATGTGTTAAATATGCCAGTGTTGTATAAAAAAAAAGTTTGAGCACATGAGATGAGAGTTTTCCACTCACAGTCTTCTACCTTTCTCTCCATCACCCAAGATATATTTGTCTAATACTGCCACAGCTGAAATTCTATTAAATCCTTAGACTTTTCTTGCCAGAGTTAATCCATTGTTTACAACAGAATTTAGAAGAGCAGCATTGAGGAGTGTGGCTGAAACCACAATCTTAATCAAATTATCTTTAAGTGACAATTAATGTAGAACCTCTTATGCGGTGCCAGGGGGACATGGTGAGAATGAGTTGGAATGTTGCGTGAGACAGTTGGGAGGTTGCTACTGCAAAATCCAAACACGGTGTATAATTTTCCTCTTGAAGGATATTCTGGACCACTGAAGACAATTCCTCCTGAGAGGTTCAACACTACATCTGTGCCAAAGTACTATCAATCACCTTGGATTGAAGCCATCAGCAACGACCCAGAGCTGTTGGAGGCCTTATACCCCAAACTGTTTAAGCCTGAAGCAAAGCCAGAGCTGCCTGACTTTAAGAGCTTTAACAGGTAATTTTGACCAATAAATAAATACAAAAATGCCAAGTTTTATAAGAGATGGATTTGTGTGGAAACTGTGGCTTGGAGCCTAAGACAAAAGAATGGAAGAAAGTTTGCAGAAAGAAAGTTTGCCTCCCCCCTCACACTGCACCCCATCACACATAGTTCAAGGGGGGGGGGCCTAAGCCTCCAGAGAAGCTTCTGGGAGAACTGAAAACTTTTCTTCTGTATATTTAATTCCATTAATGTATCAAGCCCCTCACCCTTTGATCCAGGATTGCTCTAAATTCAGGAACTAACACGTATGTGTGCACTATCAGACTTAGAATAAACAGAATAGGCTGTATCACATGCTGAGATTCCCCTACACTAGAGGTGCCACAACCACCATTTTGTCTGCCATGAGGCCAATGAGTAAGACCGGTTAAGATATTGGCACACATATTTTTATAGGCATTATATCCTCCCTCTATCTCTTGGTTTATAGATATGCAAATTGTGGTTTGGGAGTTGGGATCTAATCCCACAAAGATCTGAGGCAGGCGCAGTTGCCACACATGTTCCTCTCTGTCCCTTAAGGAATCTGAGAGCTCACAACGTCACTAGATAATCTTTAGTCAACAAGAAGCTGAATTTCTGCGCTTGTTTATACCTTTTTTTTAAAAACCCCACATTTTCAGACTTTTAAAATCCAGCAAAAAGCTGGTGAAATTCTTGTGAAAATAAAATCTAGGTACAGTATTGCATACAAAGAGCCGAGTGTACTAACGGCAAGAGATAAACAGAGAAAGAAAATGTTTACGTTTCAAATGGTGTCCTTTGGCTTTTAGCAGAAGCTCTAGATGTGTTGACATTGACTGGAAGTATTTTGGGAACATTTTTACAAAACACCCAGGCTGTGGCGCATGCTTATTCAAACTTGATACAGTAATTTCATTTATTGAAACAGTGCGTGTGGTGTGTGTGTTTTTTTCCCTTTAATGAATAGCTTGCATTTAATTCCAAGTGACTAACACAACACAAAAAATCCTTTCAGAAAGCAAAAGGTAGCAGTCCATTGCTACAGAAAACAGGAAGCAGGCACTGCATGCCTTTAGCAGCTGGTCAAGACTAGTATTTCCATTCTGCAGAATCAAAGGAAGCAAATGTCTCAAAGTAAGGAGTGAGGTGGCTGGCAACTGGAGCCCTACCACACTGTACCTGGCATAGAGATAACCACAATCTGGTCCGCCATTATCAACAGGGAGCCTCTGATTCCTCCTGCAGCTGCCACCAACTTCTCTCATAGACTGCCAAGATCCACCCTCATTCAGAAGGCTATGCAGTGGTGGGGGGGGGGGACACATGGGCAGCGTAAAGTTGGGTAGCTGTTTCTTGCCACCTTGGAGACACGCAGTAGGATGAGGAAGGGGGAGAGGAAGATGCCATATATGGCAAAACGTGGTACTGGCTGTTCCTCCCGAGGATATGGTCTCTTCATAAAATGATGCAACAGATGCTGATGGAAGTGATCTCATAATTGCATAAGCTATGAATCAAGACAAAGGCCCCATTCAGATGTAACAAAACGATACGGCTTGTTGTTGTTACAAGACCAGGCTGGGGGTGAACATTGAGCTCACGTACCCCCCTTCCCCACACAAACAAAGAAGCGCAGTGGGGAGCAAGCAAGCCTGAGGCTTACCCTGACACACTCTCACAAGAACAAACCATGGTTTGCTACAGCTGAGTGTCCTGTGACACTTAAAGGCAAAGGGTACAGTACAACTAATGTTGAACATGCCCATCTATCTCCCATAGGGTCCAAGCTGGAGTGAAAAGTGTGTAACTCGACTGTGTTGTGCTGCAAGGCTGCGAACCTGACCACAGATGGCCTCACTGAAGCCACTAAGATTTGGCCTGAATATAAGCCACACTTTCCCCCCAAATTCCAACTGTGGAAAGTTAAAGTGCAGCTTATATTCGTGACCTTACAGTATGCAGCCAGGAGCGCGGGGCAAACTGCAACAGGAGCGTGGCGAAGTAGCACCCACCCCACATGTAGTCCCCCGTCCTCTCCCCCAAGGCCGGGAAGGAAGAGAGCGAGGAAGGGGAAAGGCCGCCAGCAACACAGCATGGCTCCTCCCCGCCCCCGGCCAGCGTGCAGTTAGGAGCAGCAAGGAATTAAGCAGCTTATATCGGGGTCTTTTTTCTCCCCCCTCTCCAATTTTAAAGGTGTACCTTATGTTCGGGTGCAGCTTATATTCGGGCTAATACATCAATAAGCCTAGTTGTTCTCAAGACCCCAACTCCTCTGATATTATTTTACTGATAACCTGAGTCTTTCGGTGCAAGAGCCTACTTTGAAATCATGGAAATGGTGGGAGTAAAGAAGCCCAAAAAGACACTCAGAGCAAATTTGGGGCAGCGAGGGGAACATACCAAGCATACAGTTAAGGCAACCCAGCTGAAATTGTGGGAAACTGAAAGCAATGATTGGGGTGGGGTGAGAACAGGGCAAGTATTTTAAACAAAAGCAAAAACCCACAACTCCTCGCATATATTTCTTTCTGTCGGATTTCTACTCGGCTGAATATAAAAGTCCAACAACCAAATGCCTATTTTTAGGCTCTATACTCTCCAGTCATTATAAGTAATTAATCTGATTACTGTTTCGGGAAAAATGCAGAAAATGACATCACCTTCAAGAGACCCCAGTGATATAATAGTGACACCACTCTTTCAGTGAGTCAGGCCCTTCTGCTGGCGTTGTGTCACTGCAGGAAGAAATATTTCCAGGAATTGTAATTCTGGGTTTTTCACATCAGACACAGACTCATTCCTGATCATCGAACTGTGAAGGCCAACTCCCACTTCTGAACCTGTTAAAAAAAAAAAAAAGCTTTACACCAGGAAAGCAATGTGTGTTTCTAATCAGCTGCTATTATTGACTTTAATAGAATGGGCTCAGATAAAAAGACTGAATTCAGCTGCAACATCCCCTCAGTTATCAGGCACTACCATATTGGTGTAGTGTTCACATCCGGCTGTGACAATTCATAACAAACCTGGAATGGATTCAGAAGACAGCTAAAAGGATCCAAGAGACCTAGGAGGAAAATGTTATTTATTATTACTTCATTTATTTATTTTTGAAAAAACGTATGAGTCACAGTCTCTGCCACAATAGGACCCAAACCAATGCACAGCACCTCAAACAACAAAAGCCATAAAAGGCAGCATAAAACACACTAAAACTATAAAGCAGTCAAAACATACAAAGCAGTTGCTGAAATAAGGTCAAGATTATCTAAACCCGATAAGCAGCATCAGCAGAAAAAAGTAAATAAACTATGTAATCCTAAATGTTTGTTTAGAAATGTCTTACTGAATTCAATGGGACTTCCACTTAGGTGGGTATAGGATTGCAGACCAAGCAACTCAAAGGCCTGGAAACAACTTACAAAACAAAACAAACAAAACAAAACAAGAAGTGAGAAGATTATTCACTTGGCAGCAAAAAGAAATAAAAATTCAAGTGGATATTTGTGGGACAAGTGTTCCAGCATATGGACGCTGAATTTGACCCATCCTCTCTGAGAGAGAAAAAAGATGTTACATTAATGATGAGAATACAATTAGTACACACCTTTGTTACATCAGCAGTAATTTTGGCAGAGCTTGATCACCTCAGAATTGTGTGGAATGTGGCGGGCAAGTTCAGCGCTCTCTGTGCTATGGTTCTGACAAAAGTTACTTTTCTGATATTTGTATGTCAAGGGAAACCCCCACTGGTGCCAGTGGGAGCTTCCCTTGAAATCCAAACAGCAGCATCAGAGACAAGATGTTGAGACTGCGGCAGGAAAAGATAAGGGTTAAACTCTTCATCCCCATGGACTGAAGACTGCCCACCTGTCTCCACTGCTGCTATTTACATAACAACAAAAATACTTGTTAATGACATTCACACAATAAATAGATGCCTAGTTTGGCCCAGACAGAGGGAACAGGCATCATGTTGGCCATTATTATTAATTATTATTATTACTACTACTACTACTACTACTACTACCCTGCCTTTTCCCTAATAGGAAACCTGTGTTATCCTTGACTTAAGGCACCTCAAAACTCTCTTGACTGATTGTTTTTAATTATGCAATGAATTGGGGAGGAAATTTCCTCCACCTTTATTATCATTTTTCCCAAGAAGGAAAACTATCCAAAAGAAGAACTCTTGGTGAGAAGTGAGGCACCACAGAATGCCTGGATGTAACAAGAAGCAGGCTTGACCGGTTATGCCTCCCTCCCTTGTCAGTGAAGCAAAGTTCCCCTCCTGAAATGGATTGTTTTCAAAGCACTAGAAGGAATCCAGTCCATCTGGATGTCGTTCTGTGTTACTGCACTGAACGCAGCAGCCCAACTCCTCAAGCTGCAAAACCATCTCCAGCAGGTTGCCATGTACTACATGTGCGCCACAAGCTTTTAAGCCACTGATTCCACAATAGTAATTTATCCAAATCTGCATCCTTTTCTTCTATTGCAATGTAAAGTTGCTTTTCCCACACTGATTGCTTGGTAGCCATTGCTTTTTGCAAGAACTGCTAGACACTGTTGTTGACCATACCAAGAAGGGGGAAAATGATGGGGGGGGGGGCAGAAATAAGGTACAAGAAATATAGTGGTGTTGAGGAAGGGCTGTAGTTCAGTGGTAGAGCATGTGCTTTGCATGTGAAAGCTTCCAGGTTCAATCTCTAGCATCTCTATGCAGGGCTAGGAGAGATCCCTGTCTGAAATCTTGGAGACCCACTGCCAGTCATTGTCGACATCGCTGAGCTAAATGGATCCATGATCTAATCCAGTACAGTGGTACCTCGGGTTACATATGTTTCAGGTTACATACACTTCAGGTTACAGACTCTGTTAACCCAGAAATAGTGCTTCAGGTTAAGCACTTTGCTTCAGGATGAGAACAGAAATCGTGCTCCAACGGTGCAGCAGCAGCAGGAGGCCCCATAAGCTAAAGTGGTGCTTCAGGTTAAGAACAGTTTCAGGTTAAGAACGGACCTCCGGAACGAATTAAGTACTTAATCTGAGGTACCACTATATCAGCCAGCTTCCCATGTTTCTATTAGAAGAAAAAAGTTAAAACTGGATACCACCTCCTTCAAATGTTTTATCAGTTCACAAAGACCAACACTGGTGCTCTCTGAGCTAGATTTGAAACACAGGAACTGAACTGCATTTCATGAAACACACAACAATGTTTGTGTTCTAACCTACAATTATATATGATTAATCATTCCTGGTTGTTGTGTAACTACATTGCATATGTATGGTCACCTGCTTTCGCAAGTCACAAAACTGGGAAATGAACCTAAGCTCAGGCTAATTTTTTGCTGTGTAAAAGACTGCACTTCTCTATTACAATCAACAAGCTTTATTATGCTGGGTTTTGATTGTATACAATGAGTCAGATTCAAATTACATGTTTTGCTTTCATAAAATGTAGGGCATTACAACTCCTTGACATCATCCAAATGATTGCTTCAGAAGATTTACTCTTGAACTTTAACTAATTAATTACTCTGCTCTTCTTTATGTTGATCCCTATCCAGAAAACGTGTATTCTGAACATTTGATCTAGTTGTAACACATTTTGTTTTTAAGAAGGTACTTCTTTTAACATTAGAAAGCTATTTCCTGACCTTTCAGAAATCTGCCTGTAATATCCAAGACTGAAGGTTACGAGGAACCAGACAGCTCATGTGTATATTTTTGGCAATGCCATTAGGAAACAATGACAATATGTTATGAAATAGAACTTACATATGAAGCTGTCTTAAAATGAGTCAAAGCATTGCTCCATCTAGACTAGGACTGTTGTCTCTGACCATTTCTAGTAAGAGATTACAGTGGTACCTCAGGTTACATATGCTTCAGGTTACAGACTCCGCTAACCCAGAAATAGTACCTTGGGTTAAGAACTTTGCTTCAGGATGAGAACAGAAATCGTGCTCTGGCGGCATGGCAGCAGCGGGAGGCCCCATTAGCTAAAGTGGTGCTTCAGGTTAAGAACAGTTTCAGGTTAAGAACGGACCTCCGGAACGAATGAAGTACTTAACCCAAGGTACCACTGTAGTTACACACACCTTTGCACCAATGAGTTTCAACTACAGTATTAACTTTTCTAAAGCAATTCAGCTGAATTGTTCAAGGTTTTTCTGTAAGGTAGCATGCTTATTTCCATTCAAATCATCATTATTAGAGAGAACGGAATAGTAAATCCCTTACAGCTACAGTTCTTGCGGTGGTTTATTGTCTGATACACACTGAACTCTTGCTGCCTTCTCTCAATGAAGTGGTTTGTTCCAGTGTTGCTAGACTTGATGAGATATCTGCATCACCTTGGTCAGCTCGCACTCCTTCTACCACAGTTCCACCCCAGGTGTAAAATGGGGATGCTAGTGCCCTACTTCAAAAGGTTGCCATGAGGATTAGTGAGATAACGCCTACCTACCAACTAAAAAGTACTACGGAGGAAACCAGTAACAAGTGCTTCAAAAGAAAAACCATATGAATGTTCTGAAATACCCCTTTTAATTGTAGGTTCAAAGCAGAGTGAGTATATGTTTTGATTCACCTTTCCTTTACTCTTGTCCCCGTCGTCCAGAGTTGCCACTCCTTTTGGTGGTTTTGAGAGAGCATCGAAACTGGTTAAGTTCAAGGTACCAGATTTCAACTTCCTCCTGCTAAATGATCCACGATTTATGGTCCTTGCCAATCCTCTTTCTACCAGGCGGTCTTTCAACAGGACTCCTAAAGGATGGACCTCTGAGAATATTCCCATAATGATAACTATACACCCTACAGAGGTAAATGGCGTTCCAGAAACAGATGATCTGTGAAGAGAGAGTGGAGCACTCCACACACATCAGAATCAGTCTGGTGATACTCTGATCTTTCAACATGTGCTACATCATTTTCTTATGCAGCTAAAATGTAATACCATCTGATGCTGTTAACAGTTTCTGAAGTTAAGTTTGTTCTACTAACACAAATAAAATAACTTGCCCATTACCTTTGAAAAACTAGTTTTGCCTCTCTCTCTTTTATTTCTCTAGCTCCTCTTTGCTCTTTCTGTTCATTATCTGGCTTGATTTTACATTGTTGCATTTTCCTATTAAAAGGGGAAGTGATAAAAATTATACTTTCATGTTACTAGTTTATTTGTCAATTCTGTTTTGGGCAGACTTGCTTACAGAGATACTGGCAGAACTGTGAAAGAAAAATATTTGGCTATTGATTCTATGAAGGAAATGTGGTCTTCTGCCATCCTCTGTGAAAATCAATTTATTACTGAGTGTTATTCTGAACAAGGTGTGTCTATATAAACAGGAATAAAAACAATATGTGTAAATAAAACAAAATAGAGGATTAAATGCTTGAGAAACTCTCCCAGTGTAAACGCATATGTTTGTTTGACCGATACATACAGCAGTTTAACAGCATAGGATTAGCATAAAATGTTGCTGTGAATGATACAAGAATGGACTGAAATTTTACCAAAAAAGCACTAGATCATGTTTAACGTAAAATAAGGGAATATATATCAAAGAACAATGCTAATTCCTTATTCAGAAAGTAACATATTTTGCATGAAGGAATAGTTACAGTATTTTTCGCTCTATAAGACGCACCAGACCACAAGATGCACCTAGTTTTTGGAGAAGGAAAACAAGAAAAAAAAATATTATGAATCTCAGAAGCCAGAACAGCAAGAGGGATCGCTGCGCAGTGAAAGCAGCAATCCCTCTTGCAGTTCTGGCTTCTGTGATAGCTGCGCAGCCTGCATTTGCTCCATAAGACGCACACACATTTCCCCTTACTTTTTAGGAGGGAAAAAGTGAGTCTTATAGAGCAAAAAATACGGCAATTGAATCTTTTAAAAATGTATATTAGAGACAATAAAACCTTTGCATGTTGTTTCCAAAACAGTGTAAAGTTGCATTTTAATATAAGTTTAATTTGATTAAGCCAATTGTGAATGTTTGCAGCTTTAATAACTTTTTGTGTACGTAAGATCAATTTTGAAAGTGCACTTTAAAACAAAATTTGCCATCAGCCTTCAGGTTGATGCTCACATTATACTCTTGCGGATGCTTGCAGACGCTGAGGTCCCATGTGTCAGGAAAGACGTCGTTTGCATCATAGCATCATGCAGATCTTATTTGTGTATGGATCTGCACATGGCTGGGATCCCCAGCAGTTGGCAGAGTTATGCAGTTGCACAAGTAATATCTACATGTGACAGGCCTTATAAAAATGACATCATCTGTAAGTTAAGCATTGATTAAGTAAATGAAATGCTTTAGTAGACTTGTGTTTTCAAAACCAGTTTTGCTGTGATAGTGATGCATGCTGCTGCGTCAATAGTGAAATAAGGACCAGATGCAATAGAGGTGACATAATAAGAGTAACAACAAAGTCTTGCGGCACCTGAAAGGCGAGCAACTTTACTGTGATGTAAGCTTGCTCATGGTCAGGAGCCCACTTCATCAGGTGAATGACGTGGTCACCTACGTGAAACGTGTGAAACAGAGAATGTGAAACTTTTGAAGGATGAAGAATGTTGAATCAATGGATAACAAATGAGAATACACCATAAAAGTAATGAATGGGATGCGCCTTTTCCCCTGCTTTTACAGAGGATGCATGCACAGGTCACATTTGAACCTTTGCGCTACAAAATATGGTCTGTAAATTCAACTTCTAATTTTATTGTGAAGGAGCACCAGGAACCAACACTGCTCTGGAAAATAAAGCAGGCACCAATTTGTAAGAGCTCTTAAGCCATTGGGGAATGAAAACATGTCCACAGATGGGAGGAGAGTCCCAGCACTATTAGCTCATAACAACTCCTGATTGCAAAGGGAGGAGCAGAGCCTCTCTGTTGGTTCCCAGCTCATCCTTTGATCCCTTCTCTAGGCAACAAGCCACTCGCTCCTACTTGCTGCTCAGGCCTCCTACATGTCCTCTAGCCTTGATTTGTCCCTTGCTTCTGCTTCTCTGGACCAAGACGCCTCCAACTGTACTCCAGCCTGGTTCCTGATTTGCTTTTTGCTTCAGTTGCATGCAAACGACTCATTTCCTTCTAGCATTCACCATGATTGGGATTTTTTTCGCCACATCTTGGTTTAAACCACAATCATTGCAAACATATTCTAGATTGTTCAGTGTGGCTGGGTCAACCCAGTAGGATGGGCGGCTAATAATAATAATAATAATAATAATAATAATAAAGCAGTGCCTAGATAATGCTTCAGGTGGCCAGTTATTTTTCGCCAAAATAGTGGAAATGCATCACCAACAAAAAAGAGACTGAAGGATGGCACCAATTTGTATGTAATTTGCATGAGTTAATGTATATGCATAGATACAAAATAATTGCTATAACTTAAAAAGAAATGCATCTCACCATAGAGGTGAACAAGACTGTGGCCAGGTGAGCTGTGTGTGTGTCCAGTCTGTTCCCCAGGAAACCCAGCTAGATGGGCAGGGTATAAATAAACTTCTTCTTCTTCTTCTTCTTCTTCTTCTTCTTCTTCTTCTTCTTCTTCTTCTTCTTCGTTGAAGGGCAACTTCCAGGCTTCCCTAGTCTCCCTTCTTAGGATTATTTTCAAATCACATTTGGGACCAGACCGTCTTCCTCATATAGGTCACCTTTAAGGCAGGACTATGACCATCCTAATCCTGCTCTCGCACTGAGTTTCTCATGTCTTTGATATTGTACACATGCTATCCGTGATGCAACTGCATGCTGGCAAACAAGCTCGTTTGTGGAGTTTTCAAGAGTGAACTGAACTGACTATGGAGTTCAATCCTGTACGTGTTTACCCAGAAGTAAGACTCACAGAGATTTCATGGGCCTATTTATTTACTTAGAAAGTTTTACACTACTTAATTTAATCATCATCATCATCATCATCATCATTGCATTGTTTCAACTTTCTGATGTTTGCCCCCCGCCACCCAGGTCCTTTGGAAGGAAGGGTGGGATAGAAATGTAAGAAATATATAAATAAAGAGCAACATTCGATAACATTTCCTTAAAGCAGATAAAGACAAAATGCAGCTGCACATCACAAATAGCACAGGGTACAAAACAAAACAAAAATCAAGCGTCCAGAAAGCCAGGGTAAACATATATATATAGAGAGGGGGGGGTCATTACTGCCTCTGCTTCACAAATTACTCATGGGAGGGCATTTTAGTAGATGGGTGCTGTCCACCAAGGCTTGCTTCTGTGTTGTCACCTGTGATAATCTGCTGGTGGATTTCCTTGGAATATCTTAATGATTAGATTGCTTTCTAGCAGGGGAGATGGTTTACTAGGTATCCTGATGCCAAGTTGTTTAGGGGTTTTAAATGTCAACAACAAAACTTTGAACGTGGATCAACAGGGAATAGGCAGCCATTGTATTAGCAAGCCCTCCGAAAGTCACTCATGCCATACACTTTAAGCGCATTTAAAGCCCATGGCTTCCCTGAAGGAATCCTGGGAACTATAGTTTACTTCTCATAGAGTTACAATTCACAGCACCCTTAACCAATTACAGTTCCCAGGATTCTTTGGGGAAAGCCACATGCTTTAAATACTGTATATGGTGTGGATGTTACCCAATGCAAGGGGACCTTAATTTAATGGGAACTGGATCCTCTTACCCTCCAAGCAAAAGAAGCAAAATATTACCTGGATAATTGCACAAAAAGGTGGCTATCAATACCATTCCTAATCTATGGTAATGCAGTTTCCCACAGGTGGGTGAAAAGGCAGGACTGATACTATGTAATCCTTGCATAATGTGTTATTCGCTGGAGTTTTCCATATTAAACATGTAAACCAGTGTAATCCTAATTATGGGTGCACTTTTCTCATGTCCCAATAATTTACAATCTATGATTTGTGGTTATGAAAATAAACAAAAATTGCTTTCCATACAATGTGTGCTTTATGTCATTCAAATATGCCTTAATAGGACATAGTCCGAATATGGGAGTAACAAAAGCAGAGAGACATTGGCACTTCCTCCTCTAAAAGGGAGAAGTTGTGTCAATGAGATATTTGGGATTGTCCACTCCTTAATGGGCTACTTCCTAAATCTGTCCCATTCGGAAACCCAGATTTTGCCCCCAGAAAAAGCCCAGTTGTTTGCTCTACCACAGACAAAAAATCATTCACAACACAGGAGAAATTGAAATTATTTATTTATGGCATTTATATTCTGGCCTTTAGTTAAAAAAATATCTGAGTGGCTCACAAAAATCAGTCATCATTTAGGGCTGAGGCCTGAGGAAGCAATAATAGAGGGAGCTTTCTACATGACTTATAAAGCCTTAATTCTAAATAAGGATTTTAGGCTGTAATCCTGTACCAACTTACCTGCAAGTAAGCTCCCCTGAAGAAAGAAGGACTTTATTTCTGGGTACACAAGTCTAGGATTCTATTTTTAGTTGCAGATGAATCAGATTAATGCCCATGACTTAGATTTTATTTATTTAACAAAATTTATGTACTGCTTGATTGTAATTAAACCTCTAAGCAGTTCACAAGAAAAGCAGTTTATAGGCAGTTTACCCTAGTTATATCAAATTTCTACAGGCTACCTGAAGTGTTGGTGCTGAGACGGTGGCTTGTTTAAACCATGGTTGACCTTTAAATCTAAATTGGGAAACTGTGGCTCAATCCCTTTTTAGTACTGTACTCAGGATATGAAACAAAGATCAAATCCCAGATTCATATCCTGGTTCATAAGTTGGGACTCAAGCAGTTTCCTGGCTTGGATGTAATAGAAAAATGTGATTTAAACAAGTCATGGTCTCAGATCTCACCCCCTCAGGGGGAGGGGGTCAGGGGGAGAAAAGAATACCCAGGGGTACTATATATAGCTTGTTCTTGGGTTGATGATCAGCCATGGTTTATAAGTCCAAGGTTATTATGCCTGAACCAGTCTTCTGAACTGATTTTCTCCTCTAACTTGGAACCTTCCTCATGCTGAAAGATGCTGAGTTTCCTATCCATTTAATAAATTCCACGCTGTATTGTGCCTATTATTGATTTTATTCTTTTTCTATCTTTTCTGACTGGGTGCCATCATCTTGCTGTATGACCCATCATGACAGAGCCCGAAATTTTGCCTCCCAGCTCACTTTGTACATTTCTTCAGAACACTCCCCCCCCCCCCCCGTGTGTATCCTCCAGTTCTTACAAGCTTAGCTTCAGGCACACTTGTAAATACTTTAAACAGTCGCTCTTGGGTTTTTTCCTTCCTGTGCATTTCCCAGTAGCCAGAGAAGTCACGTAATAAACCTTGCTGCTGCTGCTTTGTTTATTTCAACCACATTGCCTTCACCCTTAACTTGCCTCAAGCAAATTTGTTCTCTTTTGTAAGTTCTATGAAAATCGCTAGCACATACCTGCCAGAGCAAAAAAATCTATTCGCTATCCAATGAAACAGGGTGCCTTTCTTTTATTTATCATGACTAATGTTAATACTGGGCTTGGAGCAACAGAGGGGAAGGCAGACACGAATTAATACAAACAAGAACAAAGGCGGGAATAGAGCTGTATGTGCCTTGTAAAAAGCCGTCTCATTTCCTCGGTAATCCAGTTTCTAATTCAATGACACAAATAAGCCTCCCACAATTTAGGGAGCACTTGTTTGTAAACTTCCTAATGTTCCCTACTGTGAAAACTGCAATAATCTCACCACATGACATAGCAATGCTAGAACTGGACACTGTATTATGAAAAGTGTGTTCCTAACAAAACATAATCAGTGTTAGAGGGTAAGTAAATGATCTTTTCATTGCTTGCGTCATCCTTACAAATTTGCTGACATGCTCCAGCTATTTCTCTTAGGATATTGGCTACCAAGCAAGAAAAAGTGAAAAGGCCAGAAAACATTGCCTTGGAGAGTTCATGTCTTTGTGAAGATGCTATTCTGCTTAGGCCAACTAAGTTAGAACTGAACCAATATAGATTGCATAGTGAATTTATCTGCAACATTATTAGGCATCTCAAAGAGAAAACAACAGGAAATCAGAAATTTTAAAAAATTAAGCGCATATTCTTCCACTGAATTTAAGAAAACTGTCTGGTGAGTAGTACAACTAAACAATTCCCAATGGCTGGATTGAATAAAATGTAAATTCATTTTAAAAAATGACCTTCCATTCAAAATCAAATCTGTCTTTAATTTGAAAATCTAAGAATGTAGGTAGGTACGGTTATAAGATGCACACTGTCCTTTGTATTGCTTCTCAAACCTTGTTCTTATTTTTACAAAATTATGCTTTTCTAATCTGATATCTTGAGGAAAGTTACATTTTAGGCATTAAAGGTACCTCACACTACTAATCTCTATTTCCCCACACTTCTGTCTAACCCTTTTCAACATATCTATTTTTCAAACATGTTTTTTTTATCTAGCCTTTTTCTTGCAAGCTACGTCAGCCAGGAGTCATTTATCCATTTAAAGCAGAGATTGGGAACTTGTGGCCTTCTAGATGTTGTTGGACTCCATCAGCCCAGCCAGTATGCCCAGTGGTGAGAGATGATGGGAGCTGTAGTCTGATCTAAGGCACACTATTTATGTTGTAGTAGGAGTGTGAAATCACAGCAGTGCTGCTCCCTACTGTGCTTGCAGGTAGCACAAGAAACCCAGGACCACTCAGGAGGAGCCCATGCCAGTAGCCCAAAGGATGATGCCGAAATGCAGAATAACAACATTGCGAACTCCTCCCATGTGGTCTGGAGCTACTTGTGGTAGCGTGGTAGCAGTATACGCTAGAAAAAAACTGCAGGAACAACATGAGTATTGAGTCTAACCCAGATATCTGAAAGACCCTGTCCTACCACATAGACCTGCCCAGTTGTAAAGATCTGTAGGTGGGGTCCTCCTGGTACTATCACCAACCTCTGAGGTTTAAAGGGCGGCAGCATAAGCAAGGGCCTTTTGGGTGGTGGCCCTCAGTGAATGAACAGCTCTATTGTCCAAGATGCACCTGGCCCTGTCACTGTACAATTCCATTGACAGGTCAAGATGCACCTTTTTGCCCAAACCTTTGGATACAGCTTAGTGATATGGAGTACCCACTTCTGTTTTATAAACTCTTTTAAAATACTGTTTTGAACTTATTTTTAATTACCGGTACTTAAATTGTGTTCTGGAGATGTCCATAACCTGCCCTGAGACCTTACAGTGAACGGCAGGCTACAAATTCAAATGAACCAACAAGCCTCAAAGTGGATCTAGGAATCCAGAAGTGAGAGAGGGCATTTTAACAGCTGCAGAAGAGACTGTTCCCCAAATATGACCCATACAACTGCCATGCAGCTTCTCCATGCAACTTGTCCACATGCTTTGTCCACATGATGATGAGAACAGTGACAAAATGGAACACGGAATAAACTTGTTTTCTGCTATTGCTGAAAGGTCAAAGCAGTGTAGTAAAACAACAAAATTGTGACTGCCTAATAGCCCCACCCAATCTGAAGTTTCTGCCATCGCCATCACATTGCTCCCAACAAATTCCAACGCGGGACAAATTCACAATAGCTTTTACCCCTACTGCACAATGTCATCTCTTTCCAATGTCAGGAAAACCCAAACATAACAAGAGTTTTCATGGCAATGATATGGCCCCACAGTTCCTGAGCCTCCATACCTTCCTTGTTTGTCCATGTCCTTCCTTCCAATAATATTTAGTCCCTCCAGTTCTTAAGCCCTTTGTGAAATCTTGCATCAGACCTTTGTCTCTCCTTTTTCCAGATTCATGCTGGCCATTCCTTTCCCTCAATTCCCTGTCTCGTGGCCCAGTCTCACATCAGTCATGACTGCTTGCATCAGCCATTGGTTCATAGTCCTCCTCCATGCTTTTTCAACCCTTCTGTCCCATCCCCATCCCCCCCGCCCCCATCTCACATCATACTTCAGGCAACAGAATACATTTCCTCACCTTTCTTAAGCCCCAAGATTTCCCATTCTTATTAATCTCTCCTTTCAATACCTAGGTTAATTTGCTTGCCTGTCTTTTCAGTGGCCACTGTCTCCTCTACTTACTCTTCCCTCCAGTTTCTGACTCATAGCCCTAGGCTACTCTGCACTCCCTCAATGAACTCCAAGTCTGGGTTCCTTATGCCTGGAATCCTCCTCTCCTTGGATCTCTTCCACAACACTTCCTTCCCCTTGGGCCTATGATCTTTTTCACATGAACAACTCACAGTTTCGTTCCCTTAGCCACTGTAATGCTTATGAACATTCCATGTTGTTGCAGCAGGATATGAAGATGAGCATATATTTTCTTCATCACTGAGTTACACAAACCTCAACCAGGGGCCAGGATTCATGGAAAATGACTCTCCTGGGCGGACTTGCTCCCAGCGTCACAGAAAAGGACAAGAAAAGGAGGGGAGAGGGAGAGCACATGGGGAGACAAGTGGAAGAGAGATGGTAAATATGCTAGGCAGGGGAAGACAAAGGGATACTAGGTAAGGTAAGAAGAGGGGACCAAGCACAAGACAAGGCAAAGCAGGTTCCATGGTTTGGGAAGCTCTCAGCAATAATCCCCTGGTGGACACTTCTCCTAGCTTCCCTGGAGAGGTCTAATCCTCCCAACACACCACCCAGAGGGAGATGACCAAATCAGCAGGTACTGCTCCTTGCAACTACCTCCACAGCTTGCTGACCTGAGCAGGCAAGAAGCATCTGGTGCTACCTTCACTTTTTCTGTCTGAGTGTTCTTCAATAATGGGTCTCCAAATGTTGTTAGACTGCAGTTCCCATCATCCCCGACCACTGGGCAAGCTGGCTGGACATGATGGGAATTCTAGTCCAACACCTGGAGACCCAAGGTTGAGGAGCATTGTGCTAGATGGCATGGCCACTGGAACTGGGTGAAACAGGCCTAGCCTTCCCAGAGGGACCCTATGAAGCTGCTCCTTGAGGATACCTGACAGTAGAAATGCTAGAAGCAAAGCCCCGTCCTCTGTGCTGCCCAGAGGGAGACGGTGATGAAGTGGAGGCAATGGCTGCTCTTAACCTCCATCACTTGCCCAAAGATGAGTCTCACCTTGCCTGCTCACTCCTTCTAAGCAGCAGTGCCCAGCCTATTTCCTATTGCTACTGACTGCAGACAGAAAAGCCACTTCTTTGGACAGTTGCCTGCTTCCCTGCATGGGTGTTAGGAGCTACTGCTGCCACTGTGACATGTCTTGTCACAACATCCAAGCAGGATTCACACTTCTCTGGGGATCCCCCTGACAGTGGTGGTGGCAGCTTGTCAGGGGTGGGTACCAGCGGACCTTTCCAAAGTACTGGTGCCTAAGCTATTCACCAATACCAGCCTCTGCTGCCAGCCCTAGAGTAGGATATGAACGCGGTGTGTGTGACGGAATAAAAATAATAAGGGTATGTTTTTGTTTAGTCGTTTAGTCGTGTCTGACTCTTCATGACCCCATGGACCAGAGCACGCCAGGCACTCCTGTCTTCCACTGCCTCCCACAGTTTAGTCAAACTCATGCTGGTAGCTTTAAGAACACTGTCCAACCATCACGTCCTCTGTCGTCCCCTTCTCCTTGTGCCCTCAATCTTTCCCAACATCAGGGTCTTTTATGGGGTTATTTGCATGTTTTCAGCGTTGTTCCATCCATTAGATTTCTGCAAGAAAGAAAAGCGGAGCTGCTTGATGGCGAATGCCCTGCCCCTTATCAATGGGCACTTGTCACCATGGCTATGTTCTACCTCCACTATCAGGGAAATTATGTGCCTCAATACTAGTTATCGGGAACTGTGAGTGGGCACAGAGTGCTGTTCTGTTCAGCTCAGGTCCAGCTTGCAGGGTTTGTACAGGCACCTGGTTGGCCACTGTGAAAACAGGATGCTAAGGAGTGAAGTGTGGGTAAATAATGATCCAGCAGGCTGCCAGTTTCAGTTCCGCAGCTTGCTGAAAGCTCTACCTTCGGCTTCTTCCCGGCATCCTTCATCAGCACTCTGGGTCGCGCAGCCCGCAGGATGAACTGAATCGGTATCCCGCGCGCGTCCAACCTCCCTCGCCACCGCCGTCCCAGGCTCTGGGGTTGATTGATTGATTGATTAAAGGAGGGGGAGTGGGCAAAACCCTGAGCTTGGGTTGGATGCTCCTGGGGTGACGTCACGCCCTCGCACTTCCAATCACTCCTAGCCTTCGTTTCCCTACGGCCTCCCTTTCCTTTGCCCAATCGGAAGCCAGCATTTCCCCCGCGCGCTCGCTCTCTCTCTCTCCCCCTCCCCTTTCCCACTTCTCCCTCAGCGTCTGAAGTCATCGGAATGAGCAGGAACTCGCTCTAGACTGCCCCGACTACTTGCCCCGCCCACGCCAGTCAGCTGCTGCTGCTGCTACTGCTGCGCGCGCCCGGCCTGGCCGTGCGCGAGCGCGCCTCCCGCGAGAACTCCCGCCCCGCCGCTTCTCTTTCCTCCTCCCGCCTCCTCAGGTTCTGTCCCTCTCTCTCTCTCCCCCCCCCCGCCCCTCTCTCAGCGAGGGCGCTCTAGCTTCGCCGCTCCAAGCGGGAAAGAAGAAAGTTACTCAGCGGGGAGGGGGGGAGCGAAGAGGGAGCGAGGGGGCGGGGCCACCGCCTGGTACTGGTGGTGGTGGGCGGGGGAAGGAGCCCTGCCTGCAGCATAGTCTGCTCGCCTGCCGGACGGAGGAGCCCGCGCTCGGGATGGGGAGAAGCGACTGGCGTGGCGGCGGCGTCGCACCGGAGGAGGTGAGGTCCCTCAGGGGACGCGGCGGCGGTGCTGCTGAGGTGGCCGTGGAGTGGGGTGTGGGGGGCTCCCATGAGGGGGAAGTGGCGCCTCAGACGCGGGGAGAGCGAGCGAGCGAGGAGCGCCGGCCGAAGAGGCACGGCTGGGTAGGAGGAGGGGAAGGGAAGCGAGGTGGCCAACGGCTGGCCTTTCGAAAAGCCGGTCGGTTGAGAACTGGGGGGGGGGGCGGTAGGGAGCGGGGCCCTTGGCCAGCTTCTCTCCCTTCCACGTCCACACACACCCTCACCCTCCTCCCTCCAGCCTGGAACTTCCTGGCACGGAAAGTTTTTCCTCCGGCGGCAGGTGCCTGAGGCGGCGGCGGGTGTGAGCTGAGTTTGCCCCCTCACGGGCCAGCTCGGTGCTGCCCCCTCGGATTTGGCCCAGCATGTCTGGTGGTCGAGCTGGTCGGCTTCTTATGCGGGGGGGAGACCCCCCCAAACACGACACGCCTCTGCATTCTCACGCATCCTTCCAGGGCCCTTCGCGGGGTGGGTGGGAGAGTTGAGGGTAGGGTCTCCTTGGTGAAAAGCCTTTCTTTCTCGTCCACCATCGCCTTTAAAACAACAAGAAGAACCTGTTCCTCTCCTCCCCGCTGTATATTTTTCCTTCTGCTTGTCGAGCCCTTCGAGCCGTTCTTTTTTTTTAACCCTTTAAAAAATAATAATAAAACTCTCTTCCTCCTTGTTTACTACTTCACGCTTTCTGCTCCAGCCGTCGCTGCTCCGTATCTGTTTATTGGCTGTTGAAATGGCTGGGCTTATGACAACTCTCCGCCCATACCTTGCTCTTTAATCCGGAGCCTTCCTTAAGTGTTTACATGCTGCCGCTCACCCACAGCGTGCAGTACGGTTTCTGACTTTTTCCCCCCTCTCCTCTCCTCCCAAAAGCCCCCTCCATGGTTAATTTCAGCAAATATTATTACATCGAATGAAGAGGCAAGTAATCAGAATGCTTGTGACTGCAAAGCGTGTTTAGGGCGAGGAATGGTCCGGGGTTGAGAGACTGGCCCACGCACTGGGCCATTGTTTTGACTGCCGTTGCATCAGACAAGGTTTTGCTAAATTTAACCTTTGCAGATCATTGAAACCTGTGTGAATAGGATCTGCATAGTATCCAGTACAGTATCTGATTTCCCATTCTTGGGTATGTGTTAGTCAGTTTCCAGCAGATTTTTGGCGCTGTTTTAATCCTGTGTCTTCTCTAATTTGAGTTTCTTGATCTTCTTGCATGAAAAAGACCCGCAAATGACATGCTATATTCTTTTTAAAAAATATTTTTGTGGTTTGCATAAAAAACTTGGGATACCCTAATTCTGAGTATTTATGTTCATGAACATGCTAAATCAATGAAACTTCATTTTGTTAATGTGGCTAGCTTCAAAAGTGTTAACATAAGTGTTAATTTTTAACCTGGATGTTACACACATGCTCAGTGATTGGCATTAAGTAAGGAAACTGCTCTTGAAGTTTATAGGCAGTTTATGTGTGGCTTGCTGTAGTGCTTATGAAATGAAAGGGTGACATAACTATTAGGTATTTACAGTTTTATTCACTGAGCAGTAGAACTGATACTTTGTTTTCTGTGAAGTTTTTCAGATACCATATTCATGCTTTTGTGAAAGAGCCACCCAGGGAACTTTGGTAATAATTGGATGAATAAATAATTGCAGTATGCATTGAATGGATAGTACAGTATTAGCTTGTTTGTTGGGTGGGATATATTTCTTGCCCAAAGCCATGCTTCATAGAAGCAAGTAGTGCAGCACAGGTGGCTGCAGTGGGGGTGGGGAGAATTAACAGAAATTGTAGCCCTTCACCCTTGAGTGAACAGAAGTACCTTTCTGAAAACAGGTCCAATTGAGCACAATAGTATTTGCTCCTCCGAGCGTCAATACCCAGTGTGTTGATTCTTTTAATGCAGTAAAGGTAATAAAGGTAAAGGACCCCTGGACGGTTAAGTCCAGTCGAATTCGACTGTGGGGTGCGGCACTCGTCTTTGCTTGCAGGCTGAGGGAGACAGCATTTCTGAAGAAACCCATTGAAAAATCAAATAGTAAAAAAATATTGTAGCAATTGTCTTAAGTGAATATAATTCATACTTTGAACTGAATAAAGCAGATCAGATTGCAGTATTTGCCAGTAATGTTAAACGGCTATAAATCTTGGAAGCGTTTCAAACTAGATTCAAAACATCAGCTTCAGGCATTTCAGTAATCTGTCAAATGCCTTGCAGAGTAAGAAGTGGAAACTCTCAAGCCATAGTTATTTGATGTTTTCAAAACTTTCCTGTTTATTTATTTTTGTAAATATTTCCACCTTCCTGAAAACTGACTTCATGTATTCAGGACATGGTTCCACCCCTGCGCATTGTATGAAAAGATTATTACTGGAATCTTGATGTTAAATTCACAAGTCTTGTGACATAGAAGTTCTTTCTAAGTCTTCTAAGATTTAGTTTGCTAGAGCATGCATAGGCAGACTCGGCCCTCCAGATGTTTTGGGACTACAACTCCCATCATCCCTGACCACTGGTCCTGTTAGCTAGGGATGATGAGAGTTGTAGTCCCAAAACATATAGAGGGCCGAGTTTGCTTATGCCTGTGCTAGGGGAGTGGGCTTATAGTGTTAAAGTATACCATTTTGCAATATGAAACTATGAAATACTCTTTCCAAGGAAACTTCTCAGAATGGAAATATGAGCATATTAAGGAAGCAGTGTAGAACTTGTTTTTATTTCAACTGGCTTTCTGGAGAGTAGAGGGTTGAAATTTTAAAATGGGTAAAAATATTTTAATTTTTTTGCCTTTTAGGTATAACATAGGACCTTCAGCTATAAAACGAAATAACTCTAGATCATTAGTTGCAAGAGGGATGCACTAGCACTAGTTTAGCACAGTCATGCAAAACTGAATATTTAAACAATGTGCACCACTCAAAAAAGTATATTTTCTGTGGTGGTGGGGAGCACGTTCCATTTGCATAAGGGACTGTTTATCCAGAAGGAGGAAGAACTAAAATCATAGCCCCCCCCCCAAGGTTGAAACAAGAGTAGAGTTCCACTAAAGGTAAATTCTTGGGGGTCAGAAGCAATTTCTGAGTATGTATTTATTTAAAATCACAATTGTCTCCGAGCTTTGCGGATCAGACTGAATACAATAAAGATTAAATCAGTTAAACTATGAAATCAGAAATTACTTAAAATACCTGCTGGAATAAGAACATATTCAGTAGATGCTGGAGGTTCAACAGGAAGGGCCCTGTCTTATCCTAGGTCCTATGAAATCTAAAGGGTTTTGGGGAGGAGATAGCTCTCCTTCAAACTAAAAAGCGCACTATGTCAATAAATATATTTATTAAATATGGTCATATTTTAACTTCATTAAATGGAAGTTGCTGTACTTTTTATTGTTCTTGCTGGGAGAAGTGAGCCAGACAATGCTGCATGTTGTGGCTGCTTTATCATGGAAGAATAGTGGTGGTAATGGCTGATACAGTGGGGATGATGTCAGGAACTCTGTTTAAATCAGCAGGTATTACAAATGGCCTGCCACTGTTAGCTAAGTACATAAGACCTGTACTGGATCAGACCAAAGGCCTGTCTAGTCTGGCATCCTATTTTCCAAAGTGGTCACCCTGGAGTTTCCTGAAAGTGCACAAAAAGGGCATGATAACAACAGTTCTCCCACAGCCAAGGTGTGTGGCCACTGATCATGGATATTTATGGTTGATAAACAAACTGTTGATAAACAAACCTTCCATTAATGTGTCTAAGCAAGTGACTATCATTTATATTTTGTGGCAGGAAATTCCATAAGTTTATGCATCATGTGTGAAGTAGTACTTCCTTTTGACTATTGTGAATCTACCATATTTAATTTGCCTGAGTGTCAATAGTATGAGAAAAGGAGAAGCATTTCTCTGCTTTCTCTACAACATTCTTAACTTCTATCATGATGTTCCCTCTTCTGAACTAAAAAGTCCCAGCCTTTCGGTTGTTAGGGAAAGTATCTTAGCCCCTTGATCATTGGAGTTGCCAACTTTCACAGCTCTGATACCCTTTTTGACATGGGAATTCTGGGTGTTAAAAAGCCACTTGCAGTTTCTGTTCATAGGACAAATTATTCTGGACCTCTGCTGAATGTTGCACATGGGTTAATATTCCTTACAGCTTTGTGTTGATAAAGGTATCTCGTATTTGCTACCACTCCTAACAGTATTTTAAGTCAGCCAAAAATAAAGTTCTTTTGAGACTAGCCTGCATACATTTGTCAGCATTTTTGTAATAATTATTGGTTGTCTGAGAACAGACAGTGTTTTGTTTTTAGACCACCCACGGTGCCTAGCATCAAATGATGAAATGAATATTTTCATGTTTGTTTTCTCTAATTTTGGTTAATACCATAAACATATTATTTCAATAACCTCACACACAAAGAAAAATTGTCAGTCTGTTGTTTGAACCTGGGTCTAGAAGCACAAAAAATGTGGAGTGGTTCAGAAAATGTGTAAAAGGTTGGATAGGGAGATAAACCTAATGTGTTACTCACATAAGGTGGATTTAGTGTTTGGAAATATATTGTAATGCTGGGCTTCTACCAAGTTGCTTCGGATGTTTCATTCATCTGACATTTTGGGTATGTAGATGTATTCCAATTTATGTGGAAATGTATATAGGCTCTTGTTTTGAGCATACCTTAGCTGTTAAAATTTAGTGCTAGTACCTCTGGAACTGAAATAACAAGTTGCTACAAGAAGTGCAGTTTAAATGATACCATTGAGTACAAAGAGTTCTGTACAACTGGTAGAAAAATACATAAAATGTTGGCTTGGTTCAAAGTAATGTTATTCTCTTTTTGTACAGTCTTTATCTGTAGTTACACTCATTCAGTACTACAAATATCTTTTCTCAGAAGTCAACTATCTAATGTTTTTATTTTGTCTTCTGGATTTACTCATTACCTGTGTATCCTTTTGATTGTATTGTAGCTCTAAAAAGACAGCTAACTGAGCAGCACTGAGTAACTGTCAGAATAATATTAATAGTAATCCAGTCGGGATATTTCAAGAGCATGGATGGTCATGGGCAGACCATCCCCATCCAAGAGCAGTCATAGCTGCTGAACCAGCTAAAGCTGGAAAAAGGCCACGTGGGCCTCAAATGACAGAGCTTGATCAAGGGACATTGCTACGCAGTACATCTGCTTTGTTGAGTACAGCTTCATCTAGAACAGTCTGCACTCCCAGAGTCTGAACACAAGAACACTGGTGCATGTGACATCAGACTTACAGGGATTTAGCCTCAGTTTCTTGATCCTCATCCAGCCCAATACCAAGTCCAAACATTGGTCAGTCTCACCTGATTCATTGGCAAGAGAAGTAGAGCTGAATATTATTATCTTATTGATGGTGCCTCACTCAAATTCTCCTAATGCCACCACCCAGTCAGTGGCTTCATATACATCAGAGATGGGAACCTGTGGTCCTCTAGATATTGGACTCCAGCTCCCATCAATCCCAGCCAGCATGGCAAGTGGTCAGAGATGTTGGAAGTTGTAATCCAGCAATATTTTGAGGGCCACAGATTCTCCATCTCTGATATAGATGTTAAATGAGTCTAGGTAATGAGTTTCATCCAAAAGCACATTGAGTTGGCTGCCAACAGGTATTTGTGCCCCAAGGACTTCATATGTTATGCTATCAATATATAGAAACCTAGAATTGGAAAGGAAAGCTAACAGCTGGATCTTAAGATAAGTAAATTCAAGGGTCCATAGAAAGAAAGCTTTCTGTTCCATTATCATAACTACATTCCCCACATTGAGACCCATGTTGGGTGAATGATTCCTACACTGCAGGGGGTTGGAGTAGATGACCCTTCCAATTCTACTTTTCTATGATTGAGTTCAACATGGTCAGCTTAAGAAATGCCTTGATTAGCTAACACTCTTTTTTTGTAGTGGTTGACAGTAGTTAAATGTGAGGTGATGATTTTAGGAAGTTTTTTAATCAGTTGGTAGATGTGTTATACTTGGTAGATGCTTTATACCAAGGTTCCATTGGCAAATGTTTAGGTGAAATGCATGTTGCATCATCTGTATGTTCTTCTGACAGATTCCTGGGATCACTCATTCCAAATAGTGAAATGGTCTTGGAAATTGAAGTTATTAAATCCACTTACCATCTCTCTCTTCAGCTCTTACAACCCATCTCTTCATCCCAACTAAATAGCTGGAATAGAGAGAAGCCCTGTGTATCCATCTATGTTCTGTCTTTGCTGCTGTCAGCTGTGTACTTCAACTCTTTTGCTAATTTCAGATTCCCTCTCCCTTTCTCCTTACAGATTTTGAAAGAAGACAGATACACGGTGGAACTACTTTTGCAAACCACAGGAAGAAATGTGATTTATTTCTTAAAACGAAGAGAAAGAACCAACCTGCAAAAAGACTGATTATAGCTAAAACTAGCTAAGAATTCCTGGTTTTTTTCAATATAAAGCTGCCATAGTATTTAAAAATTATCTTCCAAAGAGTCATTTGCACTAATATTAAAGAAGAAGAAAAGGTGAAATGCTATAAAGATTGTCCATAAGTATTTGTATGGCTTATCATAATATTACATGATCTACTCATCAGAACAAAATTTTTCACATTTTATTTTATCTTTATTTTTTTAAAATAAAAAGAGCAGATGCGATATTGACTTAATGCAATCTGAAGACTTGGACTTCTGAACACAATGCCGTAACTTAAAGGCAATTGCCAGGACTAGGTTTGCTTTGCTTGGAATCCTTCAGACTTATTTTATAAACACTGTTTCCTAAATAATGGCATGGGTAAAGTTCTTGAGGAAACCTGGAGGAAACCTTGGAAAAGTATATCAACCTGGAAGTGTGATGTCTTTGGCGCCTACCAAGGGCTTGCTAAATGAACCAGGACAAAACAGTTGCTTTCTTAATAGTGCTGTACAGGTAAGGAACTCCTCATATTTAATGCAATAAAACACAGCTCAAAGACCTATTTAGTCCAGCATCGTATTTCACGTAGTGTCCAATCAGATTAAGCCTACAAGCTTCATAAGTTATATTGAAAGCTGGCTATTAATATCTTTAAAATGCATTCTCCCCACCCCCACCGCCATTCACTATGTATCTTTCAAGATTGTACATGGTGACAAGAATGAGAAGGAGCAACAGCCTTCATTTTCCTTGCCTTGCCTTGCCTTTTGTACAGTTTGGTTCGAGAAGGAGGGGATGCAAGTGAATTGGCAATAGTGACTGTGGTGAGGAGGTGAGTCCACAAGAACCCAACAGCCAGCAGCAAATTGAAGTCTACTGTATATAATTTATAGACTCTTGAAACCAATGTTTCTATGAAGCATATATATGCTAATCTAACTGTTCCTAACCTTGAGTCTCCCAATGTATTTGCTAAGCAATTCAGGCCAACAAATAACTTTCATGTAATTTGAAACTTTTTAAAAAAACACCCACAAGGCTAGCAAATGACCACAGTGGCTTCCCATTATTGAGCTGGTGTATTTTCCAGAAAGGGCTGCCATTTTCCCTTGTTTGGTGGCTAGCATGTCTGATAATTGCTGCTTGTTTGTATGAACAGGCTCTTATTCTACTTAGGCTGAATTTGTAGGACTTCATAATATTGTGGTCATTTGTATTCCATAGAAAATACATGTTAAGCTGCAACTGAATTTTATCTTAGTTGTGCTAAATGACATTTTGCTTTAGTATGCACATATTATCAATGTTTGTCATTTAATCATTTTTGGTAGAAGACATGGAAATGCCGTTTACCTTCCCACCACAGCGGTACCTATTTGTGTACTTGCACTGGTGTGGTTTCGAACTGCTTGGTTGGCAGAAGCTGGGGACAGAGCAACGGGAGCTTACCCACATGTATTTAAACAAATTTGACACTGTGTTTTCAGAGGTTGATGAAGTAGTGGTTATCTTCCTTGGCCAAGAGGTACCACTTAATCAAAGTAGGACTGCAGACTTGAATACATCACTCATAATTGGAAAACTTTCCCTTTAATTGATCAGCATTTCAACATGGGTGTTATCAAGCTTTGCTTAAGTAGGAAGAAAATAATTCCTTTGAGAAGCCTTTAATAGGTTTCTTTTGCTAACCTATTAATGCCACACACACAGTTACAAAAGAGTCAAGAAGAACCCAACAGCTGGTCATCTCAGCCACTGAAAACAGCTCTGTGTGTGATAACCTTTCAGCTATCATGGGGGAAAGTAGCTACAGTATTTCAGTGAAAATTCTAATACTTCTTAGTTTTTGATCTTCCAATTATTCTCCCTTCTAACATGTAGTAGTTTGAATTTGCATATGCATAACTTAATTTTTTTTCAGTGAATCCAATGGCACAACTAAAAGGATCCTATTTCTAAACCAGAGATGATGAGCCTACAACTCCCAGCATCCCTTGGCAGCATGATCAGTGGTCATGAATGATGGGAATTGTAGTCCAGCAACATCTGGAGGACTACAGGTTCTCCCCATCCCTGCTCTGAACCATCATTCATTCATTTTACTGTCTATCATACAAAGATCACAGGCTGGTTTACAAAAATACATACTATAATAACAAACAAAAACAATACCATACTTCCCACAGTTTAAAAGGCCATAGATTGTTTAATTAGCCAAAGACCTGGGAGAAGAGCAATGTTTTGCCTTATGCTTAAAGATATGTAATGAAGGTGCCAGGTGAAATTCCCTGGGGAGAGCATTCCACAAGAGGGGAGTCACCGCAGAAAAGGCCCATTCTTGTGTTGCAACCCTCTGAACCTCCCACAGAGGAAGCAGATAAAGAAGGGACTCAGATGACGATCGCAGGATCTGGGGTCTAGTACTCCATGTTGTCATAGTGTATCAGTACTGTAATGAAAGATCAGTTTATTGTAGGCCTTCAACTATATATGTGGACAAATATGTTATTGAAGAAATTGAAGCTTTTATTTTCTGCCTCCTCATCTTAGGTTTTATGGCAACTTGACATATTTCGGCGAAGTTTAAGAGGTCTATCAGGACATGTTTGTCAGGGTGATGCCTGCATATTCTGTGCTTTAAAGGTAAGTTTAGAATCACAGTATCCAGTTCATAAAGAGATTTTGAAATTCTTATTCAAGGGAAACATGATTCAAAACTTGTTTTTGTAAAGGAGCATTTGTTAACAGCTATAATTGCTGCCACTTAAGTATTTTGTATACTGTTGTAATTACAGCAATGGAATATGGATTAGAAAACTGGGAAAGAGGGGACAGAGGAGTCTCTTTAAATCCCTAATAGCACATCCTTGAGAGGGAGAGCAGTGACTACTAGAAATCCGAGCATGAACACTTCTTTGAGGATATACTGAAATATTGTGTTACCGGTCCCACTTGTCATTGTTGCATGGAACTTGCATGCTCAGTATACCAGCTGCTGGGGAGCAACTGTGGAATTGGGTTAATGTCCTCATGCACTGCGTTTGGGTTTTCTGGAGATTACTGATTAGACATAGAGGGAAGCAGGTTGTTAGATTAGATTGATAGTTTCTGATTCAGAGGGTGCTTACATTCCCTTCACCAGTGCAAGGGTTTCTACCGCCCTAGGGCAATGTCTCATTGCAAATCCCATTTATTTTCTTCAAGGTGTAGTTGTACAGAAAATGGGAAACATGGCCCAATAGAGAGGGCAGGTAATAAGTTTTTTCTCTACTAGAAGAAGAAGTATTTGGTATTGCACTGTGTTCAATACATCAGACTTCACTGAATTGTCTCCTAGATGAAGAAACCATTGGAGTATGCTAGCCCATTTAAAAACCGGCTATTTAGAAGTATTAATTAATGGTACTGTTGATTTTCAGACTATATTTGCACAGTTCCAGCACAGTCGAGAAAAAGCGCTCCCATCAAATAATATGAGGCATGCCTTGGCTGAAAGCTTTAAAGATGAACAGCGATTTCAACTTGGTTTCATGGATGATGCAGCAGAATGTTTTGTAAGAGCTTGATATTATGCTTTTCTTTAAAATTTGTCTTTGATACTTTGTGGCAGTGATGTGGTTAGTTTGGATACAAGAGCCATATTCACATCTCTCACTGAAGCATCTTAACCTTTAGGTTTTTGGTGTCACTGGGGTTTAGGATGAGAATAAATTAAAAGGAATCTAAATATTTTGGACACTAAAGTTCTATAGCCTTTTTTAAAAAGGTGGACTTGAGAAGAATAATTATGGTATATATTTAATACAATTATTGTTGGAGACATTGTTTACTGTCCATTACCTGGAGTTAAGTGAAACTGTAATTCATAACAAGTGAAGAAACAATGTGCCTTGTGCTTTGCTTCACCATCATGAGGGTATCTGGGAGGGTTCTGGACCTTCAGCATGGGAGTCTGGCATAGCATTATAGGGAGTCTGAATGGTGGGAACGCAGGATATAAATCTATTAAATGAATCAATGCATTCCTTTGTTTAGGAAAACATCCTTGAGAGAATTCACTATCACATAGTGCCAAGCAGTGAAACAGATATGTGTACGTCTAAATCCTGCATTTCCCACCAGAAGTTTGCTATGACATTATATGAACAGGTAAGATTTGTGTTTGTTGTTGAATTTAGTGCTCTTAAAGTTTCCAAAGTTACAAAAATTAAAACTTTTTTTATTTCTAGTGTGTATGTCGCAGTTGTGGGGCATCTTCAGATCCTTTGCCTTTCACAGAATTTGTGCGTTACATTTCAACAACAGCTCTATGGTAAGAGACCTTGTTTTCTCCTTTATTCTTCCCCAGACCTCTTCCATTTTGTTCTTTTTATTTCCAGATTCTCATAGTATGAGAACTGGGAATTCCAAGGAATAGTGGAGAATAGAATGGAGGTGGGTGTGTTCAATACCTTGTTGATGAACTGAATAATGCTTTAAAAATTCACTAACTCCCAGGGATACACATTTTTTGTACAGATTTCCATAACACCTGTTACATGAGGATCAAACACGTATGTAGCTAGCCTTCCTAGGACACTGTTATGGTTACAGGCTATATGGTCCTTTTTCCTGTGTTGTACCAAAAGTTAAATCACTGGTTTATTTATTTATTTGAAATATCCTAAATACATCGTAACACAATAAAACAGAGAAACAAGAGAGATGACTGTTCTGCAAGAGTTAAGGATTCAATGACATTTGAGGAAGCAGTGGAATTGGGTCATGTTTGAAAATACACATATTCAACATATCTTACATCCACCCTTCCTCTGCAGTAACATTTCACACCATCTATCTGATTCTGGCTCATTCTAATAAAACATAGTTCTTAACCTAGTTTGGACATAGCAACAGATTATAAGTTTAAATCAGGTAGCAGATGCTTTTGATCTCTTCCTTCTGGCACTTGCTAGAGGAGGAGAGGGGAAGCAGCATGCTTGACCACAAGACTTCTGCAGGGAAGTTCATGTAGCCCTAAACTATGGCTCAGTGTTCTGTAGGAACCAGGCCATTGAATCAGCTCTTGTCTTTCACCCTCAAGAGCAGGGCATCAATTTGGACTGATAGGAATTGAATCCCACTGGGAAGACAGGAAGCAAGATTGGAATTGACATATGTTCCATGGCAGGAGCTACTTAAAGACACGACTGTTTCCTGCCTCTGAAGAAAGAACAGGAGTTTACTTAACTCCTGCTAGGTCCCCCCCCTTTCTTTTAAATTAACACTAGGGACAGTTTATTTGCCTTTCTCTCACCCAGTCTCACACCTTGCTGAGTAAAGCAGGATCGGGAGGTGAGTGCCCTGGATGGTTTTAGCACTTGGTGAGCAGGCAACAAAGGAACCCCCTCTCTTGGGACCTAATGTTCAATTTCAGTCCTGGCTCTTGCCCTACCAGGTAGAGTAACTTCCAGTCAGTTTAGGCTGTAGTTCTGCTTCTATGTAGAATGGAGGCAAGAAGCTATCAAAATATTTTTAACCAGGGGAATATTACAAAACATATGATTATGTTTTTAAAGCATAATCTTTTATCCATACACTTCATCACATTTATGAGTTTTTAGACTATGTCCAGAAATAAAATGGCTGGTTTACAGTGATGTATACCAATACTGAATGCATAATAAATGGATTTAAACTATTTATTAATGTGTCCATAACCTGCAGTGTATTTGAGTTGTCTTACTCTGGTATTACTCTGGAATGCATTTCTCAAAGATTATTGATTTTTGAAATCCTTCAAAAGAAATTAGGGTGCAAAATAGTAATGGTTATATAATTCCCTTATTCCTTTTCAGACATAGTACCTCTGTCTGATTCTTCATTCTCTGCATAGATTAAGATTTTAAAATTCTAAAACACCCATATTTGTTGTATAGTACATGGGCCAAATAGCGGAAAATAGCTGTTTGCTACTATAGTATTATATGCTAAGTTTAAAATTTACTACTTCTTCTCCGCAGCAATGAAGTTGATAGAATGTTGGAAAGACATGAGCGGCTCAAGCCTGAAATGTTTGCCGAACTGCTTCAGACTGCAAATACTACTGATGACTTCAGGAGCTGTCCTGTGAGTAAACAAAAAATGTTTCTGTTTGAGCTAAATTCATAAAAGTGATGAAGCTGAACATTCCATAACTGGAAAGGGAATTTGGTCTGTTTCTTTCTCATTGATTTATTTTTAATTTAGACTAATATTGTAAAACTGCCTTGGATTACCACATTCTGAAGCCTTCTTTAGATGTTAAAAAACATGTGCTGATAATCCCATGAAGGAGGAGAATGGGAACGCACACATTTGCCCTCCACTTGTGCAGATTCTTCCCAAAGGTTCTCTTTGGGTTGGGGGCATGTCTGCAGCAGCTCACTGTACCAAACACACATAGCCTGCTTGGAGTTCCAGCTCACAGGGACACCCCACATGCATTCAGTAGGCCACTCAGCCGCACACATGATCTTAATCCACAGACAGTTTTTGAGATTGGTCACCATGAGCACATACTGCCATGCTCTTCTCTTTCATGGGGTTACTGCCATGTGTCTATGAATACCTAAAGAAGGCTTGAGTGTAGGAGGCAAGTAGGGCATGGACAAGGTCCTCAGGAAGATAGAAAACTGCCTCTTGGATGTGTGAATGAGGACCACTGCTTATTTTCCTTTGGCTCTCAAATGAAGCAAGTCGCTTTGGGCATCTATTTTTTAAAATTGGTGTACCTTATTGGGTTCTATATATGGGGCAGGACAGTGTGCTTATTGTTTAGAGTGCATACAGTTGTGTACACGGCTAAATTAATATATATTCATAAAATTTATTACTCTGCATACACTCAAACTTAGAAGTATAGAAATGGTCATTTCAGATCATTTGACCTGAAAATAACTGTTGTGATTTAGACCTTTCAGATGTAAATTATGTGGTAGTAAAGGGCTTAAGAAGTCAGAGTAAAATATAATGCTTTATAAAACACAGTGGTGTAGCCTGTCCCTTAAGTGGCATGACTTACTAAACAAAAATAATATTTTGCCTTCAATTACTTCCCTCCTCATTCTGTCAGTATCTGGATGTGTTGCAGAAATATCCAAGTCCGTCAAAGAGCAGTGATCTGAGGACTAAATAACAGTAATCTATCTCTCTGACTTCTGAAATCTATTGTAGAAAGTAGTAGTAAGAAACTCAGCTGAATAGGGCATAATTATGATTAGTTTGGTGTTTATTTTAGATCTAAATAATAAGTTGCTAAAGTAACATGCTGTTAAGTAATTGTGAGACATATATTGTAACATTTATTCTGAATTCAATGAGAAATAGATAAACCCTGAGGATTTAAACTAATTAGTTTTTATATTTTCTCCTTTTTCTAGAGTAACTGTGGCCAAAAAATAAAAATCCGACGTGTTCTCATGAATTGTCCTGAAATTGTCACAATTGGCTTAGTCTGGGATTCAGAACATTCTGACCTAACAGAAGATGTCATCCGGAATTTGGCAACACAACTTTATCTTCCAGGGGTATTTGAGCAACAGCATTTAATATAATTGTTTTGGGTCATCCTCACCATTTAAAAACTTCTGTGTTCTTTTGAGAGCTTTGTGTGCCAAAGAGGTGCTCATTCATTCCTGTCTCATAGTGCCATCCTATGCATATCTACTCAGAAGCCCCACTGAGTTCAGTGAGACTTTATCTTAGGTAAATGTGCATAGGATTGCAAGATGAAAGGAGGAAAAGTCTCTTTTAAAAAATACCTCAATATTTGAAATGTCTTCTTTTCAGTTACCATAAAATGCTGCAGTACAGCTACAGAATTTACGTTGCTTTAAACTATTTTAGAGTTTCCACCCACTATTCTATTACAATTTTTTAATACATTTATTTTGAAAAATTCATTGGTGGTGGTTAGTAACGTCTCCAGGTGGCATGCAGTAAAATAAATGTATGAAATCCTGTAAAATAAAGCTGCAGAAACAGCAATTATAAAGGTTCTATAAATCCAGCAGAACAATCAAAACTTTAATCAGGACTAGCTTACATTACACTATGACATGGCCAGGCATATAAAAAAGGTTGTATGCAACTAACTTTTACTCAGAGTAGACAAAACTTAACTTAGATCCATTAATTTTGGTGGGTCTACTCTGAATAATAGTTAGCTGAACGTAGCACAGTATGTTTGCCTAGTGTCAAAATAACATCATAGTTGACTCTTGGTAAGCCTGTCTGGGGAGGGTATTTCACAGATAGTGTGTTTAACAGTGGTACCTGATCTCCTTGGTCACCAACTAACAAAAGATAAAGCAAATAATAATGTTTAATTTCATCAGGGAACAAGCTTACTTAAAAGCCCTGGAAAATAATGTGCTCACCTGGTGCTCACCTGGCACCGAAAGGAAGTGCCAAGTGGATTCCACAATCAGGGCATTGGCCGATTAATTGTCAATAGACTTAAAATATTTTGATTAATAAGGCACTCCAAATTAAATGGACAGCATATCTTTGTTAAGTCCCTAATACTTTTCATTACATGTAATGCTACATCTATTTGTAAATTTTGTGTTGTATTGACAATATTGTATTGTGTGAACAAATAGTCATTTCTGTTGACAAAGATGCCACCTTACAAGATGGTGCATGCTTATTTATAGATGTGTACAAGTAAACAAGTTTTTAAAATTTAAGGTATTTATACCTCTACAAAACAAACCAAAACTTTAGTGCAGTGGGTTATAGTATAGCTAAACTAGTATAAATAACTTTTTAAAAACAGTAACAATTCAATTAAAAACCCAACAATTCTTAATCTTTTTCAGTTCTCTGACTAAAGATTGCAGGACACAAACAAATTTTAGAGCAGTTTAAGGAGATGGGAAATCCTGATTCAGAGCAAAAAAATTGACTGAATCATTTTTGAGATTGCCTGAAGGAGTTTGCCCTGTTGTTGTCCAGTCATGCTGTAATTAGGAACATGTCATCAATATCAACTACATACACAGTTATGTGTAGTAAATTACAGTGCTGGGAAAGGTGACTAATTATCATATAATGACCAATTCTTGACATCAATGATTTTGTCTACAGTTTGTTTTTATACTGTTTTTACATATATCCAATTTTTCAGTTTTGTTACATAGTTTTCATGCTTTTTAGCTCTGCCACACTTTTTGACTGATGAATCATTTTTGCAGCTGTTCTATAGAGTTACAGATGAAAATGCCAAAAATAGTGAGCTTTATCTCGTGGGGATGATTTGCTACGCAAGCAAACATTATTGTGCCTTTGCCTTTCATACCAAGAGTTGCAAATGGGTGCTGTTTGATGATGCTAATGTGAAAGAGGTACGTTTAGCTGTTCTGATTTGGTGATCTTTCTACATAACTGTCTAGATGTGTTCAAAAGTAAAATGCAATACTTATATGTAGTTCTGACAGCCTTGATGTCAAACAAATTACCTGAATTCTTCAAAGCACACATACTTTCTAACAAGGTGGCACTTAAATGAAAGGAAATTTGTTCACTAAGTTTTCACTGTTAGAAAAGAGATCAAACACTGACATGAAAGTAGCTCTTTTCTCTTAAGAAGTCAGAATAATCTCTCTGAGAAGTTAAGAGTCAATTGAATATAGATTATATCTATTTTATCATCATTGAATTATAACTATTACTTAACTAAATTAAATTACTTATATATCTCATGAAAACATAACTTTTTAGGTTGGAACAAAATGGAAAGATGTGGTGTCCAAATGCATTCGGTGTCACTATCAGCCATTGCTGCTGTTTTATGCAAATCCAGATGGTACACCTGTATCAACAGAAGATGCACCAAGGCAGACAATTCACTGGTCTCATTATAAAGCCTGTGCAGGAAATGGAGAAGAACTTGGTAATACACTTGGCTCTTTCTTCATATTATTAAAAAATAATTTACTAAGTGCTTAACTGTGTACACAGTCTACATATACATGATCTATTGGTGTGTCCTGAGTTAGTAGCTGGAAAGAAGGAAGCAGCCAGTCCTCTACTCTAGCCTTGGGTAGTATGAACTAGCCATTGTATATGCTGAGTTTCCCATTCCTAATGATCTACGTTTAATGTCAGTTGCTGTGCAGTGAAACTGACTACTTGATGGTTCTCATGATACAATCTGAGAGTGGGAAACATCATGGAAATTAGTATCCCTGTGGTGAAAGTAGTTAGATAAGTTCTTAATGTGTCAGGGAAGCTGGGGGCAGTGGGTGTGGAGGAGATTGAAGGGTCTGGGTACTATTAATATTTCAGCTGAGGCAATATAATGGACCTACCTCCCATATTAAGGAGGAATGGGCTTAGAACAGTTGCAGTGTTTCTGTTGGAGTAAGGTAGCATAGGAAGGAGGTCCTTTGGAAATATAGTTTGAAATATTAGTTATTTTAGTTTTTCAATGTGGGGAGTTCAATTAGTATTGTAGGGTTTTTTGATTTTCTGCATTCAGCATCTAGCTATAGAACTGTTTGAATGTTATCACATTTATGCTGACATTTTTTCCCACTGTACTGCATGGACTTCAAACAAGTCTGGTAAGAAAAGTAAGGGCTTAACTACCAGTGACATTAATGACATATTTCAACAAACTGCCATTTAATTTGACTGCTTTTCATTTGAAGAGAAAGCAGGTGCATGGTGTGATCCAGAAAATACCTCCAAATCAGACCAAGGAATCATTCTGCCTGAGGGGTGGGCATTGCTGAAAATAGTTCCCTCATGGGAACAATTTCTGACTGAAAGTGTTGCTTACCGTAAACAGCATTGTCAAGAGCAAATAGCATCAGGTAGAAGGTGATTTTCAGCAGAAAACCTGTGTGGTACTCCAGTGAGAAAAGGCAGTCAGGTTTACGTATGCTCACTTAAACACATGCTTGATGACACATACAGAGTTTAGGCCTTAATTCTAGTGCTAGAGATGATTGTTGGGGTTTTTTAGCCTCAAATATATTAACATAGTTTAACATTCCTTTCCCTAGGATTTGAAAAGTCTACTTTTTCTAAGTCAGATCGTCCGAAAGAGAATGGGTTTGGAGAATCAGTTACTCAGAAGAGCACTAAAAAATATCAGCCAGATGACTCAACTTTTAGTCGAAACCATGTTCAGTCTGGTGGTGTCAGAGGATCAGGTATATATCTTAAACATTATAGTAATGCTTACTTACAGTGTTTATTATGCACTGGTATTGTTGAATTGAATGTGTAATAGTTTTAGTGGGTAGCAAATTTGAACTGAACAGTAATGTAACATTACATTATTTCAGATATATCATTTTGGCTGTTTTGAAATTTCTGACCATTAGGGCCTCCCCGTAGAATGTTTTGGTTTACATATATGCAGCATCTGCAGCTATTTATACTTCTAGTGCTTGGCTGGTCTGCTGGTAGCATGCTGAAATCTGCCATATTGGTCTGGTGGCTCTGAGATAGATGGTTTTGTCTGATGGCAGGGGGTGGACTATTTGGCCTTTTGGTTGTTTCTATGACTGTGAACCTTTAATGCATATTCATTTCTATTTTTTCAGCTAAATTAGGGCATAGTGAACATAGGGAAAAGGCAAAGGATCTTTCCAGAGAGTGCGCTCAGAAGGTAGCTGAGATGAAAAGCTTCTCATCCTCCCTACGAAAAGACACTGACAGAGGATCAAAGAGAGAATCTGGAAAACAGAGAGGTAACAGAACCTACTTCGAGGAGAGCACTTCCAATGACGAACTTTCACCTACTATGATTAAAGAACCCCCTGTCTTAAAAGTGCTATTTATTATTTTTTCTGAAATTTGATTGTATTAACAAGAATAATAAATTGCCCTTAAAGCTTAAAAGAGGTTGCTTTAATGCGATAGAATATTTAAAATGTGATGTTGTGGTGTTTTCCCCCCATAGATCTATCTGGAGAGGTCCGCACCAATTTTAAGCCAGGATCGCCACCTTCTGGGAATGGATTTAAGCAGCATTCTAATGAACGTGTGTATGGCAGTCAGGGAAAAGGACCTTACAGACATGAAAAAGTACATAACCAAATCAGACCCACTGCACAAGTGTTGGGCTCAAACAAAACAGATGGCTTTTCTGATGGAGAGAAGATGAGCCGTGTAAAGACTGATAGCACCACTGGTTACGATACAGACAGTAGCCAAGACTCCAAAGACAAGGGAAGCATCAGTAGCAGCAAAAGTCGAAGCAGAGGTTGGAAGCCAATGAGAGAGACACTAAATGTGGATAGTATCTTTAGTGAATCTGAGAAAAAAGAACACAGTTCAAAGCCCAAATTAAATGCAAGCAATAAACCTAAACATGAAAAGGAGCAGAGTTCAAACAACTGGCCAAAAGAAACTCGAAGTCAAAAAGGCTTGATGACTATCTATGAAGATGAAGCAAAACAGAAAGGGAGCCGGAGTTCGTTGGATTCAGAAGGGAAAGGAAATGCAGAAAAAAGTGTAGGATTTACAGAGAGGAAAACTCATACTGATAGTTGGCAGATACAAAGGACTGAATCTGGTTATGAAAGCAGTGATCATATAAGCAATGCATCTGCTAATCTGGATTCACCTGTCATTGAAGGAACCAGCCCAGTAGATACTACCACAGTTAAGGAATCTGTTTCCTGCAGGTAATAAACATGAAAGTTGTCTTGTGAAAGTATGTGTAATTAGGAGTGGGGATCCAGTTTGGATGAAGCCTGAATCCATAACCAAAGCAGACTGCTTTGGAGTGATTTGGACATTGTCTGAGACAAAACAGAGCTTCTCTGAAGCAACTCAAAACTTTGGACTGCTACTCAAACCTTGGGTCTGCCTTTAAGATTTGCAGGCTGGAAAGGGAATTTAGTGTTTGAGTACAGTTTCATTAAGCTGCTACTCAGCACAGATATTGTTATCTACATTTGTGAGAATGAGAACTCATCTGTCCTTACTGCATTGTATTTGTAGTAATTCATATTTGACATTGATTGAGCTACTTGCGCTGGCAAATACTTGAAAGATGCACAAGCAAAAATAGATTTATTTTTCCATTAAAGCTGAGGCAGAATATGGCAGAAGGGTATGTATGCAGAATAAGAAGTCTGTGACCTTGTAAAGTTCTGTGCTTGTATTTTCCAATATACCTTCTGCTTGGTCAGGCACATTATAATGGTGCTTCTGCATTGGCTGTGCATATGCTATTGAAAGGTGGACAAATAGTGTGACAAAATATAATCTCTTGCAAGATTGGAAGGTGGGAGAGAGGGAGAAATTTGGATTAAAAGATATTTCCAAATAAGTCGTCTTGTACAGTGGAGTTCCATTTTGAATTTTGAACTTCTGATGTTGTAAATATCAGTAAATATTTCTGTGAAATATTGTTTGATACTTTAGGTTTAATGAAATCTTGGAAGAATCTGAATCTTACGGTTTTTACTTAATCTTTTTTCACAGTGACCAGTTAATCAGATATTCTGGGTGTATCTTGCAGTCTACCTCCCAGCTGAACAAAAACTCTTCAGATGGTAAGAACTCAGTTGTTCTCAGTTTAAGTGTATTCAACTCTTAAAGGTTTCTAAGTTTATAAAACAAATTTATCTAACACTAAAAAATTAAGTTTCTATCTCATCACATTGTGCTTTGTTGCTCCCTAATTTCTTATATCACTGTCCACCTTAGTCATTTGTATTCTGAACTGTTTTCTGAAAAGAGAGCTCACTACTTTGATGGAGAGGCAGCTTATTTGACCCAGTCCAAGAAAGCTTTAAAAGTGTTCCTGCTATGTAACAATTCTCCAAATAAGTTCTATAATTACAAAAGTCAGAATTCCTTCTATTACTGTTAAACTATTTGTGCTTCATTGATAATGGTGAAACCTCTGCTATGTGAGCCTAACATCTGCCATATTTAGTTTGACTAGAACCTAGAGCCAAAATTCCTACCGGACTGTCTCTGGTTTTAACCATGCATGGATCTTCATGTCAGCAGAAGAGAAAAATAACACATCTATTTTTAAATTAGCTGGAATTCTGAAGGCACAAGCCTCTGGGTGTCAGTGAGCAGCTTTGATTGAACACTTGCCATAGTGATATTATATAGGAGTCCTCTCTTGTAAGCATTTGCTGCCATCTTACGTACAGTACAGGCAACTGCATGGTAACAAAGAGCAATCTAGTAAAATAACTCTGAAACTTCAAAAGATTTTGCATGTACAACTTAACCATTTATGTTTGTAGCGAATTTGTCAGCAGTGCATTATTGAAAGCTTAAATATATTCACATGGAAATATATGTAGAAAATGTTTTCAAAACATTATGCTTCAGGATGACTTAATTGTATTTGGCACCTTAATAATTTGTTCAGGTGTATCTATCTTTGGTACAGCATTATGCTTGACTGCCCAAAAAAACTGGTAACATGCCTCTCTCTGTTAACTTACTTGTGAATACATCAAATCTTAAAATAAGGTTGTCAGTATGGCTTCTATATTCTATTGGTAAGTTTTATATCTTGTAAATTTCTCAGTGTATTGCAGATTTATTTATAAAAGTATTTGTATCCCACACCTTCAAACCAAACCTTGTCCTGAGGGTAGCTAATGCTCAAAATAAAAACAATGGTTAAAAAGCAGAAAAAAGCAAATGATCAGCAAGAAAATTATGTACTTCTATAAAACATATATTCAAATCATGTTGTGTTGGCCTGCTGCCTGAAAGTATACAGTGCACCGATATCCAAGGGCAGATGTCCAGTTACAGATGATAGATTTTTATGCATTGATGGCAACTGCAAGCTCCTGCTTTAATATCTCCAGCTGAAATATTAGACTGCCGTCCTTTTCAGGCATTATGGTAGAAGGGGGGCATTAAGGTATTACATTTGGCTGATTCTCCTTGTACTTAAAAAGAATCCTAGGCATACCTCATGCTTTATTTACGTTTACCATGGCAAATCTTAAGTTCACAAGATTTTTTGCTCATTACTGGTATTGCTGATATTTCCTGTGCATATTAAAAAAAAATACATCATAATGTGCTTAAGGTAAACAACAACACTGTTTTGCAGCCTTGAAGAAAGACCAGGTTAATACTCATATGAACTATAGATCTCATAACCTACCTTCAACATCTCATCATATGCAAAGGTAACCTTTAACTATGCAATTATGTAGTCTAAAGCAGCTATTGTAGAAAAAAAAATTATTATTTTGTAAAAAATGTTTTAAATTTGGATTTAGAACGTTCATATTTTTAAAAGAATTTTTGCTGATATCCAAGATCCTCATTTCTACAAATTGGCAGTGTTCTCATGTAGCACCAAATCATAAAATGTGCTTTGGTAAGTCATACTGTGCATGAGCTACATGCTTGTGTACACAGTCCAAGCACTCCGACTTCACTCCACCCCTCACAATGACTATGTCAGCCTAAACCATGGCTTGTTAACCTTGCAGTCATGGTTTGTTAAGGCAAAACAAACCACAGTCCGGGATTTGGACATCCCAGTAACCTAGTTGTCATGGTTTGCTTACCCACACATCTGAAAGAAGGTGAAGTGGGAGTACTTGGGCTGTGTGCATAGGATGGCTTAGCATTGCAGTGCCAACACAGCCATTGTATAGCAAACTATTGGGTTTTCAGGTTTGTTAGTTATTTTGGCCAGTTGTTGAAGGCTTAGACTAATCCCTGAATATTGCCTTGAAATTACATTTTTGAGATTTCAGAGCATAAAGAACAATGCAAGACTGTTTTAAGGGCCCTGTCACTCCTTCAGATGTCATGACCTTCAGATGTCAAGTCAGAGATGATAATAGTTGCAATCCAACAACAACTGGAATACCCATCCCTGTTTGAAAATCTTAAAGACAATCTTGCACCATTGTTCTTTTGTAAATGTGTAGGTTAAATTAGTGTAAGGGATACTATGTGGAACTGCCTTTAAGATCTCTTTCCTTTTCTAATGCCAGTCTAGTAATATGCTGTGATAATTAGTTTAAGCCTTGCTCTGTGTGCTTGCTTTAAGATGTAGTAGGTGGCAACCCAGATAAAGCTTTGTGATTCCCAGGGTTTGGAACTGCCTTCCTGAGAAATTGCATGTGGCGTCCATTTCTTTGTGATGCCAGGTAAAATTAGTATTGTTCTGATGAGCGTTTGAGGAAGGTGTTTTGTTAATCCTTTTTATTATTTCTGTGTTTTAACTTGAATTTTGTTATCTTCATATGATACCTGTAGCTGTTAACTGGTGTTGGTCACTTCAGATGCATAGAAACAGTGCAATAAAAATTGTTTACTTTTTTCCTGAGATCTTGAAAAACAACTGGATGTTGAATTATTTGAAAATTAGCAAAATGTCTGTGGTCATTATGTGGTGGTGTGAAGACCGTATAATGCAAAATACTGTGCTCTCCACAGCTTCCCTGTTGGGGAGGATCAGGCCACTCACCATCAGTAGTGTAGGACAAGATTTGCCCTTACTCTACAGTATTCTCCTGAGATGTAGTGTGTTGTGACAATTTTTCATATGTTTGATAAGAAAGAGGGCTGAATTGGGCTAGGGTTTCTTAAATACACACTCTGCCCTAATGACTCAGCCATGAAGAATCAACCATACTGATAACTATATAGTCCTGCCTCTTAATCAGCAGTCCATTCTGAATGCTGGGTAGTGTTGAAACTGGCTTAGCCTAACCTTCAAAATATGCAGCTCAACCAGAATAATTGAAATAACATGAAACTTCTTTTGTTGACTTAACTAGAATTGGGTTGCAGTTTTAAGCGTTTGGTGGTTTTCATTCTTTAATGCTTTGTTTTCTAGGACTGACATACCTGATGGCGATAAGAAACTTTTTCCTTCGTTAACACTACAGACGGCTTTAAAAGACCACTCTGAGAGAGAAATGAAGAACAATGCACTAAGTGAGCAAAGCTCTGCACAGTGGCCTACTGAAGAGATACTTGATGAAACAAACATAGCTGTACACAGTGCTGATAATTCAGCTTCTTACAATGGCGAGAACTTAACCATGTCTGAAAAGGTTCAGAACAGTGAGTCTTTCTCTTCCCATTTGCAGTTGCCTCATACAAGGACAGTTAGACCCAGGCCAGCGCTGGCATTTTTCTTACAACAGAATATATCCAAACCTTCCTATACTGAATCTGCTGCACCCGCTGAACGTAAACTTCATTTGTATAGTAGTAGGACTGATGATGACACGCAAGAAGCGATTTACCAAAATCTTCCTCCTCCTTTACCACCAAAGAAATATGCTCTCACTGGTTTGCATGGATTAGAATATGAATCTGCTGTGGATTTAAAACCAACAGAAGTACCGGGCACAAATCCTTCCAATGTTGAAAGGCATGTTGCAAGAGTAACTTCAAAGACTGTACCTGATGCAAGTCCATTTACACATGAAGAAAGACTTAAATCATTTCATGGGAATGAGTCTTCCAAGATGAATTTTCCATCAAGTTTATCAGTAAACGATCTGCAGGCTGTATCCAATAATCCTATACATAAGGGAGCTTGCCTCACAGGACAAGGTGCTAGCTCCCTGGATGCAAATGCTAATGATATTGTATCTCTTACTACTTACTTTTCAGTTGACAACTGTATGACTGATACATACAGGATGAAATACCACCAGAGACCCAAGCTGTATTTTGCAGACACTGGCGTGTTAAACAAAGAGACACCTTTGCCACCAAGTGGAATACAGATGAACACTTCATACCACAGTAATTCCGAATCAAATTATCCTACAACTGATCAGAGACATAAACCCAGCATTGGAAATATATATTGCAATAGGTAGAATATGCAACCATTGAGCATAAATGCTTGGCACCCCAACATGTTGCAATGTTTAGGTTTCTGTACCTCACTTATACTTCATTTAGAAGTTACAGCTATTGAATGATGGTTTTGCACATGCATGCGTGTTTAAGAGAGATACAAAGACTTTTGGACCTGTTACTTTCGTGCTTTAACAAGATTTGCACTCATTATAGGCTAATGCAGAATTATTCAGCCAGCATTGTTACACTTTTAAAATTAGAATCTACAAGAAATCCCCTTGAAACTGGCATTCATTTGATAAATAGGAATAGTTTGCTTTTTGCAACTAATGAATGCTGCACCTTTTTAACATGACTTGGTTTAGAACATATTTTCATACTAACTAGTAGAAGTCATCATGAAATACCTCCTTCGGGTTCCGATCTCACAAGTGTTTAATATTAGTTACTCATCTCTATTTCAGGGCACTTCCTTTATATTACATAATGTAAATCATGCATCTTTTAATCACCAACCACCATTTTATCAGTCATAGAAAGATAGGATTCTGCCTTACACCAAGTCAGATCATTGGTCCATCTAGCTCAGTAGTGTCTGCACTGACTGCCAGGGGCTCACTATGGCTTTAGACAGGAATTTCTCCCAGCCCTACCTGGGGATTGAACCTGGGACCTTTTGCATGCAAAGCATGTGCTCTATCACTGAGCCAAGGCCCTTCTCCAGGCAGGAAATGCTTATGCATAATTGTTCAAGATCTCTAATGTAGAATAGCCTTTCATGGTTTTGGAACGGTGGGTTGTGGGTAGGGAAGTCCATCCCATGACGGTTACTATTCTGGCTTAATGAATTATGGCTACAGTGTTGTATTATTTATTTGGTGTTTATACTTACAAACTTCGCCAAAGGATACATGCAGTAACAAAGAAGTACAGTCTCCTAGGGGTTTCTGTCACCTTGGGTTTCAATTGGAATATTTTGCTCCCTGGTTATGTAAAGTTTTCACAATAAGGAATGATTTGTGTGTTTGTATGGGAAGTTTATTTTGCCATGGAGCCACTTTCAGACCAGCTCATGTTAAAACTGAAGTGATAGACCTTTGGGAACTGTACTACCTCAATATGGCATATTGATTCTGTCCCACTGACGGAGGAAGAAGTGTGCGGGCAGAGTGTACCACCCCCGGCAGCACGATCCTGGCGGGGTGCCATTGCGGCTGCCCCCCTGCCCGCGCTGGGCGCCACCCCTACGGGTGGCACACCACGCCCCCCAGGACGCGCGCCCTGCCCCCGCCTGCTTTACGCCCCCCAGTGCCGGAGCATGAAGCTCTGCCACTGGTCTGTCCTTAGTGTACATAAACCAAGGGAATTTTGTTAGTTCAGGGGTAGACAATATATGGGTTGCGTGCTGCATCTGACCTTTTCCCCCAGGCCTACATAGCTTTGTGATATCAATATTTAGCTACCTGCCTGTAGATTGATCATTTCCAGGATAAGAACCTTTGCAGGCCGTATGTGGCACCTTGTCTATAGGTGGTTATCAGTGTAAGGAGATGAGCTTTTCTATGGAGGCAGACCCTTGTTAAGGAGTTCTGAGCAAACAGAGAATAAGTATTTTTGAAGATGCTTTATAAAGTAGTGGCCCGACCTAAGAATCTTACCTGGAACCCCTTGCAAGATTGTGAAAAGTGCATTTAATGGGAGTGTTGTCTTGACTTTCCCTTTATATTCAGGTACTGTTAACTAAAAAGTTACAGTAGTTCTAATACTACTGTCGCCTTGCCACATTGGTAAGATTTTTTTTTTGCTGTTGTAGGCTCACTTTAAAACTATTTTAGTTTAGACTGCAATCTTACAAATGCTGGAGGATATCCTGATATCAGAACTATGCACAGAATGGTACATATAATCTGAAAAATTGTGCAGAAAGTATGTTGAATTCCTTGAGTGAATTATTTCCGTTGCCCTGGATATCTTGTAACAAAGTCAGTCCATCAAATGTTTAGTATTTGAAATGATGCCTTAATAAGTGACTTTGAGTTTATTTTAATATATAAAATAGTAGCTAGAATTTCAAATAGCAATAGCTGGTGTTCCACACAGCCTACTTTAAATATTGCAAATTCTGCATAGCAGTTGGATGTACTAGGGGTTGGTTGGGACTGTCTTTGTGCTGCAGGAAAGATTTTCATATCATGAATTGTATAAATATATTTTTATATTGAAACTTGCTCTGGAAAACATTATTTATATATCTCTGCATGTATGGAAAATACTGTTTGGCTTTCCAAACATTTTATTTAAAACTACAAGCAGGGGCACAAAACAAAATATTCCTCAGGAGCTATCATGGAATCAGTCAGATCTTTGAGGAGGGGAAATGTTATGGCAAGAGACTGTGGGTTGCATCCTGCAAAGTGATCCTGTTTGTGAAAGGACTTCCACTTGTATTATGGAGCTTCCCCTCCCACTCTCAGCTGCCCCCTAAATATGTTCTGGGGGTTCCTCAACTGTCTCAAGATGCTTAAGCATAAGTCCTTGCATGGACAGGACAGCTTTACTGGATAAAACCCTTTAATTCACTTTTTATAAGTGTTTTGAATAAATAAGGCCTTCAAGATGATTGCTGGGAGAGAAAATGTAAATGCCTTTTAGCTTTAATCGTAGTGATAGTTAATATATTTTTCAAACACTCCATAATGCTTGCACTGTACTTGGGATTAAATCCAGAATATGTTTGTGCTTTTAACCAAATTGTGACAATCATAGCATAGCTGCCCAAGACTTTGGGTCTATTCAAGACATTGCTTTGTTTGAGGACTTGCATGCTTCATCATTGTTGGCATAAAGTAATGTCTGCATTGTGAGATTTCACATTTATTTGAATCTGGGATCTTCAGTCATGCCCAGTCTAGATTTGGAGGCCATGTAATGTCTGAACAGACCTCTTATGTTTACGTTAAGTGTCTTAACCATAAACATAACCTAAGATTTGTTGCTTACCAGTATATATGCACCAGACCAAATATCCTTCAGCAGTTGCTCCACATCTTCTTGCTTCCTCTGCTGCTTCTATCAGTAGTGCTGCTGCAAGCTTGTACATATAACACACACTTACAACACATAGAACTGCAAGTGAAACCAAACCTTTCCCCTTCATTTAGGACAGAAGGAATTTCATCTAAAAGCAGTCGTGTAAAGTTCCTGTTTCTAATCCAGTACTTGAGGGTTTTTAAAATAAGTAAATAAACTTTTCTCTCTCATTCCTTATACACAAATAACATGCGATGTTGTTGTAAAGCCTTCATGGGCAGAAGTGGCATTGTGACAAGTACTGGAATCTTAAGTGTACAGTTGAAAGCTCTTACTGAAATGTATTTGAATTTGCAGTATTTATGTAAAGACTAACAAATGTGAATGACCTACTGTAAGAGCGTTACTACATTTTAAAAATGTGCATAGCAAAGTGTCACTTTACAAATGAGAAATGTTAATTTGTAAATTTGTTTCTAACGTCCTTGTGGGCACAGTCAACAAATGTATTCTGTTTGTAAGAAAGTTGAGTAGTGTCATACTTTCTGAAGTGTACATGTCCTTTAAAGAAACTTAGATGTTTCTTCGTTTTCAGTCTTTGTAGACAAACTTTTGTACAGATCTGTGGCTACCAGATAATGCTTCTGTCATAACAGATGGTCAGTTTTAACTGACCGTGCACTCTTAGTAGATGAATATTTGCTAGCAAATGTGCATACATTGATTTTTGACTTCTCCAGGGTGCCTATTTTTATAATTGTTCCCTTCAGATTATAGATTTGTATGACTTTTGTAATGTTAAATGCATTTAACATGTCTTGTAAAAATATTTTCATTGTCTAGAAAATTTTAATCCAAAATTGCATTTTTCTGCCCATTCAACTGTCAGATAAAAATGGAGTTACCCTACAGAGTGTTTATCTACTTCACTTGTATGTGTGTTTGTTCCTAGCGAGGTTTGTGTTTTACTGTTGATGTTATTTTCAAGAAAAGGGATATAATGTTGCTTGCCACTGAAAGACTTCTCACACTGGGATTGTTAACCTTTGTGTCAAATGAGCAAGCTAGCTGGTAGAAAATCGGTTTTCATGACTTCCTTCTGCTCTATTGCATTTTTCATTGCATCTAAGTTTTAACCTTGCAGGGTTTTGTGAGACTTGCGTTCCTGTAAACAGGTGGCTAACCTGTGGTCCTCCAGCTGCTGCTGGGAATTGGGAATTTAACAAAATCTGGAAGGGTGCAGCTGCCTGTGCTGTACAAAGGCTGAAATGAAATTAATTCCTTGATGTGAAACATATTTGACATGGGTCAAGTTCAGGCTTAAGTCCAAACTCATTTAGTGTGGTCTCCTCTTTGTTAAGGCTGCAGCTCTGTACACACTTAAGTGGAACAAGAGCTGTGGGGCTATAACCAGACTAGCATAAAAGTGATTGATCTTTTAAATACCAATTTTCTTATGTGCTCTAGTTTCAGATTTTCAATGCGTACAGTCGTACCTTAGTTTTGGAATAGCTTAGTTCCCAAACATTTTGGCTCCCAAACGCTGCAAACTTGGAAGTGACTGTTCTGGTTTGCGAACTATTTTTGGAAGCCAAACGGACTTGCAGAATGGATTTGACTGTATAAGCATATACTGTAACTACCATGCACAGTGATACTGGGGCCCACATTGGTGGCAGCAATGTTAGTTCATACCCTGTTCATATTGTATGGCAAGGGAGACACACCTTCATTCCCTGCCCACCCCTCCATTTTTGGATGGTTTTTTCCTTCTTCTCAACCACTCCTTTCATAGCATAGAATCATAGAATCTTAGGAGTTGGGAGGGGACCCAAGGGTCATCTAGTCCAACCCCCCTGTAATGCAGGAATCTCAGCTAATGTATCCATGACAGATGGCCATCCAACCTCTGTTTAAAAACCTCTAAGGAAGCAGAGTCCAGCACCACCACCTCTTGTGGGAGTCTGTTCCACTGCTGAACAGCTCTTACTGTCAGAAAGTTTTTCTGAATGTTCAGTCGGAATCTCGTTTCCTTGCAACTTGAAGCCATTGGTTCAAGACCTACCCTCCAGAGCAGGAGAAAACAAGAGTGCTCCCTCTTCCATGTGACAGCTCTTAGGCAACGCTGAGAACAAAGTGTTTTTAAAGAGAAACTGCTCAATGTGTGATAAGAGGCTAGGAAGGCACTGTGCTTACCTTCAGGCATGCACATGTTATATTCTGAAACTCTGAACCCACACAGGCCAGTCACTGCAAAGGACAAACACAGCTGTCCTATCTAATTCAGTTTGGCTGTTGGAATTGGCCATAATGCCCAATAAAAGGGATATCTGCTTACCCTTAACCATCTGCAGAACAGACTTTTAAACTCTTCTGCACATCAACAGTTATATCTGCCTTCCAATCTATTCCAAATTACTCTTTAAAGTGTGAATGCATAGATAAAATGAACCATTTTAATATAGTGGAAAACCATCAACAGCAGCGTAACATTTGTCATAAGGCACAACTTCCATCCATTTCAGGTTGAAAAGTAGAAGGTCAAACCACACGTCTGGCAGGCTCAACAAAGAGTGCTAACAGTTCAAAAGCAGTTGTCGCAGGCATCACTTCTCGAGAGAACAGTCTGTAACAGTTTCCCAAACGTCTCTTTGTTCCGAACAGACATGCTGCTGGAGGAATGGCAACAACAGCTTTTCTACCATGGAATCAGGTTATCCTGCTGGATGAAGAAAACTGAAGTTAGGACATAGTATGTCAGTGTGCCCGCTACAAACTGAATATGTAAGCAGACCCAATGGACCAGACCAAAGACCTAAGCAGGCCAGAACCCTGTTTCCCACTGTAGCTAAGCAGATGCCGCTGCGAAGCCTGCCAGCAGGACATAAAAGCATTTTTAATCACACAAAAAACACCCACACCCACCATAGGTTGCAGTCCATGTAGCACTAAGGTGAAAGTTCAACCAGCATAAAGATTTTCTCACCATGCACACCCCTTAAATCGGTTCTTAGGTTTCTGGAAGTTATGGAAGTCGAACGGACTTCCGAAACAGATTCCGTTCGACTTCCAAGGTACGACTGTATTGTTTTCCATCCATAACCATCAAGACTGAATTAGTGTTAGAAACACAGGTATACAGTGGTACCTCGGGTTACATACGCTTCAGGTTACAGACTCCGCTAACCCAGAAATAGTACCTTGGGTTAAGAACTTTGCTTCAGGATGAGAACAGAAATTCTCAACACCGTGCTCTAGCGGTGCGGCGGCAGCAGGAGGCCCCATTAGCTAAAGTGGTACTTCAGGTTAAGAAGAGACCTCCGGAACGAATTAAGTACTTAACCCGAGGTACCACTGTATAAGTTAATGCCAAACGGCACCTTAAACCTAGTTTATGGTCTGCACAATGGGGTGTCTAGGTGGCATTTCCACCCCATGAAAATTCTTATTATTCATTTCATTTCTATACCACTTTAGATTTTAAAGAACAAATCCCAATGCAACACATTAAAACATCAAATAAAACAATGCAGAAGAAAGCAAATTGAAGCTTCAAGGAAAATACTTCAGATCCTTCTCTAAGTGACATTCTGCTTTCCCCATATTCATTTACCTAATAAATTTATATAGGGGTCCAATAACCGAAGAGCTCTAGGAATCTGGTGTGGTATAGTGGTTAGAGTGTCGGTCTAGGACCTGGCAGTTCAAAGTTCAAATCAAAGCTCAGTCCTGAAGCTCACTGGGCGACCTTGAGCCAGTCACAGCATCTTAGCCCAGGCATGGCCAAACTTGGCCCTCCAGCTGTTTTGGGACTACAACTCCCATCATCTCTAGCTAACAGGACCAGTGGTCAGGGATAATGGGAATTGTAGTCCCAAAACAGCTGGAGGGCCAAGTTTGGCCATGCCTGCCTTAACCATACCTCACAGATCGTTGTAGGGATTAACTGAGTTGGGGGGTGAACCATGTACTCCTTGGAGAACAAGGTGGGATATAAATGCAATAAATGAGCTGCTCTGTTTATCTGCTTAAGAAAGGCACAGGAGTCAGCTAGATAGAGATGTCAGTTGCCAACTTGGCATCCAGAGATTTCCACATGGGCACAATTGGACCGGTCACATAATGTGACTGGCGCCTGTGGGGTTTCTTAACACTGATGTGAACACGTACAAATGGGAACAAGCAGTTTTTCCAAGCCCAGGTTTGGTAATTGGCACATTAATAAACTGCTGAAGTTAGTTTTGGCAAGGTGGCAGTTGATACAATTCTGCTGCACATGTTTTGACTACCTCTGTGTTCTCAAAATCACAGGTGACATATTAAAAAAAAAACAACTTCAAGATGTTGCAAGAGTTCCATTGTATGCCGTTTCTCCAGGTCTTGAAAACATTACATGAAATTCTGGACATGCCTGTACATTTGCCACAACCAGTAAAATCACTTACCAAGTCGACTCTATTGCATTGTCAGTATTTCATTATTGCATTTATTGCAAAAGCTCCAGATCCAATCTAATCTCAGCATCAGTAAAATGTTTGACTGCAGTACTTAATAGAACACATATGTGAAACTCCTCCAACCATAGTAATGTATCTCTAAATGGCCGTGCGTGCTTTCAGGCTATTCTTACACCTTTAGCATCCACTGATGGGACACCACAGCAGCATCAATTATAGGACGATACTAATGTGATGCTGGACAAAGTTGGGTATCACCTCCCACGTTGATGTTGAGCCCAGTCCAACTGACAGCATGCCGGACAACCATGTCCAACCGATACAATAGAAACAATATTTGGCCTCTACATATGTATTGCAACAACCAAGCTGTCCTTGAGGAAGATAATAACTAGGTTTTACGAACAGTTAAAATGTTTGAGAAAATTTTGCACTTCAACTTTTATGTTTTTTGGACTTGTCGATGCAGGCATGATAGCAACACGCTGGAATAATAAAAAGTACCCACTCTGGATTTGAGTTATCTTTCTTTCTTTCCCCCTCTTCACTTTTATTTCACATCAAAAATGTTGCATTTGCCAAGCTGCCTTCTCACCTTGTGAGAACGTTTGAGTAGTACAGACTTTGGACTTTCTTTCTTTTTCTTTTTTTTTACACAACTGCAAAAAAAGGGGGGGGGAGTTCAGTGATAAAGGACATGCTCTACTTGAAGAAGGTTCCAGGTTCAATCCTTGGTATCTCCAGACAGGGCTGGAAAAAGACTCTTGCATAAAACCCTGGAGAGTTGCTTGCTGTCACCTAGTTAGATACACGAGTGGGCTGCCTTATAATAGTGAAAGCTATTCATTACCAACAACCATCATCTGCTATGTATTTTGGGAAATGATCTGTTTGTTTTCTATGGGTTTGGCTGCCTCTTGAGGTATCGTCCCTAAGGCTGGCATGAGAGCCCCCCCAAATGGGGGAGGGGGCCCTCACAAACGTCTGGATGCCAGGTTCCATTTTGAGTCAAGGAGGCTGACCAAAATGTGACTTCAGCATTATTTCACCTGATCTTCAGCATGACGGAGCAAAATTCACAAATGACACTATCCATTTAAAAATCTCAATATTTTCTGGATTCTGAAAATTCCTGGGCACTTCCCGCTAGTGGTTAATAACTTTCCTATAGTCATAAAATTTTGGTGAATAACACGTAGAAGACAGATGACGCCTCTATGGACACTTCTATTTTTAAGCAAAATCTAAAGGGTAAGACATTCTCCACATCTTTTCAATGACGCTCCCGAAATTTTTTAAGCAAAATATTATGGATCTTATCCAGTCATTTTGAATTCTCTTGAGCTGTAATTGGCCAAAATGTGTGAATCTTATGGTCCCAACCAGCATTTTATATATTTTCAGCTCCCCCTCTTCCACTTTTTAAACCGATTATACATACACACCAAAGGAATGTTTACGTTGCAATTTAGGCCTCACTCTAGTGAGTGTAATTTGTTTCCAACTGTTTTAATGCTTTGCTTTATATTGTTCTGGTAAAGGGTTATTAGAATAAACTAATATCTCGATTTTTGACTCTATGTATAAAGGTGGGGTGTATGGGGTGTTCGGGGAGAGGTAGTACCGCTGGTGGGGGACACACTGTGCTCCTTCAGCGGTAGTATGTCCACTTTTGGTCCCCACACTGCACTCAGCTCTCACCTATGGCACCTATTATGCAACAGTGGCCACACCCTGGGAAACGGCTTCAACTGGCTGGTTATACTAGAACAGGGGTAGGCAACCTAAGGCCCGTGGGCCAGATGTGGCCCAATCGCCTTCTCAATCCAGCCCGCAGACGGTCTGGGAATCAGTGTGTTTTTACATGAATAGAATGTGTCCTTTTATTTAAATGCAACTCTGGGTTATTTGTGGGGCCTGCCTGGTGTTTTTACATGAATAGAATGTGTGCTTTTATTTGAAGTGCATCTCTGGGTTATTTGTGGGGCATAGGAATTCGTTCATTTTTTTCTTCAAAATATAGTCCGGCCCACCACATGGTCTGAGGGACAGTGGACCGGCCCACGGCTGAAAATGGTTGCTGACCCCTGAACTAGAAAGTGGTTTCGGCAGGAGCTGTAGAGGGAGATGGGCTCAACTTCGAAAGAAGGAAAACCTATCCTAAACTTCTGCTACTTTGCAGGAGATCTTGGGGAGAAGAAAAGGCTGGGGAAGTAAACCTACTCAAATCCAGAATGGAGTCCCTTAAAGCAGTTGGATGGCCAAGCTGGTGCCAAACATGTTGCTCTGATTTCCTTTGGATCATATCAATGAGATCAAGGAGTCTTGCCATCTGGGCAGCCCAGGACCTCCATACAGCCCACCTCCTAGGCTTGCACCCTGGGAAGGTCACTTTGGTGCTGCTAATGCAGAGGTTCAACTTCACCCTCCGGAGGCACACTCCATTGTCTCTGGAGACATGAGCTGAATGCAACCTGCGTCTGCGCGGGTCGCAATTCGCAGCTTCTGCGCATGACGTCATTTTGAGCGTCTGCGCACGCGAGAGCGGCAAAAGCCAGAAGTAACCAATTCCGTTACTTCTGGGCTGCTGCGGGACGCAACCTGAAAACGCTCAACCTGTAGCAAACACAACATGAGGTATGACTGTAAAAGGTAGCAGCACCGTGAAGATTTCTTATTTTCTAAGAGTCCAAATTCTTGCCTAAAGACTCTAGCAACCAAAAGAGTTTTAAAGCTATTTGAAGCATGCCAATAATTCCCAACTGAAACAGGGGGTCAACCACAGGCAAGCTGCCTCTCACCCAGGTAACTCTCACAACCCTTATGACCACGGCCGGGTGGCATTTTGGAGAAGGAACTTAAAAACACGAGCTCACCCCTATTCCCCCCCTTGGACACCTGTCTCCCTCTTTTGTCACAGGTAAGTATTTCCTCCTCCCAGCACCGTCTGTTACCTGCACACCCTTGCTAGGCTAGCAGAACCCGATCAAGGAGCTTGCTGTCTCCTCCTACGCTCCTCCTACACTGGAAAGCTTTGCCTTTAAGCATCAAGCTCCCCTTCTCCTCTTTGTTTTAACCTCCAGCCTGAGGAAGAGCCCTAGAAAAAGGACCCTCAGGCCATTTGGCGTAGCAGGGAGCCTTCGACTAGGGAGGACCCGAGTTCGAATCCCCACCTCGCCCTCGGGCCAGCCTATCCTACCTCGCAGGGCTGTTGTTGAGGATACGTTGGAGGGCAGCGGGGAGACGCAAGTCGCCTCGAGCCTCTTGGAGGAAGTGTTTTGATGCGAAATGCAGGGTTTTTGGGGAGGGGAGGGTCTCCTTTCTCTTACCGTCACGGCAGCAGGTAGACGAAGACGAAGAGCGCCAGGTTGAAGGCGGCCATGAGCCACAAGTCCAGCCAGTAGGACGTCCCCGAGAGGGGCGGCCCGCGGGACCCGGCCCCTGCGGCCCCCGCCAGCCCCGGCTCCCGCTCCGCCAGGCGCCGCTCTCGCAGCTCCACTCCGTTCGCCAGCTCCATCGCCCCTGCGCCGGAAAGTGAGCAAGCCGCACAGGGCGCGGCGGAGGGAGGACGCGGCTCGCCCACGCGGGAAGAAGGTCCGGCCGGCAAGACGACGCCCGGCTCACGTCCGCAGCCTGCGCCCGTAGAGATTCAACGGCGGAAAAGGAGAGAGAGACAAGCGCGCACCCGGACAGAGACTTCCGGCGGAACCCTTGGAGCCGCAGAATCACCTCGCGGAAGCTTTCTATACTTTTCGCCCATAAGGTTAAAGCGGGAGCGAGCGGACGTAGGGGCTCACCTGCAGACAGAATGTGCTTGTGAGGTGCGACTCTATTAGTTTCCTATCTCATTGCCTCGTGCGTGACTGCGTCATAGAGGACATAGAGATAGTCAAAGGAAGAAGAAGAGTCGGAAAACGTTTTTGTCCTGTTTCAATAGACTTTTCTTTTCATTCTTTCCGTCAGGGGCAGAAGTGTCAAAGGGAAAATCCAAGTACTGAATAGGTGATCTGCAATATTATTTGCTCTGTGGTTGTAAGAAATTGATACCTTAGTGTAGCGGCTGCCTTTGCTGTCCTCTTTTCGGTGCCTGGTTAAAACATTTTTTTGCTTAGGCAAGCCTATCCAGACACATAGGATGTTTTCACCTCTTTTACTAATAATTTTTAATTATTTTAAAATCTTTTAAACTGCTTTTAAACTGGTAATATTAATATCACTTGTAAATCTGTTCATCAAGGGAATGGGGTGGACAGATCAAGTAAACGGACTTAGGTAAGTGCTGGGTTGTGCCCTCATATTGTTTGCATTATGTAAATGGAGTGATCTAATTGGTTTTTTTTAAAAAAGAAAACAACATTCATGTGCAATAATGAAAGACAAATGCGGCTTCCAAAACGCAGAGTAGAAGTAATGTTTATTTCCACCAACACCACCATCATTATTTATAAAAGGTAGATAAATGGTATTGCTAAGACTGATTTATCTAAACAGACATGGGTATTATAGATAAACATACGGTACATTAGTTGCATTTCAGTTATAGTATGTTGGCAAGCATATCAGAACTCCATTACTCTTGTGCTCGGTGGGGAAATTACAGTTGCCATAAATAAAGTACAGTTTTATTTCAGATTTCAATTCTGGGCTGTTCAACCTCTCTTGAAGATTCTCTTTGCTGTAACTCCTTCATAGACGTAAGTCTGAAATAGTACAAGAAAGAGAGAATCAGAATGTTACTTATTGGAGTGAAGAGGAAAGAGAGGAGAGAAAAATGTTGTCAGTTACTGAGCAGATCCACACCCTATATTTAAGCACACCCAATGCATATTTAGAGGGCCATTAAGGGGAACAAAGGAAGTGAACCTGTGCAAGACAGCAAATGGGTGGACTCCCCTCTCCCTCAACTGGCTAGTAATGCATTTTTGTATGGCATTTTCAGAAATATATGCATTTTTATGCTAGTAGCTGTTGTTTCATAGACATTACTTGGCTAGAGAAAGGCCCTACAAAATTTAGAGAAGTGAGAATTTCAAAGGATGGTTGTGCTTCCGTTTAGGCATTATTTTAGAAAGTAGAAGTTGGTTAGCCAAAACGGCACTGGAAACACAAGGGGGCAGTATCAGTAGGTTTGGGGAAACCCAAAGGTTTCCAGAATTACCAGAATCATCCCAATAAGTAAGCTTATTGTGAAGACACAGAAAAATAAGAATTTGGGGGTGATATGCAGAAGTCTGATCAAGTGAGTGGCTGACTGACACCCTGAACAGGAGCACTGTGGCAGCTCCCACTTGTTATAATACTTTTTTTAAAAAAAACAGGTTGAGGTATCCCAAGTTCTGAACTTTTACGGCCAAGAAGAAATGTCTCCCTAAGGTTGTAATCCTAACCTTTTCAATTCACCGAGGAAAAACAGGTATCTTCTTCCTGTTTCCTTTAAACAGAAAGTAAATTGTACTTTCAAGTAAATTGGCTTAGGGTCAAAATTTAAGAACATCTCCTTTGTTCCTCGTCAAGAACCTAAATGATTTTTGTTATTGTTAGCAAAGGAAAATAAAACTTAAGAAGATCTGTTAGCTATTCCTGCTGAACTTACCTGAATCATTTCATCTCCTTCGATTTCTCTCAGTGCCTTAAGTTCCTTCCCGTTATCTTTCCGGTTGAATGTGCCTACAAGTTGGCTGCCTTTCAGGTCCCAATTGCCCTACAACATAAAGAAAGACATGGACATTTTAAAATATGGTTCAGCTTAAACGTTCCTAGAAACCACCCCAAACCAAATCAGGTGTGTACTGCTCTCTGCAGACTCTCCCCACAGGAACAAAAACCATCACAGGAGAACAGGTGTCTTACGTGGAGTTCTGTTCCATCAGCCAAGCTGTAGTCAAAATTCTCTTTCAGGTTGAATACTATCTCTATTGTGCGGAAATTGCTGGATTCTTTGATGGTGAATTTGTTTCCATCTTGTTGAATAATGATCTTCAGGTTGTCGTGGGCCCCTAGTTTTCTCTTTACTAAATTAATACCTGAGAAGGGAAGAGGGTAGCAAGTTAAACACCCAGTAGGAATGTTCTTAAAAAAAAAAAAAGTAAGCACATTGACTACAGTAATAGAAGGCTAGCACTGAGCAAGTCTTCTTTTTGACCTCTGAAATAGTTTTCTATGGTGTTCAATGCTAACACACGCAATCTAGATATCCTTTCTGCATATCCCCATGCTGTTGGCTTTTAAGGCAGTGTGTGAACCATATGTGATCTGCAATATGCCATAGACAAAGGCTTGGAAAGCACATCGGACAAACTAATGCTGGGTCCTTGACATTTCTCTTTAATGTTTGTTACCTCAATGACCCCGAGTACGTAGATAATTTTCTCTCCTTCTATTCTGCTCTCTTTGAAAAGAAAGAGCCTTCATTAGTGTAAATCCATTCAGAAATTGATTTATGTAGCTCTATATATTCTTCTGAGCCAGGGGGAAGGAAGATACCATTGCAAAACACCTTGGGGGTGGCATAAGTTGATGCTGCTCAACGTGAAACTGCTATGTAGGGCTGCTTCCAGATGTTCGTTGTGGAATGTACATTCCTCATGCATGCAAGTTTTTTGCAGTGTGTACCTGATATAGTCAGTATCAAAACCTGCATTTGTTCTCATTTAATCTGGATTTTCCCTTTCCCTGGAAAATGTGCTAAGAAAACCTGTCCCAAATAATTTGTTTTTCATTTTTCCAGTCTTCAGTTCTCCGCATTTTTACATCAGTTTGCAACTATTAAAAGCTACCTTCACAAAAATTCACCAACGTTTTGGGTATGCAATTATTGGTCATGTTTGCAAAGCAACTTTCCCTACTATAAAGCATTTTTCTTTGCTATTTTCGCTAACATATTCATTTTTATATGCACACTTTACCCTAGCGTGTGCACTTTTGCACACACATTACTTGACTAGAGGGTTGCATTGCAAAATTAAGAAAAATGTGACTTCTTTTTTAATGGGGGTATTTTTATTATTATTATTATTTAGATTTAGATTTATATACTGCCCTTCATCGCAAGATTTCAAGGTGGTTTGCAGAGTAAAATACAGTGTTTCAGAAAGTGTAGATTAGATAAGTTTGCCACCAAATGTGAACTGAATTGAATTTCTTTCCTATCAACCACCCATTTGGAATATCTCAATGACGCATTTGCAGTATTAAGCCCTTACTTGGAAGCACCAAATATTGGGCAGGAAAGTTTTTTGGGGAGTGGGTGAGAGTCAACTGAAGAAAGCTGCATTTACGTGGCTGGCCTATGTGGCGAATGTGTGGGCTGAAGAGGGCTGGGGTTGATGAGATTTAATCCTGTGAACTGCCCTGAGACCTGTGGATATGGGGCGGTATATAAATTTATTTTTTTTAAAAAATTGGACTCCCAACAGTAGCTTGAGGGCTGCAAATGCTGTATAGTGAGCATATGGCATATTCCAAATGTTAAGTCTTAGAAAAGTATGAGAGCAGGAAATCATTGCTTTGAGTTTTGCAAGCACGATTAAGAGGAAAAGTAAACTTTCTAAGATAAGAGCTAGTGTGTGTGTGAAACGAAGAGCTTGAAAATCTGAGCTGAAATATCTGCTTAGCCATGAAGCTCACTGGGTGACTGGCTGCATACACACTATAACTTTAAAGCACATAGGAAGCACATTCTTCCCCACCAATGTATATATACACATATTTATAGGCACTGTAGTTTGTTAAGGGATACTGGGAATTGTGACTGAGGGATAAACTACATTGCCCAGAATTCTCTGAAGGAAAGAACGTGTTTCAAATGTGCTTTATCAGCCATCCCACCTCACAGGGGTGCTTGTGAAGATAAAACAGTGGTGGCAAGGGCATAAATTACGCACACCACGCTGAGCTGCTTCAAGAAAAGCGCAGGGAAAAAAATAAAGACCAGTGAATTCTTTATTGCAACATGCCAGCAGTGCTAAATATATTTTTTCCCTCTGCAGGCAGGGAAAAAACCTAGCAAAACATTTCAACATCACTACATCTCCCGTGTTGGACGAATAGGAGGAGGAAGAGGAGAGGCAACCCTAATGGTTGTGCAAGATTCATTTACTGGCAAGCTATATTTTTTTCCAGGAAGCTCCCTCTAAAGGATAGAAGAGCTGAGATTTAGTAGGTAGCAGACAATGCAGCAGAACATCATTGGCTAAGGAGACCATGAAAAGAAGGGCAGCATCTCCACCAAGCTTTCAAACAGCAGTGATAACAAACATTGTCATAGGAGGCAAAGGGGATCCAGATCTTACCCATCGCCTCCATGAACTTCTCATAGTTTTCACTCTTCTCCACCTTCCAGGTGCCATCAAATGCCATTCTTATCTGCTGTAAGAGGGGAGCTTAACACAGAGGTGATTTCTGCTCAACCTGAGGTATTCCTGAGTTCCCTGGGGGGGATTTATGCCTTCACTTATCTTGAAAGCAATTCACACACTGGTGTGGCTGACTAAAGTGCAATTTAGTCACATGGCCCTATAAGATTTAGCTTCTAAAACTGATTATTTACCCTGTTGCAAAGGGTGCCTGTGAAAACCCAGCTGAAGTGAGTAAGTGTTCCCAAGTCCACAGTTCTTTGAGGTACAGCTTTGAATAACATATTAAACTGTGACTGTTGATTTAAAGAGAGAGAGAAAACACAGAGAGAAAAGGAATCAGGGTGCGGGTTTAGTTTAATTGAAAGTCCTTATTTGAACTAGCAATCTTTTATCAATCCTCTTTGCGGTGTCTTACTGCTGAGAGAAATTAAATATTGACCCAAGGAAAGAGAGCACAAAGCTTCTTCATACTGCCTTGTTGCAACCAACCCCAGGTGGTGTTTGGAAGCTGTTCCACTCTGTATAATAAGGGCGGGAAAGACAAGTGCAGAGCATTCAATCGGGACCCTGACCATTGTTGTCCGTTTTGCCTTAGGTGCTTTGCCAATTCAAATTCTGAGAATCTAAGTATAGGGCAGCTAATTGGTTTGAATTTGGCAGGTCAGCCAAGGCAAACAAGATCAGACTGTACTAAATTACCTCTCCTGCTGAGGATGTCTGTGTCTCCATAGTGCAAAAAAGAGAGAGCATTGACATGCCTGTTCGACACAGGACTCGTTTGAGAACAACATCTTAGCATGTGCATTTTCTAAATCGGTGGCGAAGTATTTTAAACAGGGGTGAGAATCCTGTACTCTCAACTCTATATACAGCCCCACTAAACTCAGTGACGCTTACACATGAGTAGCAAGTACAGTGGTACCTCGGGTTACAGACGCTTCAGGTTACAGACTCCACTAACCCAGAAATAGTACCCCAGGTTAAGAACTTTGCTTCAGGATGAGAACAGAAATCATGCTCTGGCAGCGCAGCGGCAGCAGGAGGCCCCATTAGCTAACGTGGTACCTCAGGTTAAGAACAGTTTCAGGTTAAGAACGGACCTCCAGAATGAGTTAAGTTCTTAACCCGAGGTACCACTGTATAGCACTCTAAGCCTAGTAAAAAGTCAACACTGACTTTCTGAGGAACAACGACTCTTACATCTCTGTGAACCTATCAGGAACTTGAAATGTGTGCTGCCAGCAATTCAAACATGCATGATAATAGCTCTTCAGCAACCTACTTTTGGCTTCAGTCAGTTCTAGACTACGTTTGAAGTCCCACACATACTTTCTTAACTCTTTCCTCCTCTCCAGCACTCTCTAAATGCCCACTGATTTAAAACACTTAACAAACATTGATGATTATGATTTTTTTTAATTAAAAAAAGTCCCACTCCACTTGTCTGTAGGCTGGGTGCTTGGATTAAATATTTGAAGAAGCCCTTGGATTAAATATTTGAAGAAGCATCACATATGAGTAGAATTCCAAAGTTTGTTTTAGGACAATACCAAAATATTAAAGCAACCAAAATATACAAAATTGGTGTGGCAAGCTTCTGAGTTCTCCATAACATTTTGTCAGGTGGTTAAATGGTTAAACAATTTTGTTACATTTTCAGAAATGAGGAGTTAGTCATTGTTCTGCTTTTTGTTCCCAGCAGGTGGAACCTAATACCTGCACAGCACATAAAGAGCTTTATTTGAATATTTACTGTCTCATTTCCCATTCATCTTAATATTGTTTGGCTACAACATCAGCCAAAAAAGATTCTTCTCCCCACCCACCCATTACTCTGTTTACTGTTCAGCTTGATGAAGAGTTCTGGAGCTTGCACACTGCTTTGTGATGCTTTGGTTGGTGTAACAACTATCACCAGTGATGAATATCCACTTTGGAGGCAAGGTGATTGTGGGGGAAGTAGGAGCAGAGTAGAAAAGTTAAGTAATAATGGTGCCTTCCTTGGGACAGCATTCCAGAAGTGGGGCGCCAACACGGTGAAGGACTATTCTGTGCCCTTAAACCACATTCAAAGCATACTTCCCCTCCTCAAAGCAATCTGGGCACTGTAGTTTATCCCTCACAGAGTTCAAATTCCCAATACCCTTGACAAACTACAGTGTCCAGAATGTTTTGAGGAGAAAACTGTGCTTTGAACGTGCTTTAAAAGAAGAGTGTGTATATAATTTGCAGCTGAAATTTTGGATACAGCACCACTGGGGAAGTTGGAGCTTTAAGTGTATATTTGCAGCCAAGAGCCCCACTATTCCCATTCATATTTCTATCCCATCTGTGAGATCAAAATTACTCTACTAGTCAGGGGAGGGAGTTGCTATATTAAGTTGATTGGATGAATGTTGACTGGAACCATTTAGCAGGCAGGATGCCAGGCTGGACTTTGTCAGGTACATTTCAGCTGCAATTCGCAAACGATATTCTGAGAGATAAGATAAGCACTTCCCTATGTTTTAGCCAGCTAGCTAAATGAGGATCAGTCATACTCTTGGCACATCCTATCGATTTCATTGCTGCAGTTAAGAAACAGGTCTTGGCACCTGAACTGTGACATTCTTGTTATCAACAATGATTTTCAACCATGCAATATATCAGACGATAATTTCACAAATGGCTCCCAATAGGAACTCCTCCATTCAGTTCTGTAAGCGGCAAAATGAGAAGCCAGGAGAAGAGATTGTGCAGAGACAGAGGATTTGTTGTTTGCAAGTTACTCAGCCTGGGGATCTTAGTATCAGGTGGGTGCCCCCCCCAAAAGAAATCCAAAGTGTGCGATCATAGAATCGTAGAGTTGGAAGGGACCTTGGTGATCATCTAGTCCAACCCCCTGCAATGCAGGAATATGCAGCTGTCCCATACAAGCGATTGAACCTGCAACCTTGGCATTATCAGCACCACACTCCAGCCAACTGGAGTTGACCCTCAATGCCCATGCCTTGCTTCTGCTGCTGGAGATCAAAGACAGGGATGAACTAGATGCACACCAAGGTGCCCAGAATGGAGAGGTGTAAGCTGATGTCTGTGCGTGACCAACTGCTTCATTGCCCCTTGAGTTTGTCAGCCTTTCCTTCGCCTTCCTGCATCCCCTCCCTCTGATCAACATGGCTTCATTTAAACATGGGTATACAGCGCACACACAGCAGAATTGGCAATAGCAGGGGACCAGAAAAGTACCATTGTGGTTGGAAAGGTGCATAGGGAGTGAGTGGTTTACAACTGCATGGGGGACCTTGTAAATGCTGCCACTTGGAGCTGAAGCAGTCAGGAGAATCATATGGGGAAGCTTTTATTGGACTCTACCACAAAGAACCCCTTCATGGATCACTGCCTTGCCGTGGCAAAGGGGCTTGAATAACTCAGAGAAGCCCTAAGCTATGCCGTGCAAGGCCACCCAAGATGGACCGGTCATAGCCGAGAGTTTAGACTAAATGTGATCCACCTGGAGAAGGAACTGGCAAACCACTCCAGTATTTTGCCAGGAAAACTCCATGGACTTAAAAAAGGAGAAGCTTTGAGAACAAAGTGAGAGTTTCCAAGGCATGCTCTGGTTCATGGGGTCATGGAGAGTCAAACATGACTAAGATGACTAAACAACAACAACCACAAAGAGGGGAAGTGAGAAAACACATGTCTGCATGCTCTGCACATAGAAACAAGCTTTACTTAAGAAACTAGCACCTCTTTTAGAAAATCAGGCTACAACCATTTCCTCTGGTATGTTTTCTTTTCTGGGTGGGGTGCCCATGCACAGAGGGGACCACTGAGACCCATGTCTCTCAATCTTCAATCTGAAATGTTTCAGCCCCATAGGAGATGTTCCACGTGGTTCTCTTGACCATACGTTTTAGCTCCCAGGGCATTTTTTTGTCTGAGGTCAATGAATTCTATCTAAAGGCATCTATTGAGAGCAAGTCTGTTGGGATAAGTTGTTGCGTGACCTCAATTGCCCAAGAATATTTTCCTGGTGAAAGGTTTTCCTACAGTGCCAGCTGGTGCCTGCTAATTTAGGCCCATTGGAAGAAATCATTAACTAACAAAGACATCTAATCAACCCATCACTGATAATGAAGAGCATATAGGATAAAGTTGCCTCACAAGAATTGAGCAGAATTACAAAGATCAGAGGTCAGGTTCTCTTTCAAGGTCTGACAGCATTATCAGTTGCTGCAGAAAAAGAGACCTGGGCTGGCATGACTAAACCTGTGCCTCAACTGAAGAGGGTCAGTTTGAATGTGTACCTGGTTTTAAGTCATTAGTTTCCTCGCCCTAAGCTCTGGAGAATACCAGGGAGCCCATTAGACACCACAAAGCGGGAGAGGGAGCTCAGAGGCGCTCATGTGGCCCAAGTCATTTAAGATGTTCCACAGGTCAGCCAGGGCTTCGACAGGAGTACCACTCATCTCAGCTGGAAAATCCTACAGAGTCGCCACGAAACCAGTAAGATCCATTAGCTTCTGAGGCCAGGCCACCCTAATAGGTCCCCCTCTGCTGCAGAGGGGGAAAAGTGCTGGGGCCTAAATCTCAACAGGAAGTGATCTGACCATGAAAAGGGGCTAATATCAATACCCCCCCACACACACTTTCAGATCCTTCTTTTCCTGCCTAGTTGAGAGAAAGAAGGTCCAGAATGCGGCCTTCCACATGCATTAGGCCAGTGACATGTTGGAACAGCCCCATCGTCATGGCAACCATGAAATCCTGAACTATCCCAGAGCCAGTCTCACTGGCATGAAAGTCCCACAAAACCAGCAAGCAGTCTAGCAGTCCCCAACACCGCCTCTGAGACCAGCTCAGGCATGGAGACCACTGAGCAGTAAGCCAGCAGGGTCCCATATCCAACCCAAATGCCCAATGTCACACACACACACACACACACACACGAGAGAGAGAGAGAGAGAGAGAGAGAGAGAGAGCCTGGAGAAAAGACAGAGAATTTCTAGAGACCACAGCATCTCCTCCTCTTTGACCATCAAACCTGCCCTGATGCTGCACTAAGTACCCAGGTGGGCACAGCTGAATGAGACCAAGGTGGACTCTAGACACATATAAAAAACGCTATGAAAATGCTTTTTTAAAAAGCGTTTTGAAAAATATATTGAATTCACTCACCATCATCATCTAGTGCCACATTTGTATAATGCACTTAAAACACACTTAATACATTGTATTTGCAATTGTATAGCTGAGTCCCAACTCCACCCTGTTCACCCACCTAAGTCTCAGTGATAATGATACAGACCAGGTCTCCTCATTCCTATTCAGATCATGGATGAGGGAGGTCTTACTCCGAGCCGACCTGTTATTCAGCAACAGTAGCCACAGACTTGAGGGTTGGCTGATAGGACAGCCACAATTCCGCAGGCTGCAGGAGGGGCTGGCGCACGGCACAGTCACCAAGTGCCTGTGCTGTGTGTCCCTTACCTCTTCTGCACCCCCCATACTGCCTGCCACCTACCAAAAACCACTGTCATTAGCCCCCTGCCTTCCCCTCCCCTCCCCTCTCTTCCCAGGCACATCCTATGCCCTTTTAAATAAAAAGAAAAACACCAAAATTTGAAACTCCACAGATTAAAACAGAACATTTTAAATAGTTGGTGCAGTAAAACCAATAACAGAGACCTTAACAGGAGCCCCTAGGCAATGATAATGAAAATTACTGTACACGTTTTACAGCACTTTTTATTATTTATTATTTACTCAGAAAATTACTGAGTTCAGTGGGACTTAATCACAAGGAATTAGGCATCGAATTGCACAATTAGGAGAACATTTATTATTGGAAGTTCTGTCAGTCCATGTATGAAAAATCATTGGGTTACAATTCTTTAATGCCACTTTATACGTGGAAGAAAACAATCACTTGGTTTTTTTGAGATCTACTTACTTGCCAGCTCCCTCACTGTAGTGAATAATAACGCCTCTCTTTTCCTGGTAGTTATAACTCTAACACCCTCTTCTGGTCCACAGTATAAAATGTATTTGTCCAGAGAGAGTAGTTTACACAGTTCATTTCATCTAGTGCAAAGTTTGCATATGGGCAGCATTATTGAGAGACTTAGACCCTGTAGCCTTATGAAGAAAGCTGTGAACATTTACTTATCTATACGTTTTTATTTACAATACTGGTGTGCCACATTTCAGTCATGATGATTCTCAAAGTGTTTCACAGTAACAATGAAGACACGATTTAAAAACAATAACAATTTAACAATTTAAAACTATAATTAGCAATTACAGTAAATAAATAAATACATCAGAGGAAAAAGAATAGCACAAACAGAACTGGTGGAACAAAAATAAATAGGTCTTTACTCCCCTGCAAATAGCAAAGCAAAATCAGAGACAGCCTGGCTTCAGTGACTGATGCTATGATAAGCATTCAGGTTACTCAACTGTAATGTGTTAATCCTGGGATAAGGATTGATGAATCTGTCATTTTTTGTTCAACATGGACTGAGCATGCTCAATGGCCATGAGATGTTGACTGAGGGACTTTCCAGATGTCCATTTTATTGGGCATTCATGAACATTTGTGCTCCCGACATAAACCTTTAAATGTTATGGACCGGTAATATTGCTCTGACTGCAATCAGTGCATGTCTCATAGTTTCCTGCTAAAACCCCATAACTTTTTATATCACAGATGTTCAGGTCTGCTTCTTTCTGACGTAGCCATTGTAGCCATTTCCACATACTTACAGTCAATGCTGGATCCCAGCTTCCTGTGGGGCTTTTGTGGAAATGAGAAATGGTTTGGAACAGCAGTTGCAGCCTGAACATAAAACTGTAAGCAGTTTAAAAACACAAGTATGGTAGCATAGGGCAAGAATTTATGTTTGAAAAAGGGGACTCGGAACAAAGAAGAAGAGCACTCTCGACTGCCATATTTTGTTGGAGAGCTCATTAATATGATCTAAATTTCAATATTAGGGACTGAAAGAGTGCAGTATTCGATTAATTTCAAAAGGTGGCAATATAGAATTTGGAAGAATATACATGCTGTTTCCCTTTTAAGTTACTATTAAGCTTAAAAGCAAAACACCGACCAAAAGATCTACTGAATCTAAGAAATGTATGGAATTGTTGACATTCTGATGAGGTTGAAGCAGGTATGTTGAAGGAAGAAGACATGGGTACAAGATTTCCAAGAAGAGGAATTAAATATATGTATAAAATCCATCAGATTAAATTGTACTATTTCTAGATAGGATATCTCCTGTTTTCTTCACTCCTTTTGTTCTTTTCTGATGGTTCTTTTGGTTTTATTATTATATATTATATTTATTCTTCGCACATATGAAAGGTGTGCCCAAGTGACTTACAGCATAAAATACATGGGAAACAGATACAAGATCTAAAAATGCTAATTTTGGGATAGAATGGTTTCATGTTTATATATTAACCCCCAAAAATACTAAAGTGACATTTTTATGCATAAATATTGCAGGACCTAACAACCCATTAAAAAGGTCAAGATTTTTAAAAGAATGCATGGAAAAATAAACTGGAAGAAATCTTTAAGTCCATACTGGGGGCAGGGGAGATTGGAGGCGTCTCCAATTTTGGAATGATTCCTTCCTTCCCAGCAGCCTCTCACACGCCACCCGAAATTATTAAAGAGGTGCCCCGTGGCCCTTCATGTAGTTGCTTGGGGAGTAAGGGATGGGAAACTCTCCTTCCACCAACTTCCTTGTTAACTTATCTCAGGATCCAAGCCAATGTCTAACTGAGTAATAAATTTAGGTCTTGAATACACATTTATGACAGCATTCAGAACATTCTTTCTCATATCATAAACTCCTGTCTTATTCACGAGGCTCTTAAAAAATTACCTTATAAAATCTAGCAAAGCTCTTTTTCCACTCTTTGCTTGTCTTTCTGACCATACAGAAGATCCACTCGGCAACCCGGTGCTGTGTGCATCTACTCAAAAGTAAACCCCACTGATTTCAATTGAACTTTTTCCCAAGTGAGTGTACCTAGGATGACACCCAAAATACTTCTGTTATTAACTGCCAAGCGTACTTGCCCAAGATCTTCTGAATACTGGTGTTGCCATAAGTCCAGAATTTCCCATTCTAGTACTGTATGTACAATTCAATTTAATATCAGCCCTGTCGAGTAAATTCACACAAGTCCTTCTAAAACATCATTATTCTCTTTTTGTTTCCTACCACTCTATATCTGTTGGTAATGATGAAATGAAAAGAAATGAGAGTTTAAAAGAAGTTGTTGTGGCCTTACCAATCATCCCACCAACAGCTGTTAACTAGATAGGGTAACAATATATTTTACTGTAGTAGACTAAAAGATCTGTTTGTTTTAAAAATTGCTGCTCCAAACAACCTGCCATCTAAACCAGCTTTTGCCAACCTGGTGTCCTCCAGACTACAACTCCCATCAGCCATGGGAGTTTTAGTCCAGAACATCTGGAGGATACCAGGTTGGCAAAGGCTAATCTAAACTGTCCTTTTTTAATGGGGGTAATAGATTACATTTCAAAGCTTCCTCAAAAAACAACAGCAAATAAAGAAGTTTCATTCTAACAACTTCATTCATTCTAACAACTTATTAGCATTCTTGGTGAAGCAGGCACGCTAGAAGACTTTCAAAATTATTGTTGCCATCAGGAAACGCAGATGGTAGAATCTGCATTACGGAGGATTGGGAATAAAATACACATCTGCTGCTTCTCATACGGATCTGAGCAATGAGGATAACTCTTAGCGTTGCTGCTTGAGACCTGGCTATTGTAGTTACTATCCTTGCCCATGTGGCTCCGTGTTTCCCTCCCTTGTGAAATGCTCTCGTTACACTTATTCAGATTTTAAAGAAGTATTATTAGCTGCAGGGTTCTGCATTTGCTGTGTGAAAACTTTGGTTTCAGAAGAATGCCCCGGTTCCTGTAGGAAGGCTGTGACCCACATGTGAGGCGGTGAAGCAGCTCTGATGGGGGATATGCCATGGCTCTTTCTGAGGAGAAGACATGCGTTGTATGTGGAACAGTGGGTGGACGAGGTCCATGAAGTCAATATGGCATTCCTGTCATCAACACGTGCTTATTTGTATCTATCTACAATCCATGGTGCCATGGGTAATATGGGACGCGCCTAGGAGTTGCCAGGGGCCTTGTCGAAGCTCATGGAAGAACTTCGGTGCTTAAGGGAGATCTTTCATTCAAGTCCCCAACCGCCACTCTTGATCAGCCATTTTAATACACTTGAGGCCCACCTCAGGACTTCTTGCCTCTTACGCAACTGAGTTCAGAGACCTTTGACAGACTTTTAGACAGCCATGCATGCAAGATTCCTTTTCCTAAATGGTATTGCTTAAGGCATCGTGAATGCCAGGAGAGATAAGGAGAAGAATGAAAGACGGAGAACTTTGAAAGCCACGAGGAACTGAGGTGGGCGGGGGGCAAGACAGTCATATAGGACAGGGAAAGAGGAGGGCTATCATAAGAGAAGGATCTGTTGGGCTGCCTTTCCAGCCTGTGTGGCTCTGTATAGGATATAAAGACAAATAGAAATCAGAACTGGGTAACCTAACAGTGCATTCTCGATAACCCAAAACCTGCTGTGAAGAGGCTAGATCTGGACACAATGAGGCTGCCATTCCTGGCTGGTGTGCTTTTCATCTGTTTTCTGGCACTGGGGATGTCCAAGGCAGTTCCAGTAACGAAAAAGGTTAGGCTGATGGGTGACTTTAGATGGGAACTTACAGGATTATTGTTATGGGAACTTCCAACCCTGTTTCAAAGGGTTGACTAGGACAGTTATAGGTGTGTGTGGAGAGCCAGTGTGGTGTAGTGGTTAAGAGCGGTAGTCTCTTAATCTGGGGAACCGGGTTCGCGTCTCCGCTCCTCCACATGCAGCTGCTGGGTGACCTTGGGCCAGTCACACTTCTTTGAAGTCTCTCAGCCCCACTCACCTCATAGAGTGTTTGTTGTGGGGGAGGAAGGGAAAGGAGAATGTTAGCCGCTTTGAGACTCCTGAAGGGGAGTGAAAGGCGGGATATCGAGTCCAAACTCTTCTTCTTCTTCTGTGTGAATGATCTAGGTGTGTTCTGGCATAGTTTGTCCACAAATGGGAGACATTTTCCTGAACTTGATTTCTGTTATAAGAATATGGCCTGTGGTTTTCCATGAACTTTTCATGTTCTTCTTGTACTTAAAATTCCACTGTGGAAGCAAAATAATCACTTTTTCTTTTTTTCTTTTCTTTTAAAAAAACAAAACAAACATCTAGGAAGACCAAGAAAAAAGAACAAAAAGTGGAAGTAGTTACCTGGATACAATTTTGCTATCCTGTTAATCAAAGTATGCATTTACATGCATTATAGGGCCACAGATGTGTCCATCTAGTTAAGGCTGAATAGGCTGAACTGTATCCTGCCATTATAATGAGAAATCTGGAGTGCAGTAAGATCCACAACTTACATTTATAGTAGTTATTATTTGTTTCAGTTTTGATAGTAGTGCATCAAGACATATTTTTAAAATGTAATTATTTCTGCTGTAATATATGGAAGGCCCTGTTTTCTTTTTGCTTCAGCCTTTTAAAAAATAAGCAGCAGTTATAAGGTGGGGGCTGGCCCCATGAAATTGTTACTATAAAGTTTAAAATATGGCGAGAACATCAGCTTCTGAAATCTTAGATCACAGTCAATGCACCAGAAAAAACGAACTCTGAACATAGGGATTGTATTCAACTTTTACTCAGGGTAGACCCATTGGAATTAATGAATACAACCAAGTTAGGCCCATTAATTTCTTTTTCTTTTTTTCTTTTTCCAAAGCCAGGCAGCACCCACGGGTCTCAAACCGCTGGAAGAGATTAGGGGATCTAAGCAATGCTTTGGTTGATGGAACCACTGGGCTGAGCTGGCTCAGGCCCATTCATTTCTGAGTTTAACTTAGCTGAGTGCCACCTTAGAAGTTAGAAGAAATGACAACTGATGTTTCCAGGGAGGAAATGGGTGTCAATTCATTTCTGCAATGTGATACTCACCATTGCTGACCACAATTGTCGTGGGATATAAATGGGCCGGTCTCCTCCCCCTCACCCCACTCCAAAAGCATTCAGGTTAATTTTCATCCTGACTCAAATTTATTTCAGCCAGATGACACCAAAGTAATCAGCTCACCCACAGGCCATCTTGGAATTAGGGCAGCCGTGTGCCCTACTTTACAGAGGACCATTCCCTGTTTGAAGGGCTACCAGAGGACAGTCGTCACTTTGTCCAGCTGAAACTTGGTTTAAAGTTAAAGAACCCTAATACGGGACAGAAGTCTTTAAGTTGCCATCAACAGCTAGGTCCTGGAAACCTCACGTTTCTCTTTAAATTACAGCAAGTATTACTAAATGTGGATTTACACATATAAATGAGGATGCACAAATTTTATGAAAATCTGTGTCCCCCTTTGTCTTCTTTTTTGGCTGGTGCATTTCCTCCTTTTTAACAATGTGTGGCTGTTCTACTTGGAATAAAGCCATGTCAGCTTGGACAACTGCAAAGAGAATACTTTGGCATAAAAGAACGATTGGCATAAAAGAATACCTCCCTCCCTGGGAAGATGTAGCAAGTTGTGCCATGATGCTAAATTTCTAGTAAATGGGGATAAATGGGAAATCTGAAATATTTGTTACATTATTCTGAATCATTTCAATTACGGTTTTAACTATAGATTGTAGAAGTGAATAAAGGATGTGAAATTCCAGGATTTCAGCCAGTCCAAGGGTCCATTTGCTTGAGACTTCTACTTATGGTGAGTTACGTGTTGGGGAATGTGATGTATGTATAGATGATGATGATGATGATGATGAAGAAGAAGATTACATTCATTGGTAGCCCCAGTTAAAAGGAAATCTTGTAGCAGGCCTGTAAAAGGTTCAATGCTTAAGATAGAGAGAGGGGGAAATTTTCCAAAGTAATAAAAGAACCAAAACACATTTTTAAATTTTGCAACAACGTTCTCCGAACAAAAAAAATGTGAACTTTAAGGGAAAGTGTATCAAAAAAGAGTATTCATTTTTTAAAAAAACAAAAACCCAATGCATTATATTAGGAAAAATTTATTGCAAAAATATTGCATTAAAGTATGTCTATTAGAAAAAAGGTGCACTCAAATGCTGATAGATTTCCATTAGGATTCTTTTTTAAGAAATAATAATCGCATACTGATACAGAAATGTGGTGAACTGATTAGATTAGAAAAACTGATTTGATTAGAAAAAACAAGAAACAGACCTACTGACAGATTTGGCAATCCCTACCTAAGATCCTAGAAAGAAGCTACTATTCGGAGTTGGCAGCCCTGACACTGAGCTACAGAGCAATGGTAATAAGGCAGCGTAATACAGTGGTGCCTCACAAGACGAAATTAATTTGTTCTGCGAGTTTTTTCGTCTTGCGAAGCACGGTTTCAATTTTTTCCAAAAAAATCTTCAAAAACCTCAAAAAAGGCTACCACACCGCGTGCTATGAGTTGCTCCCCGAAGTCAAGTCGCAACTGCACCTCTTCAAGCAATGCACCCTGTATTACTGTAACGGTTTTAAGAAAAAGGAAACAAACTTGCAAGATGTTTCCGTCTTGCGAAGCAAGCCCATAGGGAAATTCGTCTCGCGAAGCAACTCAAAAAACCAAAAACTCTTTCGTCTTGCGAGTTTTTCGTCTTGAGAGGCATTCGTCTTGCGAGGTACCGCTGTATCGCTACCCAGCATTAACATACACTTATTAGAAACAGTTCCTAGGGATTGTAAACATCATCCTAGGGGGTGATGCAGAGAAAGAGTGGAATGGAGTGAAAGAAATGTAACAGCTGCTGTCATACAAAGAATCATACATCTAATAACCCAGATTGGAAGATCATTTTTGTCTCATGAAATGTAGGCCAGCCATAGAAACATATATACATTAACCCCTGTCTCTCTTCTTCCAGGCAGGTATAAATTTCAATATTGGAGTGGTAAGTCTCATTAGCCCTCCCCTGCTTTCAGTTATTTATTCCATGCCATTGTCTTTCATTACAGAACTGATTTCCCTTAACAAAATATTGGATTTTGCAGAACCCTGGAGGGATCTAAATGACAAACCCAGCTCCTTTGAGATTTCTGGCATCCTCCTAGATTTTATTTTAATGTGATTTTCCTCTCCTTATACCAATTCCATAAAATTGGGTGGATGGGAATGTTGTTTTGCCTCCACCTAGACAGGGCAAGGTATCTTAAAATGGTTCAGAGTTCAGCGCTGTAAAGTATCCTTCTGCTATTGTAATAAGAATTTTAAGGTCTTAGATATATAATAAATGTTCATAAATGTACCAAGCAAACACGTACATAAACCACATGTCTGAAGCAGCACAGAAAGACAGTCCTGAAACCATTTTAACTCCCAAGCTGACCAAATGTTTCTCTGCAAGGAGGGAGGAGGTGAAAAAAACCTTACTTGTTACAGGAATTTAGTAATCACCATTTCAAAGGAATGGGCAGGCTACCAGGAAAGGCAATCAGATAAGGCATTATCAGATAACCTGGCAGACAGGAAAAACAACACTCAAATTTCTGTTGTAGACCGCCTTTTCTGTGATGTAGGTATGATGTTTGTGGGGGGGTGGTCTTGGGTTACACCCCTTCTGTGATGTATGTATGATGTATGAAGGGGTGGTCTTGAACTCCAGGGCAGGGAATTTAAAATGTCTATATAAGGGCAGGCACACCTTTGTTCTGGGTCCTCCTCCGTCCTCCTGCGTATGAGGGCAGCACCCTGTTGCAACAGATCAATAAAGATCAGGCTTACTAGCTGCATTGCTTCTCAATATTCTCTGGTTGGCCTCTGTTATTTTCTCCTACCAATAGGGAACCCATGTAAGGACTCTTGGATACCCCATAAGGGAAAAAGGGCAGATTTTGTTTACAACACTATGCACTTTGAGTTAGATTCACCCTTGCACAAGGACTCCCACTTGTACAACAAGGCTTCTCTCCTGTGCCCCACACATCCCCTGAAATTGGCTTTGGGGGGTTGGGATATCTCCCAGAACAGTGTGCAGACAGAGGAAAGGGGGAATATTCCACTTGGCAAGTTGAAAGAAATGCTTGCAGATACAGAATGATTGGAAGAGCATGGTGTTCAATTCCACCCATGACCTGTTCTGCTGCACTGCTCTCTGTTTTTCTTTGAAATGCTGATGTTTAGAAGTAACCCTTTGCTTTGCTTTACAGAAAACTGGGCAAGATGATAAAGACAAAAATGTGAGTATCTGTCTAAAGATATTAAGGTACCCAAATGCATCTCATGAGAAGCCCAAAGTGTAGATTCAATGTTAGCGGGCATGCGAAAGGGAAGAGATTGTCATGAATTCCGGTGGCCACAGCAAATACATTCTTTCTGCACTCTAAGGAAAGAGTCATTCTGATCCTTGCCCTTATTCACTTGTCATATTGTCCAGGGAGCAACAATACTCTTATATGTCTGACCATCACTTTCCTATGTTTTGCCTTTACAGTGGTACCTCGGGTTACATACGCTTCAGGTTACAGACTCCGCTAACCCAGAAATAGTACTTTGGGTTAAGAACTTTACTTCAGGTTGAGAACATAAATCGTGCTCCGGCAGTGCGGCAGCAGCAGGAGGCCCCATTAGCTAAAGTGGTGCTTCAGTTTAAGAACAGTTTCAGGTTAAGTACGGACCTCCGGAACGAATTAAGTACTTAACCGGAGGTACCACTGTATATTCTCCCATACAATCGTGAGGAGCAAATGAGCTTTCCCAGTATATAAAAGAAAGCTAATTCATGGACCTAGGGAAGGGAGAACAGGGCAATTCTATTTATCATTGAATATAGGGTTGCCCAAAAGTAAAAATTCAGACACAAAAGTTGTTGAGCTTTGAGCTTTTTTTTTCAGTTTTGCCCAAAGTAGTTGTGCAAAATCTTAAAATTGACTTTTTGAGCTATTGTTAAGGAAATTTGGCAAAATCTAGACTTCTGACATGGCTTGCCATATGTTTGCATTTTCCCAGACATTTCAGCGATTTCCACTTGGATGCTGTTTCCAACTACCGTTTTCCTTCTATGTCCAGGAAATTCCAGCCATATGGCAACCCTATCATAGAAGCATAGATTTGGGAGGGACCCTGACAGCCATCTAATCCCCTGCCATGCAGGAATGTCATCTAAAGCACCCATGACATATGACCACCCAACCTCTGCTTAAAAACCTCTAAGAAGGGGAGGCCATCACCTTCCAAAGGAGTCCATTCCACTATCTTGCAGTTCTTACTATCATAAAGTTATTCCTGATGTTGCATGGGAATCTCTTTTCTTGTACCTTGAATCCATTGTTTCGGGTCTTATTCTGGAGCAGGAGAAAACAAGCCTGTTCCATTATCATTTCAGCTTAATGAGCTGGCTGGGTGGAGTGGGCATAGAGTCTTCCTTAATATCCAAAGCATTAAGGGTAATCTGTGAGAGAGTGTAGGCTTTACCCTCAATGTTTTGGGGGTTAAGGAAGACCCTTCACCACCTTGTCGTGCTCAAAAAGTAAATGCAAGCCCCCTTGTTGGACCCTGCAATATTTATTTCTCTATTGAGAAAATTCTGTACCCACCATGTTCAAAGCAATCTTTGCCGGCGCAAATAGTTCTCTCCAATGCTTTAAAAAATGGTATGTGGATATTTAGCACAGAGCTTATAAAAGCTCATGGAATCCCTGTGCTAAAACTGTCTTTTGGACATATACCTCTCAAAGCAATAAACATAAACTAGAATAACATGTTGCTGAACTTGAGGGACAGCGTCAGAATGATCTGAAGATCTTGAAAGTGATGTGTGGGTGTGTATAAACACACATTGGTAACACTGCATTTTCAGAAAATATTGAATGAAGACCAAAGTCAGCAGAGCAAAGAGCAGAAGAGAGACGAGAATAAGAAGAAGAAAGGTCAGAAGAAGAAGAAGGAGCAGAATAATGCAGACAATGAAGAATAGAGGAAATGGTGAGCTGGACTGAGATCTATTTCTTTGTAGTCAGATGATTTGCATTTTGGACCCATGGATTGTTGGAAATGGCTGGTGCCTGGAGAAAGGTTCTTCACACCTAAACAAGGTGTACTAATTAATTGAATGGAGCCGATTTAATGACCCAGTGCAGGTAGCGTTTACACGTTGCTGAGTGAACCAAGAACCTGACTACAGTCGTACCTTGCACCTAAAGCCAAAATCATGTATAGTCAAAACACACTGGACTCCATGGCAGGTGAGATTGACCAAGTCATTTTCCCCACAACCCTGATCGCTTTCTATTTTAGGTTTATTTTTTTTTTGCCACATTCATAAAGCTGAATGTGTGCAAGTTGTGTGCTTTAGAGAGGCTTTATAGTGCGTTCACAGCCGTAGCAAACTTAGTTCTCTGTTGGTGTGTAGGATAACACCTCATGATGGTAGCATCTCTCCATAAGTAGTTGCTTTTAAAGTAGCAAATCACATCCACCATACTATGTTTCTTGAGATTCTTTGGATACAAGCCTTTAAAATGGCATGAAACTGATACAAATTTGTGGTCTAGACATGCCTGATATTTACCGCTCACTGAACATTGTTATCTTCATAAATATATACTTTTTCATAATTATCTAGATTGATTGGCAAGAAGACAGCTTCAGAATCACCACTGATCAATCTTTGGGAGTCTACATTTGATCATTAAAAAGAAAACAACGCATGATGCTGTCTTTTGGCACAAGACATTAAATGCATATTTGGACTGTTCTATGAAGTGATTTAGCTATGTGATTTAGCTCATGGAGGATATGCCCTTATCACTTGAATCAGAACGTTTTGCTAAACAAGCCTTATAATAAAATCCTTTTTTCTCATCAGCTTTCATAGGGAGTGAAGACGTTTTTGTTACTGCAGGATGTAGGATATCAAATCTTACTGCAGGATGTAGGATAACAAATCTTAAAGCCGCCCAGTTATCATGAAAGGGGAGCTTTTTAGCCACTGTATAGGCAATTAGGAACAGAGAAAATGCAAGGTGCTTCAATTTCAAGAGAAAGATGTGCAAGTTTGGTTATGTGCATGGAACTTCATGGAAAACACAACTTAAGTTGCTCTGAAAAAAGATATTAGAGCACTCCAAATCATTTGCCCGTGTGTGTGTGTGTGCACACACAGAAAATAGATCTGGCTGAAAGGCAACACAGGGGACATATGCATGATTCAATTGTATTGTGACTATCACGAAGGGACCCTGCCATTTTGAATTTGCCACTACATTACTGTGTGTCATAGAGAGGCCAACTCACAGCCTGTCATGGGCAGTGGTGGCTGCTGCCCACAAGACCTGGTAGGGCAGCTAGGAGGTTGTTAGGGTGTGGTAAATGGGGTCACAGGGTCTAACTGTTCTGGTAAGACTCCTGGCCTTCTAAGAAAGTAGGAAAAGGGGCATCACAAAAGGTCAGGGGGTGACTCCCCCTGTTGTTTGGGCACTGCTATTCATTGCAGTGGGGACGAAGAAAGGAAAAGAGTACAAAAACAAAGGGGAGTAAAGGAAGTGCATTGGGGAAACCTGGGATTGGTCGAGACAGGTTTTATTCATTTCTTCTGTGGTGTTAAGATTAGATTCATTTTCAGGGTTGCCAGAGGTGAATGCTCATGGAAGTGCCTCTTTGTAAGTGTGGCAATAGGAAGGTTATCTTGGCTTTAACCAATATCATCTTCGTTTTACTGCCACGTTCATGAATTCTGTACTTTATTATATCTGAATTTATTTATCATCTGCAAGTGGGACCTGCAATGAAGTGTTACATAATTGGGAGGTGGTAACAAGAAAGGGCACTGGAAGCAAATTGAAACCCTAGGAAAAAGGTTTTGATGGAAGTTCCAGTCAGACAAACACATTTGATGGTGGAAAGCAGGGCTGGCAAAGTGGGTGGCCTGAGGAAGAATCTCATGGGTCAGACAGAGAGTTTCCCCATCCTTAGATCAGGAATATTTGGGCCTATCATCCCTGTTTTTCATAGGTCAGTGACATAACCGGTTTCAGCCAATCACCTCTGTCCATAGCTGCTGCAAACATGCAAAAACCCTTTCTTTCCCTGAGCTTGATTTGAGTTGTGGGGTGGGGGGACTAGAGCTCTGAGGAAAGTGCAGGGTAAAAGGTAAAGGTAACGGGACCCCTGACCATTAGGTCCAGTCACGAACGACTCTGGGGTTGCGGCGCTCATCTCGCTTTGTTGGTCGAGGGAGCCGGCATACAGCTTCCGGGTCATGTGGCCAGCATGACTAAGCCACTTCTGGCGAACCAGAGCAACACATGGAAACGCCGTTTACCTTCCTGCTGGAGCAGTACCTATTTATCTACTTACACTTTGACGTGCTTTCGAACTGCTAGGTTGGCAGGAGCAGGGACCGAGCAACGGGAACTCACCCCGTTGTGGGGATTCGAACCGCCGACCTTCTGATCAGCAAGCCCTAGGCTCTGTGGTTTAACCCACAGCGCCACCCTCTACTTATTGATGCTCCTGCAACTCAACAAATTTTAAAGTAGAGCATTTTTCTCTGTCTCGTTAAGTCACTTAATTTTGTTTTATAGATGTGTTCGATTTTTGTTTTGTTTTGGTGGGCATGGAATTTGAATTTGCTTGTCTAGATTTCTACTCATAAACTTGTAATGTAAGATGTAATTGCAAATCTTGCAGATGTCATCTGTAAATGAGCTTTGTACTTGTAGATGCAGCTTTAGTGCCCTCTCGTGGTCACCAACTTTTAAGAAACACCCTGCAAGCACTTCTCATTTAACAAGAGACTATTGTGAAACAAAGTATTGTACCAAGATTACCCACTATTCAGCAATAATCAGTGTAACCTTCAGTATAGTCAAATACCTGCCATTTAAAACTTGGTACTCCAGTTTCCAAAAAAATGAAGATACTCTCTCCTTGCTAGGAACTTGAAATACCCTCTGTACTAGTTGTCTGAACCTCTACTTATCTAGGATCTTACATACCCAAAGTTAAACCAGACGATAAGTAGGACACATTCTAGGTCAACTGTGTTCCATTAGATGAAAGATGGCCAATAAATGGAAGTTGCTTTTTGAGTGTTTACAATGATCCAAGTGAAACAGTTCTCTTCTTGCATTTATTGTAGAAAGCATGGAAAATGGTACAATAAAAAGCAAAAAGTTACTGGAGTAGCAGTTGGAGAGTAAGTTACTTAAATATGTATTTTCTCTTCCAGACTGTATAGTACATTTTTAGGGGGTGGGGGTGGGGAAGGGATAAGTCTCTTAACTGGTTTAAATAAAGAGTGTTTGTGACTCTAAGATAACAGAACCAAGGACCCAGGACCCCTCCAGAGTTAAATATGACTTTAAAAGAAAACACCAAATACATAATCCATGACTTGGCCTAGTACAAAAATACTGTGCTCAGAAACTATATATATTTGTTCAAATGTTTCAAAAAGGCAGAAGATTATCAACACACCGAGTGACAACGTGTTAGGAATTTCTACAGAGTTAAACTATAAAAGTAATATATTTCAAAACTATGTACAGTGTTTTCACTACATTCTTAAGAAACACTTACATGATCTGTGTCCTGTGTATCTACAGAGAAGTTAAATTCTAACTTCGTTTACAATTCCACTGGAGGAGTGGAAGGGCAGAGTGACTATATCAAAACAGTTGGGTGAATTTTACTGCAGTCAAGGATTTGGTCCAGAGTTTGTAATGGGATTCGTAAGACATTATGTACAAGCAAGAAATGCGACAAACCTTATATCATCAAATAAAACAGCTCATTGTATTCAGTTAATTGGATCCAGCTATTCAGCTGAATTGCTTTCTAACAATTATTTTTAAGCCATGGTACTCATACAAGTCATCTGCAATAGACCTCTTTTAAGGAAAGTTTTGGCAGTAAACACCCATAAGCAAATGGTTACGTTCACAATGAAACACTAGTGCCTGTCTGGAACATACCCAGAAAATTGGGTATTGTCTTTGGGATCATCCCTACCCACAGTTTCATATACATATCTACACCTCACAAATCTAGATGTGCAATCAGTTCCTCCCTGTCAACAGAAACTTACAGAATGCCAATTTTGCCTTTGAGTTGAGTTCTGAAAAAAATCAACATATTTCTTAGGTATGAACATATTACATTTCCAAGTGATTTCTGCTTTCTTTGCAAGTCATTTAAAAAATAAGCCTACAGTACATAGAGCGAGGAGATTCTATAGAATTTTGAGACCAACATGTAATTAAATTACTTTAGTTTTTCTTCACCATTTGTCCTGGGGACAAATTATCCCTGAATCAATGGCAGCTTTTCAGAACCAGAAATAGATTTAAGATCCACTTATAACAACATATACATGGGCTCTGATGCTATGCACAGGAGCAAATACTACGGGCATGCTTCAATGGGCCTCTAAAGTCAATATTTCCATTCTGCATCATCTGTGGTTACATATAAACTGTTTTCCATAACTGTGAGGAACACTCACAGAATAACTAAATTGGGAATTGTTACCCTGCAAAGCCTGAACAATGTTGTTGAACACAGGATCAGGGAGATCAAAGCCCTCTTACCACTCTTCAGAACAATATTTAAACAGTGGTGTAGTACCTAATCCATGTTAGTGATCATTAGGATTACTGAGATTGTTAACTAGATGAAAAGCAATGCTTATATCAGCACTGTGGGGAATTTATTTCCATGAAGAGCTGTTGTAGATAGGAAAATATCCACTTACTGTTCTTTAACCACTCTGATTATATAAACTAAGTGCCAACATGTGTCCAGGATTACCCAGTTAAGAATAAAACCCAATACACACTTACTTAAATGGCGTTGGCCTCATATATCTGAAGAAATGTCTCCACCCCCATTGTGCAGCCTGGACACAGAGGTCCAGCTCTGAGGGCCTTCTGGTTGTTCCCTCACTGCCAGAAGTGAGGTTACAGGGAACCAGGCAGAGGGCCTTCTCGGTAGTGGCACCCGCCCTGTGAAATGCCCTCCTATCAGATGTCAAGGAGATAAATAACTATACAATAACTATATAATTTTTAGGAGACATCTGAAGGCAGCCCTGTATAGGGTAGTTTTTAATCTCTATAGCTTTATTATGTTTTTTATCAGCTAGAAGTCACCCAGAGCGGCTGGGGCCACTCAGACAGATGGGCAGGATACAAATAATAAAAGTATTGTTATTACCTGAGGATAAGTCCTATTGAATTCAATGAGGCTAACTTCTGAGTAGGTATGTATAGCAAATTATTTTCATAACTATTTAGTACAGTTATACCTCGGGCTGAAGTTGCTTCAGGTTGAGCGCTTTCGGGTTGCGCTCTGTGGCGACCCGGAAATAACAGAACGGGTTACTTCCGGGTTTCGCCGCCCGCGCATGCACAGATAGTCAAAATGACGTCACGCGCATGTGCGGAAGCGGTGAATCGCGACCTATGCAGTCGCAGGTTGCGTTCGCTTCAGGATGTGAACGGGGCTCTAGAAGGGATCCCATTCGCATCCTGAGGTACCACTGTACTGTTGTACCTTGGTTTTCAAGTGCCTTGGGAGTCGAACGTTTTGGCTCCCAAACGATCGAAAACCAGAAGTGATTGTTCCGGTTTTTGAACGTTCTTTGGAACCTGAACATCTGACAAGACTTCTGTGGCTTCCGATTGGCTGCAGAAGCTTCCTGCAGCCAATCGGAAGCTGTGCCTTGGTTTCCGAAAGTTTTAGAAGTCAAACGGACTTCCAGAACGGATTCCGTTCGACTTCTAAGGTACCACTGTACAGGGAATTCTCCATGCAAATCTATCAGAGAGAGAGAGACAGACCCATTTTAGAGGACTGTATTTGAC